AGCGACTTCTCCTTGAGCTGTCGGTTGAGTGACCTCACGATGCGAGACATGCCGGGGCACCTCCTGTTCAGTCGACTCAAAGTTCAGCCCGCACAGCCCCATACACTCGCCACTCCCATGGCACCGCAATCGAATAGACACGCACCCGTGTTTTGAGCGACTTCTCCTTGAGCTGGCGGGTGAGTGACCTCACGATGCGAGGCACCTCCTCCCTCAACACTGCCAGTGGACTGCATGCACCGTGCCACATGGGGAGGCACGGGGATGAGGCGGTGAGGCGGTGAGGCGGGGGGGTGGGGGGGCGAGGAGGAGGGTCGCAGCATGAGCAACATGGGTGTCGCAGCATGAGCAACATGGGTGGACCATGGAAGGATGAAGAGGTGAGCCGGGGTGTGTGGTATGAACGATGAGCACAGAGAGTCCGAGCATCGGCATGCTTCTGTGATGTGAGCACAAACCACCGAGCAGACCTCAGTGCTGCCTGCCTGCCCAAATTTCCCTGCCCAGTACTACCTTCCCTGCATCACCCGCCGATACTACCTTCCGCGTCATACCCCGGTGCTGCCGTGCAGGTGCTACCTGTCCCTACTGCCTCGCAGGTGGTATGATACCTGCCCGGGGGGACATCAGCAGGGGAGGCGTGGCCCTTGGTGACGTGGCCTGTCTGCCTGAGCAGATCGATGAACGCGTTGAACACATCCACCTGCTCGTGTGCAAGGGGGCGAGGAGAGATTTTCAAGTTGAAGAGGGAAGAAATCTCGTGGCTTTTGTGAGTTTAGGACGGAAAAAGGGGGGGTGGAATGGGGTGGAAGTGGGTGAGTTGGACAAAGACAGTGGGCATAAGCCAAAACAAACAGTTGGACACGAAATAAAACAGCAGGCCAAGCCTCATAGAAGACACACGTGATATAGTGTTTACCACATTCAAGAAACAAATTAAAAACCGAGTGACTGCAGTGCTCGTACCTTGACATTCTCCTCTCGCTCCCTAAACCGCTCAATCAGCTTGGGGCTCGCCTGCGCGTTGGGAACACACAACGGGCGACAGTGGGAAGAATGAGAGAACGGAGTGCTACAGGCGTGGAAAAGTTTCGGGTTGAGGGGAGAAGGGAAGGGTATTAGTCAAAGGGACAGCGTTGGGAAACTGGGTTTAGGTTGAGGTCGAAGTTGAGGTCAGCAGCTGGTTGGGCACAGCAGCTGGTTGGGCACAGCAGCTGGTTGGTCACAGCAGCTGACCTTGGCATAGAGCGTGGAGAGCATCTCGGGGCGAGAAGTGGTGATGGCAGCGATGCACCGCGCTGCTGCTCGCCGCACCTTCCAGCTCACGTCCTCATCGTCACTGTAGTCCTCCTCCTCGTCCCTGCACCGTGCAGCGGGGTACAGATCATAATAGATGCATGGATGGGCCCGATGACACAGGGGTATGGTACGCACACATCACCAACGACGCCCTCCCCCTCCGTCTCCCCCTCCTCTCCCCCTCCATCTCCCCCTCCTCTCCCCCTCCTCTCCCCCTCCTCTCCCCCTATCCTACTTTCCCCCCAAGCGTTTCCACAGCACACTCACTCGTCGTCTTCATCATCCTCCTCCCCATCGCCCTCCCCGTCGCCATCCATGGCATCATCAGTGAAGTTGGGGTCGTAGCTCAGGTACTTGAGGGACAAATCCAAGATCGCCTCGCAGTGCTCTGCCACGTCCTTGGGGCACCGCACCACAAAGCTCTCCAACGCCTGCTCGGACGGACACAGCAACAACAGGTCGAGAAGGGATCACGTGCATGTGCTAGCCTTTAAGGTGGGCACACACAGCATGGCCTCGCAGTGCTCTGCCACGTCCTTGGGGCACCGCACCACAAAGCTCTCCAACGCCTGCACGTGAGGAAACCATGAGCATGCATGGTGATAAGGGCACGAGGTGATGTGTAGAGCAACGGAAACCGCGCTGACGGTGAGATGTGAACAGGCCTGCAGGGCGCATTCTAGTGCGGTGACACTTTTAATCAAGCACATACGGACCTGCAAAGAGTACTCGCGGATCTCGTCGTCGTTCTCAGAGGCCCTCTCACAGAAGCCCACCACGAGTGGCAGCACCACTGCTAGGTGCGGCCCAAAGCGGTACCCCACTGCCCGGCTGTGAGGAAAGAGGGAGAGCAGATGGGATGTAAAGTTGGCTGGAATGGCACCCACTGACGCATTGAATGACTAGTCTAACTGGATAACGGCCATTCAAGAACAATGAATGGCACACAAGCGTGTGTCACGCGATGACAGCGCTACAACACCCTCTCCTCTCCTGGACAAGGATTCCCCGAGTGGCGTACCAGAGAGCGCCGACCATCTGGATGTAGGAGCGCGTCATGTCGGGCTTGAGGTCGCCGCGCTGCAGCAGCGCCACCACACTGTTGGTCGCCCTCGCCAGCAGCTCATCCGACAGACTCGCCGCCAGACTCGCTGCTCTCCCATGTGCACATCGGGGACAGAGATGGGGGGAAGCTGGTGGGGCGGGAACGCCATGTTCATTGTAGCTGCTACGGAAACAGCTACGCTAAAAGATGCTAGCATGTTGGTGTGGAGATGTTATTGACTTATGGGCATACCCAGGCACTGAGTGGCTCGCTTGCGGAGGGAGGCGCGGGGGGAGGAGAGCTGCTGCAGCAGGGGCACGAGCAGCCGCTCGTGGTCACCGGCCATCACCACTCCGAACCGCTGCAGAACGTCCCCCAGCACGTCCAGGCACTCGCCCTTCACGTCCACGCTCGTGTCCTGCCCAGCGTGGGGGATGCAAGGAGGGGTGTATTGCGGAGAAGTGTGGTGCGGATGGGTTAGACGTGGTGATGAGGAGGAATGTGGCGGGGTGATGCGGAGGGGTAGGGTGAGGTGATGCGGAGGGATGTGGAGGGATGTGGTGAGGTAATGTGCGGTGCAGAAATGGAATGGGATGTGTTGGGCTGGTGTGGCAAAAGAATGACATTATTAAAACAGCCCCTACAAAGCCACTCCTCCCCTCACTCCACATACACCACCCAGCAACGCCACCCGCAACCCCTACGCCTCGCCATGCACGAACAGGAGAGTCAATAGCAGCGGTGAGTCTGGCCGGCAGGGACGCGAGCAGGTGGTGGATGGCGGGCGGATGGCCAACCTAGCACCATTAACAACCCGTGCAGCAGAGCAATCAATCCTCAAGTTGAAATCAACCAGCAACGCCTCGCATGCACGCACCGGGGAGTCGATAGCAGCAGTGAGTCTGGCCGGCAGGGACGCGAGCAGGTGGTGGATGGCGGGCGGCGACGCGACCTCGGCCACAACGGTCTTGAGCGCGATGGCGGCGATGTCGCGCTGCTGGTCCTTGCCGGTCAGCAGCTTCCCCACCAGCGCCGCGCTCATCTCCGCCACGCGCGCCTCGCTCACCTTCTTCACTAACGGCACCAGGCTGACGGAAACCGTCAGGTGACGGAAACGGGGAACACGCAACAGTCCAAACGGGGGAAACCATAATCGGATTGGTCCCACTGAATGGCAACACGGATCAATTTCGTCTTTCAGGCATTTTCTTCCAGCATCTGAATTCTGTCAGTCTGGATTCTATCCAGCACACTCTCAAACCATAAACCAAGCATCTTATACCAGGAATTCGGAACCAGGAACCAGGAGGTTCCACGCAAGCGTTCATCGCATGAGCGACGATGTCGCACGGCACGCACCACTTGACGGCGAGGCCGGAGATGTCGCCCGAGGCGTCGTCGAGTTGCTGAAGCACGACATGGCACAGCCGCTTCTCGCTGTCCGGGTCGATGCGGAACGTGTCTCGGTTCAGCTCGTTCAGCAGATCCGATGTTCCCATGTACCGAAAATCCTTATCCTTGCTCGCTATCTGCGAAGAAATCCGACGAAATGTTAACGACAGAAGTGAGTCAACGATGCGAACGCAGTAAGAAAGCTTTGCGACTGATTAGCAAAACAATGGGATTGTTCAGATTGCTAGGATTACCCTTTCCAACGCGAGAGTGACCGAGTTCCCCGACATTTTGCCAGATTCGGAGTGGACTCAGATGACGCGTGAGGAAAACAAGGAACCAGAAAGAAATCGTGATGTTTCTGCAAGATCTATAATCTTCTGTCAGAAGTCCGACAAACCAAATCCAAAAAAGAGATACAGCTAGGAACGTGAGCGCTGGAGAGAAAACACGAAGTATGAGTTGGTCGCCAGCTGCTCAATGCAAAAAATTCGGGACCTGGATGGGATAGCTTCGAACTCGGACCAAGAAGGCTAGAACTCGAGAATCTGATGATTTGTAGCACGGGAGGGACATGTCAGGAGGAGGGAGGGGCTGATGAGGGTTGCTCCGCTGAGAAGACTGCAAACCATCGTGTTTTAGACAACCTTAGCTGCACTTGATAACACCATCTGAGTATGTGAACAAATTGCACAAAATATTTATCAACACATCTCACTCTAAATTGCAGTTCAACCATTGGTGCAAATTACAATTAAATGCCTTATTTTGGTCTTAAGGAGGAGAAAAAGGTGTCTTAATAAAGTCCGGCCAAACGCCAGTCAGGATGTCAATTTATAAACCAGTACGGTCGTATATGCTATTCAAGTTAGTGAACCATGAACTCTGTTTCTGAAGCCCTTCTTTCCTGCGCTGCTAGAGACAATATCGCGTATCTATTCTACCGATATTCCCCAGGGGTCCCCCCCGCTCCAAGTCATCCGTCGCCTTCTCTGTCAGATTCTTCCCACCACACCTTGCCACCTCATTCTAGCCCTCATCTTCACAGAGAGCCATGGCATTTCACATTCGTCGCTAAGCCATACGCTCGTAGGCGAGCGTCACTCGGTGCAATACCGCCATTTTGCTAAAGGATCTTGCTTCAATTCCTTCCTTTCATTCGGCGACTCACATCCAATACATTCGCCTCTGGAAATTCCAGTTTCGTACTTTCCGCCAGAATTTCCGTCTCATGTTCACTCGCGACACGTCATAAGACGCCATTATGGAAGAGCAGCTTATATCGAAGGCCGTTCGTGAAGGCGTACCATGGGACCAGCTGCCGAAACGAGCGAAGCTCTTTCTAGGCTCAAACGAAGAATACATTAGGCGGTACGTGCTGTAGCATTGGCTTTGGCAAAGCTCTGACCAACACTGCGCTTTCCTTACAGAGGTGAAAGGCGTTAGCTTTTTATATGATCTCTGTCGTGAATTCGGTGACGTCTCAGCCACGCTGTCAAGATTGTACAATCACCCGAATCTGCAAGTTTCTGAATCTCGTCATTCGTTCTCAGCACGACGATCGTCTCGCCAATACCATATCTCCCTCCTCGTCATTCATCTTAACGCGATCCTCCCTCCCCTCCTTCCATGCTGCATATCCAACCCGAATACAGCATTAAGGAGCACTGCTTCCAGCTGCGGCTGCGCTGGCCCGACAGTCCCGCGCGCCTGGTGTGTCGCGAGGTGGACTATTACAACGAGCTCATCGCGCATGGCCGCAAGACCCAAGCCGTGCGTCTCCCCTCGCCTCGCCGCCCATACTGCTGACCCCAATACAATGATTCAACAGCAATGACAGACTAGTCGAGAATTTGATTGATTGATCGGGATTTCGGAATTTGAATTCTAGACCACGAATGCGTACGATTCTGGGAAAGCTGAAGTCGGCAGCACTAGATTCTGCGGGTGGGATGGGTTGTTAGAAATTGTGTCCATGTCCGTGTGCGTGTGGATGAATGGTGGTGCGTGGCAGCCGTTCCCGTACCACCTAGCGGACTACATCTGCCGTGTGCTGCGCATCTCCCCGTTCCGCTACTACAGCGACCTACTACTGGACGTCATGAAGCAAGGTGGGTGACGTCATGAAGCAAGACGAGGTGATTGTAACGTCATGAAAAAGGTGAGTGACTGTAGCGAAGAAGTGCACGGTGATTGTAGAGAAGTAAGGTAAGGTGATGCTGGGCATGTATGCCTCGTGAATCCGTGAGTGGAGAAATCGATGTGGATGCAGCACGGTGGGCACAGCGAGTGTTAAGACGTCCCGCAAGGTGAATGCAACACAGAATATGTCCCACTGCCATGCTGCATGGGATAGCCGCCTCACGTAACCTTCTCCTCCTCTCCCCCTTCCCATGTGAACTGTGTGCAGAGAAGTCGTATGACACGATTCCCAACTTCACAGCAGCGGACGCGCTGAGGGAGACTGGCATCGGGCGCAACCAGTTCATTGACATCATGAACCGCGCCCGCGCCAAGGTGGCCCCTCCGCTCTCTGCATACGCTCATGCACCCATGCATTCTTGCCTACATGGAGGAGCTCTACATTGGAGTGACTGGAACAAGTCTTTGCATAGTCTGACAGGCTGGCATGGCATCACAAATCGTTTGCTTTCTATCTCTCACTTTCCCACTCTCGTTCTGTCTTTTCCTCCCTGTTCGCCCCACCTAAGTGCGGACATCAGCTGATGTGGAGGGTGAACCGGGGGATAGTGAAGGACATGCTGCCACTGGAGCCAGTGCCCTTCCCCATCCAGTGCTGCTGCTTTCTCTCTCACCTTCCCACTCTCGTTCTGTCTTCCGCTGCATGTTCGCCCCATCTCTATGTGAGCATCAGCTGATGTGGAGGGTGAACCGGGGAATAGTGAAGGACATGCTGCCACTGGAGCCAGTGCCCTTCCCCATCCAGCCCTGGTGGCTCGTCTGCGTCGTCAACCTCACTGCTGACGAGTACAGAGTGAGTCTAAAGCGAGTATATGGTGAGCCTAAAACGAGTACATCGTGCGGTAGGGAAGCAGGCCGAAATTTTTTAGTTTTAACCAGCAGTAATTTTCAAAGTCGGTTTCCTTACGCTCCCATGCCTCCCGATGCGTTTCCACCCCTCAACGGCTGTTCTTCGCCTGCTCACTCCTCGCCCTCACCCCCCTCACCCCTGCACGGCACCAGAGGCTGACAGAGGAAGAGCTGAGTGAGATAGAGCGCGGCGGCCTTGAGGGCGACTGCACGGCTTGCGAGTTTGACGAGGAGCTCAACGCCTTTCCACCTCCTCCTGCCTCCTCCTCACCTCCTCATTCCCTGCCCTCACCCCTGTCACTCCCTTCATTAACCCCATCCCTGGTTGTGCTGCTCCAGAGGCTGACAGAGGAAGAGCTGAGTGTGATAGAGCGCGGCGGCCATGAGGGCGACTGCATGGCAGGCGAGTTTGACGAGGAGCTCGTGCGCTCGTTGTACTGCAAGGGACTCGTGTATCTCGACGTCCCTGTCTACCCCAACGACCGCTTTCGGGGTACATACGAGCATATAGTGCTTGCTTGCTTTGCTAGTGCTGGAAGCAAATAGTGGCCCTCTTCTGCTGCGCGCTTCACATCGCTCTATGCCTGCACCGCCCCACACACACCACACGTTGCTCTCGTCTTATCACGCCCCTACGCCTCCTTCCTCTCTGCCCCTCCCTGCTCTCCGACCTCCCTCCTCGGTATGCTTCCTTCTCCCGTTACCATGTGCAGTGTCATCTCTGCAGGGCTTTGTGTCAGTCTTTGAGAATTCTGAGGATTCTGGTTTTTGAGAATTCTCAAAACCCTCCCTGCTCTCCACCCTCCCTCCTCGGTATGCTCCCGTCTCCCATTACCATGTGCAGTGTCATCGCTGGAGGGCTTTGTGTCCAACAGGAACCAGCAGGGCGAAGACGCTTCTGAAAAGTACGTCCCTCCGGTCCCTGCCTCCGGTCCCTGCCTCCAGTCCCTGCCTCCAGTCCCTGCCGCTGCTGCCTCTGCCTCGTTCTCTGCACTCATGAATGCACCCTTCAATGGTGACCACACAGCACAGCACTGCTATTTAGTTCAGCCACTTTTGGGATATCAGAAGTGTCCCAAAAGCACATCCGCACAGTGGCTGAAACTTCTCTCCCCTCCTCCTCTGCAATCTCCCAGGCTGCTCTACTCGCTGTTTGTGACAGCCAGCGAGCACGCCACAGTGCACTTGATGGCGCTCACCCTTCAAGCCGATGTGCGGCAAGCATCCACTCACTCCCCCCCCCCCCTGCTCTCCTCCCCCCCAGGCTGATCTACTCGCTGTTCGTCACAGCTAGCGAGCAGGCCACGAGATGGCGCTCACTCTGCATGAAGCCATCCAAAAAAAGTCCCCCTGAGTCCTCTGCTACCTTCCCTTCCCCCTCCCCCAGGCTGCTCTACTCCCTGTTCGTCACAGCTAGCGAGCAGGCCACGGTACACGAGATGGCAAACACGCTGCAAGCCGACGTGCGGCAGCTGGGCGCCGCTATTTCCCTCGCGTGCCGCCTGGGGTGGGCCGAAAAGGTCCTGGACCTGCACTCGCTGCTCGACCACATGGACATGGGGGGGGACGGAGACACCGGCGACGGGGGCGTGGGCAGCGAGGGGTTTGGTGTGGGAGACGCAGGGGTGGGTGCGGGGATGGGGGGAGGGGAAGGGGGGTTGGAGGGAGTGGGGGGTGGGCAGGTGGTGGGGTGGAAGAAGGTGGAATCGGTGGGCTGGGGGGAGAGTGGAGGGGGTGCGGACCGGTTGAGGATAGCGCTGATGGTGGATGCCAACCTCACGTCCTTCCTCATGATGGGCTCCTTCTCCTACGGTCAGTGAGGCACCGCCTTTCTACTTTCTCCTTCCTCCTTTGCGTTCGCCCAGAGCTGGAGCAGAAACAGAGCGTGGCGGAGTTGTGGGTGGCGAGGGACCCCCAGCGGGTGGGAGGGCGAGGTGCACACCCTTCCCGTTCCCTTCCCTTCTACCCTCTCTCGCCGGGACCCTGCTTCCCTCCCCCTCCCCTTTGCCCCTGTCCGTCTCAGAGCTGAAGCAGCATGCGGTGACTCTGTTTGAAGTAGGCAAGCTGTCAGAAAGGAGTGTAGCAGAGCTGTGCGTGCGGGGATCTGCGAGCGGTGGAGAAGACCCAGCTGGAGGGCGAGCTACACAGGAGGTCATCCCCCATGCTCTGAGCCTCTCCTCTTCCGTTTCACGCATGCCCTCTGCTTCCCCACGTCCCCTGCAGAGTTGAAGCAGCACGCAGTGACATTATTCGAAGCAGGAAAACTGTCCGAACGGAGCGTGGCAGAGCTGTGTGGGGAGCTACGAGCAGTGGAGAAGACCCAGCTGGAGGGCGAGCTGCAGAAGTTCACGGACCACGCCTTCAGCCTGCGCTACGCCCTCTCCTGCCTCCGCACTGGCACCATCGACATCACCTCCGCCCTCCACACCCCCCGCCCTGCCTCTGCCGCTGCTGCCGCTGCAGCAGCTACTGCACCATCCCACCCTGCCTCTCGCTCTTCGCCACACAGTCATCCCAGTGCTTCCAGTGACCCCCCAAGCACCTCGGACTCTGCACAGGGGGCGGCTGCAGATGCACCTGCCCCAGATGACACCTGGTCCACGCGCAGTGTAGCTGACTCCGCCTCCACTGCCGACCCCTCAGACCTCCCCCTGCCCCTCCCCTCCCACCTCGTCGCCTCCTCCTCCTCCCAGTCCCTCCCTGACTCTGTCGTTGCATCTCAACCCGCCTCCTCGGATGCTAAATCCTCCGATGCACCCGATGGGGCTGCAGGCAGCAGCGCAGCAGGCTTGGGGCAATCGACGCTGCAGGAGAAGCCGCTGCACCCACGTGCGGCGTCGTACCCCGCACTGCCAGCAGCTGACGCAGACGACGACGGCTCCTCCTCCCCCGCCGCCCCTCCCCCTCCCGCTGCTGCCACGACCACTGCCACAGTACCACCACTACCACCATCATCATCATCCTCATCATCAGCAGCAGCAGTGGCTGCACGGGCAACGTTCAACCGAGTGGAAGTCCTACGAACAGAGAGCCTACAGGGGCTAGCACCGGCCACGCTGCACCGTCTGCTGCGCCGGGACTTTGACCTCGTCGTCTCCATCGTGCCCCTCCCCAAGCCCCTCAACGCCGTCGTTCCCGACGGCTCCGGCCCGGCCCACTTCGGCCCGCCCGCGCCCGCCTTCCTCTCCCCCTGGGCGAAGCTGTTTCTCTACGCTAAAACCGCCTCTGGGCCGGTTTCAGTGGTGCTCATGAGAGGGCTGAGACTCAGGCTGCTGCCGCCGCCGCTGGTGACGTGTGACAAGGCGTTGGTGTGGACGTGGGATGGGATGGCGGTGGGGGGAGTGGGGGCGAAGAGTGAAGGGTCGCTGGTGCCTGGGACCGTGCTGCTGCACGTGGTTAACAGCTTGCTGAGGCATTCTGCTGTGATGGTACAGCCTCTGGCCGGCCCGCCTGCTCCTGCTCCTGGATTCTCCAGAACTGGGTCGAACTCAGCTGTGAGAGCAGCAGGAGGGGGAGTGGGAGGGGGAGTGGAGGGAGGGTTGTGGGGTGGGGATGGGGCGGTGGAGGGGGTGGGGGAGGGGGTGGGGGAGGGGGTGGGGTGTCTTACGGAGGAAGGGGAGCCGGATATTGCCACGGTTGCCCTCCCTCTTCCCCCTCGCTCTCGACCTGACTCCAGTGAGGCTCGAGCAGCTGATGGGGCATTGTCGCAGGCGCAGAAGCAGCAGGGCGGGGGGAGATCATTAGGAAGGGCGAGGCTGGGGGGTACTGAAACTGCTGAGGAAGCGGTGGGTGGTGCAGCAGGAGGCGACGAGGGACGCAGGAGTGAGGGAGTTGAGGGTGAGGGGGTGAGTGATAGCACTGGTGGTGATGGTGGTGATGACGCAGGGGCAGTGGAACAGGGAGCGGGGCAGCAGTGGGAGGAGGAGTCGCCTGTGGTGGCAGCAGCGAGGCGAGCAGCAGAAGTTTTGGCTGTGGATGCTGTGGGGTTCGTGCGGGTTATCCGAACAGAGGCCGGGGAGGAGGACGACGAAGACGAGGAGGATGCACAAGGGGGTGGTGCTGCCGGCGCTGGCACTGCCACTGGGGAAGGGAGGTTGAGAATAGACGTTAGTGGAGGAGAGGCGGGAGCAGGAGGGACGAGGGGAAGCCCAGGGAAGAAGAAGCAGCAGCGGCGGGGCGAGTGGGTGGCACACAGTGTGGAGTTTGGCATTCCGCTGTTTCACACGCACCTGTGCTGCCAGGTCTGCGACGCCGTGGTCTCTCACAGCATGCTCACCCCTCCCCAGCTCGCCTCGCAGCGCCGCTCCACCCTCTCCCTCCGCTCCGCCCTGCGAGAATTCATTTCTGACTACCGCCAGCACGGCCCCGTCTCCCGGGCGGTCTACACCGGGAATGTGGCTCTCCTGCGGTCCACCTCCCGCCGCTGGTCTGCTTCGTTTGCTGCCTCCACTGCTGCTGCGTCTCCCTTTTCTGTGCTGCTGCCGAGGCGGACTGTCAGGCATGTGCCGCCGTCGCCGTCGGGGAGGGGAGCAGGCGAGAGGGGTGGGGGGCGGGGAGGAGGGAGGAGAGGGGAGATTGGGGGGGTGATTGCGGCTGCGGTGGCAGCAGTGGATGCGGAGAAGGGAGGGGGGAGGAGGGCGGGGGACAGGAGGGGGAGGATGGGGCAGAAGCACAGGTTGAGCCGAAACTTCTCAGAGTTTTGGTACCTGCCAGAAAATCAAGCCCCCAGGTATGAGTGGTTTCTGAAAACCTTCAACACTATTGGCGTTTGCCAAAAAAGGGATTGACATGGAAACTATCTCATCTCATTCCACTCTCCAGCTCACACTCCTCCTTTCTTCCTTCCTTCCCTTATTCCCTCTCCCCCTCCCTCCATTCTCCAGCTTCGCGGCCACACAGGATGATCCGCAGGACCCCTATGCGCAATCAAATCGTGATCCAAGCTTCACGTCAGAGGAGGAAGAGGACGACCTCAGCCGCCCGGCATACCCCGGAGTGAATATGATATTCGACGGTCACCTGCTGCTGCCCATCGACCTCTCGACCTATCTGCACGGGCGACAAGCATCGGTTCTTGTGGCCCGTGCAACATCGATGTCTCAGCAGTCCATCATGTGGTGATGCTGGTGGGATGGTGGTGGTTGGGAGACGAGGGTCATTGTAACGGGATGGATGGGAGTCATTGCTTTAGAGAACAGGGCACCCACCTAGGTACGGTAGTTTGTCTGCTGCCGTTGTTGCAGGCCCTCGGTATGGTAAAACGCCTGCTCTAGTACAGTAGATTTGGGCCTTTTTTCGTATTGACGCCAGCACATGCGTGTGTCCAGTTGCCATTCCACAGCACAAACCCGCTAGCTCCACGGGGCATTGTCTCTGACCTCATGCCTCAGTGGGACCAGCAGCCTTTGAGGTTGACCGGGCCAATCTCCACATGACGCGACCCTATCTCCAGCCCCCAATGTGTGTGTAAGGCAGGCTGAATCACATTCACAACCCGTCTTGAGCTGTCAATTGCATCCTAATCTAGCTTGCTGCATTCTGACAGGCTGATTGCAAGCTTGCTCGAAGTCTGGTACGCAAGAAGGAGCGACATGGAGAGCATCTAGCAGCAACTGGAAAATCATCTTCCAGTACCGTGGTATCAGCATTTGGGAACACACAGCATCAGCATGTGGAGGACAAAATACTATACTACAAGGAAATTGGAGGGAACCTTTGAGCAACCAAGAGAGTGTCAATCGGCAACTGGGAGAGCATCTGCCGTATCAGCACAGCAAGTGGAGGAAGACATTCGCAAGCATTTATTGGCAGGGCAGAGCGAGTGGAACCAGAGGTTCCTGGCATTCATCACATCATCTAAAATCCTCGGCGCGCCCAGCACCACCGTCAGTGTGGTCCCCACAGCAATGATCGCAGTGAGAATAAAGATGATGATCGAAGCACGGCCGGTGCTCTTGACTATACGACCCACGATTGTGACCCCCAGGAGGGAGGCGATGAAGGCGGTGGGGGCGAAGACGGCAGCATAGGCGAGGTTGAGGCGGTGGAGGAAGAGGAAGGAGAGGGAGACGCTGCTGCTGCCAAACAGCACCATCATCACTGACGTTGATGCTGTGATCTGAGAGGGGGGAGAGGGAGAGAAGGGGGAAGTGGGAGGGAGTGGGGTCAGTGGCGCAAGACAGGTTGGTGCTGGAGTATGGTGTTATGCTCCAGCACATATCCCCGATGTTGATGCTGGCACCATCATCACCGACGTTGATGCTGTGATTGGAAGGAGAGGGGGAGGGGGGAGGAGCGGGGCAAGTAAGCGGGATTGGAGTCAGCGTGGTTGTGAAGGGATCATGTGGCAGTACCTGGGGCAGCAATATTCGGCAGTACCTGGGGCGGCAACATTCGGCAGTACCTGGGGTGGCAACATTCGGCAGTACCTGGGGCGGCAACATTCGGCAGTACCTGGGGCGGCATCATTCGGCAGTACCTGGGGCGGCATCATTTGTCAGTACCTGGGGCGGAATGCCGAGCGAGAGCATGAAGGGGTTGAAGAGCGGTGCCCCTCCGATGCCCAGCACCCCCACCATCACTCCCGCCACCACCATCACCCCCACCACCTGCCACCAAAGGAAAGCAAATGCAACATCAGGGAAGGGCAAAAGACCAAAGAACAGCAAGGAGCAGCAAGGTGAGCAGGGCTTGGAAGCAGCAAGGATAGTCGGCTCGGTAACGCGTGCAGGACTGGCTTTCCTTGCTGCTTCCAGCCAGCCAGCAAGACGGGCTGGATGGACAAGAGAGGAGCACAGCCGCTAGCCATGCAGCGTGAGAAATGTACACATCAACATATCCTGTGCGCTGACCTTAAATATTTTCTGGGCAGCCCGCTTTCTCCGGGCCTCCACAACTTCATCATCGCCTGCCCCGTCCTCATCTGTCTGCCCAGCCATGAGCACCCGTGAGAGTGCTGACGCCCCCTCTGCATCCGGATTGGTGGACGCCGCCCGAACCTGGGAGGGGAAAGTGGGGAGAGGGTGGCCGGGGGGAGGGGGGTAAAAGAAAGAGGAAAAGGTGGAAAAGATGGTTGATTGGTGCATGCTCCCAGAACCTGGGAGGAAGAGTGGGTGGGCGATGGTTAATTGATTTCTTGGGAAAGGATTGCAGATAGAATGTTGGGAGAACATGGGGCACCTGATAGGCGAGGGAAGCACGTGGCATTACCTGATAGGCCACCATGGCAGCAGTGGCGGCAAAGCAGAGCAGCGTCTGTGCCGCCCAGTAGAGGAAGAACTGGCGGCTGCACCGCGTCGTGCCTGCCAGCCCGCGCTCAAGGGCCATCATTGACACCCACAGCACTGAGAGAGGGGGGAAAGGGAGAATGGATGATGGGGCAATGAAGAACGGCGTTACGGCGATTGCAATTTACTGCCATACCAATAACTGTCACGAGTAGGGTTGGCAGGGTTTTTTTCTCAAAGGATGCACCAGTTTCATGAGGATCCTGGTTATGTTTCCCCACCCACCCGCATGCCGCCTGCCCATCTCCCACCACCACCACCCCCACATACCGCCAAGGCCCACGAGTGGCAGCAGCTGGGCGGCAGTGTGAGCCACAAAGTCCGACAGCCGCCCAGATCCACTGGACGGGTCCAACCAGCGCCGCTTGGAATGGACGTGGGCGGTGGGAGAGGAGGAAGCGGCAGAAGGGGCAGAGGAGGAGGGGGCAGTTGCTGCTGCTTCTGCTGCTGCTGACTGTGAAAGCAGAGGCGTGTTGATCGAGGAGGAGGAGGTGGAGGGGGGCTGCTGCTGCCGCTGCTGCTGCTGATTCTGCCTGGCCGCAGCGGCTTGGGTCTCCTTCTCCCACGCCTTGCTCGCCTTGATGCCCGTCTCCCTCGCTACGTACCCCAGCAGTATCGCCAGTAGGGACGTCTGCGGGCCAGTGAGTGGGGCCGGGAGGGGAAGGCGGAGGGGAAGGGGAAGTAGAAGAAGAACGGGAAGGAGGAGGGACTTGGGGACTGGACTGGAGGTCTGATGAGCAGAGTCATTGCAAGTGATGGGCCATGGGTTGCAGTATCAAGCCTCACGAGCAGATTCTGTCAGCATTACCAGCCCTGTCAGCAGCACGAGCAGCACCTGTCACCTGTCACCCCCAGCAGGGGCAGCACCTGTGAGCAGCAGCAGCAGCAGCAGCAGCAGCAGCAGCAGCGGCAGCACCTGGAGCAAATGTGGAAGCAGAAGAGGTAGCACCTAACAGCAGCAGGGGAGGGGCAGGACCTGAAGCCAGGGCGGCAGGAGCGGGTTGAGCAGCACACCGCAGCTGACGCCCAGCAGCAGCGCAGGCGTGAAGGTGAGCGCCAGGCGCAGGTCGATCAACGGCTGTGATGGATCCGCGGGGCTGCTCTGGATCAGCCCGTAGAAGGTGCTCGCCACGCCAGTGTTTAGGGGAGGGGAGAAGAGGAGAGGAGGAGAGGGGTGACGGAAAGGGGAGGGAAGAGTGGCGTGGGTGACAAGGGGATGGTGCAGAGCGAGGGATGAAAGAAAGAAAGATCGATACACAGGCACCTGGAGGCGACCACGGCGTGACAATGGCGCTGAAATGCAGAGATGGTGTGACTATAAAGGTGCATTGTCCATTGAGTACGGTGCCTGGAGGCGTCCATGATGTGACTATAGCGGAGCACGTCTTGTAGAGGTTCAAATCCATTGTATACTGTTTCACCAGGAGGCGACCATGGTGTGACTATAGCGGGGTACAGCACCTGGAGGCGACCATGGTGTGACTATAGCGGGGTACAGCACCTGGAGGCGACCATGGTGTGACTATAGCGGGGTACAGCACCTGGAGGCGACCATGGTGTGACTATAGCGGGGTACAGCACCTGGAGGCGACCATGGTGTGACTATAGCGGGGTACAGCACCTGGAGGCGACCATGGTGTGACTATAGCGGGGTACAGCACCTGGAGGCGACCATGGTGTGCGAGAGGCCGGTGGCGCCGTTGGCGGTGAAGCCGAGGAAGGAGTTGAAGAGTGGCATGTAGAATGGCCCCCCGCCTATCCCCGCCGCGTTCGCCAGCAGCGCGCACTGCCGCGCGGAAGATGGCAGAGGAGATGGTGAGGAAATGGTGGAGGGGAGAGGATGGAACGGAAAACTATGATGATCGGAGGAGCACGTAGGGGGGGTTGATGAACGGTGGGGGGGAGTGAAGGAGTGAAAATGCACCGGAATCGAGGTCCGCACGAGGGGAAGATCCGATCACAGATCGATCACGTCGCACCGCGCCTGCGAGGGGCCTCATAGTACGCGTTAGTGGCTCACGCATGCAGTGAGGATGAGGCCGCTAATGCTGTACACATCCCACCGTAGCTCCGTCCGGTGGTCCTTCGGCGCTGTGAACCCTCCGCCCTTGCCGCCTTGCGCGCCGGCAGCACCACCATCTGCGGCTGCAGCAGCAGCAGCAGCAGAAGCAGCAGCAGCACTTTCATTGGAATAATTTACAGGATCGGCCGGTTCTAAGGCAGCGCTTATGGCAGAATCTGCACGTTCGGAGCGAAGCAAGCCCACTGCGCTACACGCCATGATGCCAAACTCGCTTATCACATCGCTGCTATCGTCGCCCGCGTCGTAGCTTTCGCCGCTGCTGTCGCTCGTATTGCGACCCCATGCAACCCTCTCAACGACGACGGCGCCGCCGTTTCCGCCGGCGGCGGCTGCGGAAATGCCAGCAATGCCGCTGCCGCTCTTACGACCGCCGATACTCGCGGCGGTCAAGGCGGCGTCTCGTGCGGCAGGAACGGTGGCAGCGTCAGAGACATCGAGAATCGCTGAATTGGCGACAGATGCGCCGACGACAACGACGGCGAGCAGCAGAACGAGAGCGGCGGGCCAGTATGCTGCCATTGGTTGAAATTTCAGCGAGCTGATTCTGACTACGTACGCTGTGAGAGGGACTGCAAAACAGAAGCCTTGGCCGTTCAATTGGGATCGCCGTTGAGAAAGGTAGCGAAAGAAGAGACTTTTCCTGAAAAGCGATCTTTCCTCTCAGCCATCAGAAGACAACCTGCTTGGAGCTCCCCCGATAAATAAACCTGGAGCTTGCCGTACAGCCAGGCATAGAAGCTGCCAGTGCTGCTGCTCGCGCGACCACCATAGATTTTGCCGCGATTGGACGATGGGAGCAAAGCTGCCGTTCGATTCCGGAACTAAAGGGGCCACGGAGAAGTGATCGGGTGGAGCGAGAATGATGGTGGACGCTGTCTTGGTGCAAAGTATCCTCGGTGAGGAGATATCGGTTTCTTCACTATCAGGTTATTGATCTTTGAAGTTTTCTCGTGACTATTAGTCATTATACGATGAGTGGTTCTCTCGTAATTGTTCGTGGTCAGGAACGTACGTAACTCCAATCAAGTGGAGTTTGTACATCGCAGTTGTTCCTCAATAACGAGTACAGGACATGCGCCGTGCACCGTGTTCATTGGATGCGAAATTCGCCAAACTCTTGCGAACAGAAGCAAAAGAAATGACTGCTCTCAGCCCCCAGCCCCCAGGAATCACAGCTGGTGTATTCTGTGTGAGGGGGGATCTCCTGAGATCCTCCCCTCCTCCCTCCCTCCCAAGCTCACTGTTTGTTCCCCTCCACACATCCCACGCGGTTGAATGGATCTCGATTTGGCGCGCACGCCGCACCACAGGTGCAGAGATTACACAATTGATAGGGAATCACCCTTTTTGTAATAGCCCTTAAGCGGTTCCCAGAAAATCGTAATTCATTTTCAGCACTCCACGGGGTGGTGGAGGTCCGCACAAGTGACGTGACAATGCTAACAAATGTTTCAGTTTTCAAGTACACCGAACGCTTCAGAGTGTGGAATTACCAAAGACCATGCACGAAAAGAGCAACATCGACCACGCATTATCCATCCATCCGCACATTGATTGCGCTTACTGGGTTGCGCCCGTCCCTTCCCCTCCTCCCCCCGCCCCACTCCGCGTCTCGACTCGACTCGACCAACCACCAGCGCGATGCGTCGCTGATGCACTGCACACACAAACCTCCCTACCACACCATCACCACCAACCACGGAAGAACGAACTCAATTGCTCTGCTGGCAACCAAGACTAAGCGACAGCCGCACTTGACACATCGGCATAATGCCCAGCTGAAGAGAATTGAGTGATGAAGCGATGACGTGATTTATGAGGCTTTGTGCAGAAGTTTTTAGGTCAGCGAGAACACCATGTTTCTTGCTTAGCTATATGTACCTACCCCTAGTGCAATCTGCACTTCTTGGGCATGGTGGTGGTGAGCTCGCCGCTGCTCTCCAAAAGCGCCGCTGCTGCCGCTGTGACAGCAGCAGATTCGTTCGCGGCGCTTCGTTCTGCTTCTAATCAAACTCGGAATTTCTCAGCAGAACGCCGCGCACACCACAGCCATGACATTTCCATGGCGCCGCGCAACTCACCAGACAAAGATCTCCGCTTTGCGCCGCCATCGCACCGTCCTACCGACCTGGCTGCTCGTTGCAGCGCTTCTTGCCGCCTCGCGCGCTCCGCTAACCGCCAGCCAGCGAATTAGCAGCCATACACCCGCCCGCAGGCATTTAGCGCCTCGCGCGGACCCTCCTCCGCTTGGCCGAGAGTCATTCGCGTCGGCGTACGCTCGCACGAAGGTGCTTGCTGGCGACGATAAACCAGTGTTCCTGCGACCAATCGCAGCCAATCGCCCAGAGTCGCAGGCGTCGCGTGGCAGTCGCACGCGGTCATCGCGTTCGCTAATTCGCCTCCAGCAGGGAACGGCGTCCGTCGGTAATCCCAATGCCGCGACTATGACGACCGCTGGCGCCGCAACCGCCGTACCACGGGGCGTCGCCGCGATCTTCAGGTGCGCCGCAATCGAATCCTGCGTTGAAATCATCAGACTGGATTCTTTGAGACGTCTCAAAATAATGAAGCCACGTGAAAAAAGGAGTGTTTTGAGACGTCTCAAAACATTGAGATCATCAGACTGGATTCTTTGAGACGTCTCAAAACATTGAGATCATCAGACTGGATTCTTTGAGACGTCTCAAAACATTGAGATCATCAGACTGGATTCTTTGAGGCGTCTCAAAACATTGAGATCATCAGACTGGATTCTTTGAGACGTCTCAAAACATTGAGATCATCAGACTGGATTCTTTGAGACGTCTCAAAACATTTAGATCACCAGACTGGATTCTTTGAGACGTCTCAAAACATTGAGATCATCAGACTGGATTCTTTGAGACGTCTCAAAACATTGAGATCATCAGACTGGATTCTTTGAGACGTCTCAAAACATTGAGATCATCAGACTGGATTCTTTGAGACGTCTCAAAACATTGAGATCATCAGACTGGATTCTTTGAGACGTCTCAAAACATTGAGATCATCAGACTGGATTCTTTGAGACGTCTCAAAACATTGAGATCATCAGACTGGATTCTTTGAGACGTCTCAAAACATTTAGATCACCAGACTGGATTCTTTGAGACGTCTCAAAACATTGAGATCATCAGACTGGATTCTTTGAGACGTCTCAAAACATTGAGATCATCAGACTGGATTCTTTGAGACGTCTCAAAACATTGAGATCATCAGACTGGATTCTTTGAGACGTCTCAAAACATTGAGATCATCAGACTGGATTCTTTGAGACGTCTCAAAACATTGAGATCATCAGACTGGATTCTTTGAGACGTCTCAAAACATTGAGATCATCAGACTGGATTCTTTGAGACGTCTCAAAACATTTAGATCACCAGACTGGATTCTTTGAGACGTCTCAAAACATTGAGATCATCAGACTGGATTCTTTGAGACGTCTCAAAACATTGAGATCATCAGACTGGATTCTTTGAGACGTCTCAAAACATTGAGATCATCAGACTGGATTCTTTGAGACGTCTCAAAACATTGAGATCATCAGACTGGATTCTTTGAGACGTCTCAAAACATTGAGATCATCAGACTGGATTCTTTCCAGCTACGACGCGGTCGGGACTGGCAAGAGTTCCTTTTGGGACATTTCCAGAGTTGCTGGCATTTGCAGGGAATTCGAATTCTCGCAGGATCGCTTTGTACTTCTCGCAAAATCCCTGCGCCCGAATCGCGCCTACCCATCACAAACCATCATTCGTCCCCTCTGTGCAGCGACGCGCATGACGTAACAGCGCCCTCCGCCTCTTCTTCTGCCGCCGCCAACCACGCGCTCGCCGCCACAGCCGGCCCGCTGGGCACCAGCGGGGCGACGGGGGGCGGGAGAAAGGCGGTGACGGCGGGGAGGGGGAGGAACGGGCCAATTGGAATATCTCCGCACTGGAGCGCGAGTTGCACGGGGCGCGCGTGCGGGGTGATGGAGCGGCCAATCAGCGTGTATGTCGTGTGGTATGGCGCGTTTTCCGAGACTCAGAAGCAGATGGTTCGTTCGCTCACCGCGTCACTCAGCCCACACGCCGACCCGTCCGTCACAGGTGCTGTCCCCCTCGTTGCAAGCACTGGCAGGTGTTGTCCCCTCGTTATGAGCACTGACAGGTGTTGTCCTCTCGTTGTTAGCACTGACAGGGGCTGTCCCCCTCGTTGTAACCACGCACTGACAGGAATTGCAAGAGGTTCTAGGTTCAGCATCTTAGTTCCTTTGACTTCACACTAGAACCAACCTGCACTTCTACCCCTCTCGCCCCTCTTTCCTCTTCCCTTTGCCCGTCCTACTCCTTCCTCTCCACTACACACCCTCACTCCATCCCTGCAGTTCCCCTCTGGTGGAACATCAATCGGCTGTACTACGACTCGAGTGGTAACCACATCTCCGAGTCCGTTACATGGGGCGGTGAGGTCGAGGATGCAAACTATTCCCGAGGCAAGACTCTTTCCGATGCTGACGTCAGGAGCCTCATCACCAACGCAATATCCTCCAACCAGCTGCCTTATAACGAGGACGGAGTGTACTTTGTCCTCTCGGATGAAACCGTATCCCAAATGTGGAATATGCCAGGCGGCAGCAGACCAGCGTTCTGCGCCAGCTTCTGCGGGTGGCACTGGGACGGCCGAGCCTCCAGCTTCGGAAGCATTGTGTACTCCTGGGTCGGGAACGCGGCAACATTATGCCCCAGATCTTGCATCACGCGAGCTCTGCGTGCCAGCGAGGCGGCGCCGCCCAATCAGGACGCGGGGATGGACGGGCTGCTGTCGGTGTTTGCGCACGAGCTGGCAGAGGCCACGTCGAGCCCGTTCGTTGCCACGTGGTTCGATGAGAGCGGCGAGGAGAACGCCGACAAGTGCTCATGGGAGTGAGTGGGGGATTGAGGGGTGGGACGGATTGACGGGTGGGTGGGATTGAGGGGTGGGACGGAGTGACGGGTGGGTGGGATTGAGGGGTGGGACGGAGTGACGGGTGGGTGGGATTGAGGGGTGGGACGGAGTGACGGGTGGGTGGGATTGAGGGGTGGGACGGAGTGACGGGTGGGTGGGATTGAGGGGTGGGACGGAGTGACGGGTGGGTGGGATTGAGGGGTGGGACGGAGTGACGGGTGGGTGGGATTGAGGGGTGGGACGGAGTGACGGGTGGGTGGGATGGAGGGGTGGGACGGAGTGACGGGTGGGTGGGATCGAGGGGTGGGACGGAGTGACGGGTGGGTGGGATTGAGGGGTGGGACGGAGTGACGGGTGGGTGGGATTGAGGGGTGGGACGGAGTGACGGGTGGGTGGGATTGAGGGGTGGGACGGAGTGACGGGTGGGTGGGATGGAGGGGTGGGACGGAGTGACGGGTGGGTGGGATCGAGGGGTGGGACGGAGTGACGGGTGGGTGGGATTGAGGGGTGGGACGGAGTGACGGGTGGGTGGGATGGAGGGGTGGGACGGAGTGACGGGTGGGTGGGATCGAGGGGTGGGACGGAGTGACGGGTGGGTGGGATTGAGGGGTGGGACGGAGTGACGGGTGGGTGGGATGGAGGGGTGGGACGGAGTGACGGGTGGGTGGGATCGAGGGGTGGGACGGAGTGACGGGTGGGTGGGATTGAGGGGTGGGACGGAGTGACGGGTGGGTGGGATTGAGGGGTGGGACGGAGTGACGGGTGGGTGGGATTGAGGGGTGGGACGGAGTGACGGGTGGGTGGGATTGAGGGGTGGGACGGAGTGACGGGTGGGTGGGATTGAGGGGTGGGCGGAGTGACGGGTGGGTGGGATTGAGGGGTGGGACGGATTGACGGGTGGGTGGGATTGAGGGGTGGGACGGAGTGACGGGTGGGTGGGATGGAGGGGTGGGACGGAGTGACGGGTGGGTGGGATCGAGGGGTGGGACGGAGTGACGGGTGGGTGGGATTGAGGGGTGGGACGGAGTGACGGGTGGGTGGGATTGAGGGGTGGGACGGAGTGACGGGTGGGTGGGATTGAGGGGTGGGACGGAGTGACGGGTGGGTGGGATGGAGGGGTGGGACGGAGTGACGGGTGGGTGGGATCGAGGGGTGGGACGGAGTGACGGGTGGGTGGGATTGAGGGGTGGGACGGAGTGACGGGTGGGTGGGATGGAGGGGTGGGACGGAGTGACGGGTGGGTGGGATCGAGGGGTGGGACGGAGTGACGGGTGGGTGGGATTGAGGGGTGGGACGGAGTGACGGGTGGGTGGGATTGAGGGGTGGGACGGAGTGACGGGTGGGTGGGATTGAGGGGTGGGACGGAGTGACGGGTGGGTGGGATTGAGGGGGGGGGGGAGTGAGGAGTGGAAGTGATTGGTTTCTGGCCCTTCTCTGTTTGTCATTTCCTCCTACGGTACTCGTGTCATTTCCTCTTGCGCTCTCCGGTCCTCCTGCTTCATCTCGGTCCTCCTGCTTCTTACGTGCACGGTGCACCCATCATGGTGTGCACCCATCATTCTCCCTTTCGGTTGACTTTTGAGTCGACTCAAAAAACGCCCCCATTCTCCCTGACGGTCCTGACCCATAGCAACTTGCTACAGCTCTAACCTCCTCCTTCCCGCGTCCCCTCCCCTCTCCCCCCCTCTCCCCTTTTTCCCCCTCGTCCTGTTCCTCACTGCTTCTCACCGCTACAGGTTCGCCCCCATTCTCACGGACCCATCAGGAGCGCGCTACAACCTGGTGGGGGTCAACGGCTCAAAGTACCTTATCCAGCAAAACTGGGATCTCACCACTGGTGCCTGCAAACTCACCCTCCCATACCCCTTGCCTCCTCCCCCTCCCTCACCGCCCAAGTTCCTCCCTCCGCCTAAATCCCCCCCGCCGCAATCAAATCCGGAGAAGATTTGGAGGAGAATATGGGGGAGAGGGAAGCGATGAGGGGTGTGGGGGGGGGGGAGAGAGGTGGGTTGGGATGGGCGGCATGGGGTGGGAGGGGAGATTGCATTCCACGACAAACCGCATCTACCTAATCAGCTAGACGGGGTATTCGGCGGGTTGTCACTGCTTGATGGGGCTATTGTTGTCAGTGGGTGGGGTGGGGTTGTTACCAGCGCTGTCCGTGTGCCTGTGCCTGTACCGGCAGGGCTAGTCAGATATGTTTTTGCCCATGCTCCTGCCGCCATCGCATGTAGTGTCACGCATACCCAGCTTGGCTTCTCTTTGTTCCGGGTGGAGTGGGGTTCTGAAAAAAAAAAAAAAAAAAAAAATTACTCTTACAGCTGCTGTGTACTGTAAGAAGAGCACTTGCCATGCTTGGCATACCGTACTTTCTGCTCCTCTCCCTCCCTACCAGACGCAACCGAGGCTGTTTACCTTTCTTTTGTACAACACTGTATCTGTGATGTACCATACCACTGAACAACATTCCTTTATACAGTTATCGGCCATTCGGAAAGAGTCTCTTGAATAGCCGCTGCACATATTCCCCCACGCCCTTGGGGGGCCGCTGAGGGGGAACAGAGCGCATACGAGGGGGCGGAGGGGGTGGAGGAGGGGAAGGAGGAGGGGACGGGGGCGAGGGGGGAGGAGGAGGCGAGGGAGGGGGGGGAGGTGGAGAGGGAGGAGGGGGAGATGGGGGAGGCGGCGATGGGGGGGGAGGAGAGGGAGGGGGAGGGCTTGGAGGTGGGGGAGGAGATGGGGGGGGCGACGGCGGGGGAGAGGGTGGAGGAGGGGGGGAGGGAGGCGGGGAAGGAGGCGGAGGAGGGGAGGGAGGGGAGGGGGGGGGAGGAGGGGCAGGGGGGTAGGGCATGGTGAGCTGGCAGGTGCCAGTGGTGAGATCCCAGTTTTGCTGAATGAGGAACTTAAAGCCGTTGACCCCCACCAGGTTGTATTTGCCTCCTGATGAGTCCGTGAGAATTGGGTTGAACCTGCAGAGGCAAGGCAGGGAGGGACAGGACGAGGGGAAAAAGAGGGGAGAGGAGTGTGGGGGGGTGTGGAGTGGAAGGATGGGGTGAGGAGGTGTGGACACAGCAGTGCATGCGATGGTAGTGGGGCAAAGAACATGGGTGTGGTGCATATGGGGCTTCTGGGACGCCTCAAGAGAACGTGGGAACAGGAGGAGCACGGGCACAGACACACACACGCACGCACGCACGCACGCACGCACGCACGCACGCACGCACGCACGCACGCACGCACGCACGCACGCACGCACGCACGCGCACGCGCGCACACGCACACACACGCACGCACGCACGCACGCACGCACGCGCACGCGGGCACAGACATACACACACACGCACGCACGCACGCACGCACGCGGGCACAGACACACACACACACGCACGCACGCACGCACACACACACGCACACACACGCACGCACGCACGCACGCACGCACGCACGCACGCACGCACGCACGCACGCACGCACGCACGCACACACACACACACACACACACACACACACACACACACACACACACACACTCACTTCCACGCGCACTTGTCAGCGTTCTCCTCGCCCTTGTCATCAAACCATGTGCTCACGAACGGCGAAGACGCAGCCTCTGCCAGCTCGTGCGCATACACCGACAGCAAGGCATCCATGCCCACGTCTCTGTTCGGTGCCTTGCTGGCCGTGCGGATGTCACTAGCGATGCACGACGTGGGGCACTGGGGAGGGATGGGTGGGGTGCGACGGGAAGAGGTGGCTTGAGCTCATGAGCAAACACTGAGAGCATCCATGCCCACGTCTCTGTTAGGTACCTTGCTGGCCGTTCGAATATCAGAGGAGATACAGGACGTGGGGCACTGGGGTTGGGGGTGGGGGATAAAGGGGGAGGAGCGGAGTGAGGTGGGGAGAGGCGTCTGCATGAGCGCGTGTGCGAACACGGACAGCTACGCGTCCATGCCCACATCTCTGTTAGGTGCCTTGCTGGCCGTGCGGATGTCACTAGCGATGCACGAGGTGGGGCACTGGAAGGGTGGGGAGATGTGCAATAAGGGAGGGCGGGGGAGGGCAGAGAGAGGTGGGGAAAGGCGGATGTTCGAGGTGGTGTATGAATCGTCCATGCTTGTCAGTGCATCCATCCCAACATCCTTGTTACATCCTTGTTACGTACCTCTGCTAGAAACCTCGCCGGGCTTGCAGAAGCACGACTTTTGAAAATTTCCCAAAGAGCCCGACTTCTGAGAATTCCACAAAGAGCCCAACTTTTTAGAATTCCCCTAAGAGCCCGGCTTTTTAGAATTTCCCAAAGAGCCCAGCTTTTTAGAATTCCCCAAAGAGCCCAACTTTTTAGAATTCCCCAAAGAGCCCTTCCCCACTCCCACCACTCCACCGCCCCCAACAGATACCCCCACCAGCCCCAAACACCCCCCCTCCTCCCCCCCCACACACGAGGCGGTCGGCGCGGCCGACCCAGGAATAATGAAGGCTCCAACCTCGCCACCTCATCTTCCCAACTCCCCATCACATCACCCCCTAACTAGCCGCCAGCACCCCCTCCTTCCCCCCACGCACGAGGCGGTCGGCGCGGCCGACCCAGGAATAAATGAAGCTACCCCGGGAGGGCGCCGTGCCGAAGAAATGCCACCCGCAGAACGTGGTGCAGAATTTGTCTGTTGTGCTCCATTGCTGCGGGGAAGGGAGGGGCGGGGGGAGAGGAAGGAAGGAGGGGGATGTGAAGGGGCGAAGGGGGATCGAAAGAAGGAGGAGATAAGAGAGAAGAGAGAAGAGGCATTTCATCAACACAAGCACATACTCAGGCTTCACCTGACCTGGTTCACGTATTGGTCCGAGAGCACGAAGTACACTCCATCCTCGTCATAAGGCAGCTCGCTCGTAGCAATGGCTGTGGCGACCACCGCTTCCACGTCATCCAGCCACAATGTTTTCCCTCGGGAATACCCAAGGTCATCTTTTTCCTTGACCCACGTTACATTTGCCGAGATGAAACGCCCCTGCTGGTCGTAGTACAGCCGGTTGATGTTCCACCAGAGGGGAACTGTAACGGCAGGGTCGTCACTCGGACTGAACGACCTGGTGAGCGTACGGACGAGCTGCTTCTGCGACTCGGAGAAGTAACCGTACCACACCACGTACACTCGGATTGGTTTCCACATGACTCCGCATCTGTCCGTACAGTAAATGCTCCAATGCGGACTAATGCCGATGGGGGTCGGCATTGACGCGGATGATGACGTGGATGACGCAGTAGCTGACGTGGATGAGATGGAAAGGGAAGTCTTAGTAGTTTTAGTAGCCTCGGAAATGGGGCGCGCGATTCCCCTCTTGAGCTTTTCGATCTGGCTGCTACTGTCAGCAGTACTGCTGCCTTTATCACTGCCTATTGTAATGGCATTGTCCAGATTGGGAGCGGCTTGAGACAATGATCGAGGCGCGGTGCGCGCAGCCGCATCCTCCCCCTCGTCCCCCGCGGCTTCCTCGACGGCTTCCCCCGAGAGGTCCTTCTTTCCCCCCCGCCACTGCCACCGCCTTGCGCTGACCATTCCCCCAGACGCCCAGTTGCCGCGCGCGTCGCCGCGGACGCCCTCGGGATCTCCGGCGGAGGATTCGGTGGCGTGGCGGAGTTGAGGCGTTCGTTCAGGGGACCATTGCCCGTGCAAAACAGTCAGGAGCGGCGCGGGAGCAACGTGGTTTGCGTTTTGCCAGCCGACAGGGCGAAGCGGGATGGGCAGAGCAGGCCTTTTTTTAGTCCACGTCGTTCGACGATCACCAGGAGTACTTCTACTAAGTCCGTTACTTCTGGATGATTTTAATAACCCCCCTGCGGGCGGGAGATTTGCATCTAGTTCGCCGGAGCACGGAGTGTACGCGACTAGAAGCAGCACGAGATTTGCGGCCGCGATCCACGGTAGACGTAACCGCCTTGACATTGCAGCGCCGCGCCGCGGCATTTTCGCTCGGATGCTGCCGCGTTGGCGAAAAGTGCAATCTATTGTTCAAAGAGAACATTACCTACTACTACCACTACAGAAAGCTAGTAGAGTCTGGTAATGATCATAGCAGCAGGGTCTGGGATTTTTTTTTTTGCTGTGAGACGCGCTTGCGGCGAAGGACTGTCGTGAAGCGTTACGACTCACAAAGGACTCATGAATCATGGCTTGCAACTCGTGATGTGAGGTGGGAAAAAGGACTCACAGTACTGCGAGTGGGCCTTTGTGTGTGATTCTCTCTTCTTCCCCCACCGTTCGGGACCGGAACGCGTGGAGGTGAGGACCACATTGTAACCGAAGATAGTTCGAAACCCAGGGTAACTGCAGAACTGTTCCGCTTTTGCCCCGCCTGCCTTCAAGAAGTTCTTGCCTGGGGTTGTCATGCTGTTAGCAACGTGAGTCTTGTTTTCAGCGGTTCAGCAAGCCAAGCGGGCAAAAATGGCCGAGGGTCGTCGCGGCGGGCAGGCGTCACTTGGGAAAGGGGGAAGGGGGAAGAAGCGGGGGCAGGAGGAGGGGTCGGGGGAGGGGGTAGGAGGAGGGGTCCATGATGGAAGAGGAGAAATCGATGCGAGCGAGCATAGGGAGATTGCAGCAGCTCACGCCAAACTGGATTCTCTCCTTACTGTACTGATCTAGCCACTAGCGCGGTTTCGGTTGGTCCCCCCCCCCACCCCACACACCACAGCTGTGTCCTCTGAAGCAATGACGCATTCGGGCTGAAACCCCGAATGAAAAGAGGAACTTTTGGTTTGGGCGACGTGGGCTCCAGCTGTACTGTACGAATCCGCGTGAAAATCAAACGGGTCGGTCGGATCACTTATCTTGTTGCGAAATACCTGAAACGTAATTCGACGGAGAATGCGGGCCGATACGTGCATGTGGCGTTTTGCACTGATCGAACGCGGTGGCTTTTGGTTTGGGTCGGTGAATTGCCCGTTGAGATGGAAACACGTGTGAACGATACGATTTTTATGATGACAGAATTGGGCAGCTGATAAAACTGTTTGGTGCAGTTCTGAACTGAGCCCGAGGGGCACTGAGATGAAAAGCTTTCAGATAAGTTTTCCAGCATACAACTTTGTTTGCCCCCACAGCTTTGGGGGGGGGGGGGGGGGGGGGGGGGGAGACCTCGATGAAACGCTTTTTCAGCAGTTGCGTTTTACCCCGAGTCAGGACAAGTTGCCACTTCCACCCGACATATTTCATCGCGCAGCAAGTGTTTTCGACAATCTGTAAGCTATTTTCTTGAATACCCTGTATCGCAACATTCATAGCGCGTACACACGGAAATCTCCCCAACCAAGCTGAACCAGCAATTTGTAGAGATTTAGGTCATACGGGAAATTCAGCACTTGTACAGCGCTGCAGTATAACGAAGCGAGCACAAGAGACGCCAGTTTCGGCACTGGCTTCTGGTTGATGAGGGAGCTAGAACCTTCACTTGAACCCGTCTCTGATTGTTTTCCGTCGGGCACCTGTAATTTACGTTTTGGACTGCGTGCAGTGCGCGTTCGTTAGCGTCCTTTCAGCTTTTTGAGAGAGACCGGATGGCAAAGAAGTCGAGGGAGACAAGAAAGCGGCAACTCGAGTTTGATCAACAAAGTAAGAATGAGGAATCGACAGGCCAAGGGTAGGTCAATTTGGGGAAATGTTCGTCCGAGACTCGACTGCACCGTTTACAACACGAGCGGCGCCCTGTCCTGTGAGTATAGCAATAGGTAGCTGGAGTTTAGCATCTCGGCGACTCCGTCCTCGATTGTAATGGCTAAGTGCTCTGCGAAAGCGTGACAATCTGCTACCACCCGCAAAACCCCCTCACTCCCTTTCTAACCTCCCCATCCCCTCCCGTCCCCCATCGCGCATCCCACGTCACACCCCCGCTTCGCTCTCTTTCCCAGGAGAAAGAGAGCAGAAGGAAAAGCTGCAAAAGAAGAAGGAAGAGAAGCTGTTGAAAATGAAGGTAGGTTAAGTAAAAAATGGTAACTGTGTGCTTTTAGTGCACATCTTAAGTCTCCCTTCCAGTGCTTTCTTTCTGGTACTTATAACTACCTACATACCTGTTACCTGTTAATATGTAGCAGGTGGATTCCAAGGCTGGTGTCGCTAAGAGGAAGAAAGCGGCCAAATTCCAGCTTCGGGTGCAAAAGAAGCTCCAACTCAAGATTGGAAAGCGCGCGGCTCATAAACAGATGAAGGAAGCTGCGAAGGCCGCGATGGACATAGAATAAATAAATTCTTAAACAAAATTGGCTGTACACGTGCTGTTAGGTATTGAAAAGTTTGTACAAAATTCGTCCATTTACTGCACAGGTGCTTCAACTCTAAAATAATGATATATAGGCGCTCACTGATTGACCCTCACTTCCTCTATCTCCTGCACCTGATGCAATCCCTCCACCTCCTCAGCGGTCAAGTCCTCGTTTCCCCAGCTTTGCTCCGCGCTGAAAGTACTTCGGTCTTCTGATTGGTCACTAGGGACTATCTCATCACACTCAGATTCTGTGTCGGAATCGGCGTCAGGCAGCCGCGAGCATACGCTGATTAAGGCTCGAGAGCAGCCGCCGCGAATTCCGCCGGAAATGGCCGCAAAGCATGAAAGAGCGGAATTTGGGGAGGCTGGGCACTTCTGAGGACAAGAAGGAAGTATTACATAGGCGTTCGTTCTCATACCACCCGCTGAAGCCATTAGAGCTGAAGCAGCAAAAGTGGAACCGAACAGACTGTCTGGGAACAACTGAAGAAAAGACTAGTATTTTCAGGGGGATTGGATCAGCGAATACTCAAGAAAGTCGTCATACGCCATGGCCCGTCCACACCACAGCTATGTAGTAAGGGTTCTAAAAGACGAGGCTGTCAGGTGAAGTTTCCGAGGGTCTTTGTTGTGGTGGGTATTTGTCGTACAAGGTGTCGCCGCCGTCGGTTATTGGCTAACAGAGTTGTCGCTGACGTTGCAACGCGAACGGTGAACCCTGAGAGAAACAACGACAGCACAGCAGCGATTGGCTCTCCCCCCTTCGCCACTGTCGCAGGGATACGGAGCGTTGTTTCTGTAATCCCGAACCGAGCCGTGGCTAAAATGAGGCTTGGGGAAAACCAAGCCCCATATTCCTCGTCAAAAGCAAATCGCTGCACATTAAGGTACTAGAACAAACACCTTATAACAAGAACGCGTAGAAGATTAACGAATGGAATCTTGTTTTGGTAGGTCGCTCAAGGTCAGTCCACTTGGCCGTGAACGACGGGTCCGTCCGCGGAATGCTTTCCATCCATGTGATACAAAAACGGCAGCCAATGCCAAAATACTGTACATTCTGCGGCTCCGAGAAGAACTGCCCTCGATAGTGTCAAGTGATGCGACGACCTTGGGATCTGCAAGTTGCCTCTGCACGAATCAGCTTCCTTCCCTCTTTCCCTCCCTCCCCCTACTCCGCAATTCGCTCTCCGTGGAAGACAGCGAGGAAAAATGCTGAACCAGCGGGAAGTAGGCGGAAGGGTTAGCGCAGCCCTGGTAACCGTGCTAGTTCTGCTACTTCATCATCTTTGGGCAATTAGTCATGGCTTTACTTGTGTCACGACGCATTGGTTCTACCTGTCCCATAATCCATTGCGATGATCAATGTGCAGGCCGAGAGAAGCCCAGGATGAGCTAATTATATTTCTATCTTGCGAGTTCCCTATTCCGTATTTATTTATTAGACCGCCATCGCTTGATCAAGTCGTTTCTACTGATACCACACAGCTTCTTGAGCATCTTAGGACATGAGCTTCACCGACTCAACAAATAATGCTTTAACGAACGGCGAGTCACGGCATTGAACGTTGTCCATTGTAGCGCAATGGCTCTTCAGTTAAGCCGTAGCCGTAGAATGCGGAGGGCCGATGGAAATAAGGGAGCTGCCAAGTCTGACATTCGGGCTCGGCAACTTAAGGCTACAATTGGCGTGGACTACAGGTTTGTACCACACAAGCATTTTCATAGTGAGCGACCTTTTCTGTCGAGACGAAAGCGTGCCAACATGTTGCATGCTGAAGCTGAAACGCGATCAGTGGGGTATCTTTCTAACAACGAGCCTTTTAAGCCATTGCCGAGGCCGTCCGTACCGGGTATATCCAGTCAGTCTTCGTCTGACGCCGGTCGATCGTTAGAAGTCACGGTCGCAGAGCATCGCTCTGCTCGTCGCCATCCACCGATACCGTACGACGTCGCGTCTGTCGCACAAGGTAACCCCTCCGGTCAAGACGCCGCGGGGGGTCTCCGTGGATCTGGCGTCGCGACAGCGCAGCAGTTTCCTTTTCCCATTCCCATTCCTCCCGCGGCGAACCGCCCTACCGGTCCCATCGTTCCCGTTGACTCTCCTCCGCTCTTCAATTTCCCACCCGCACCGAACCGCCCTACCGGGCCTGTGTTCCCGTTTCCCCCGGCCCCGTCCCGACCGCCAATAAATGTACCTCCGATCAACCCTCCTCCTACCACGTTCCCACCCCCTGTCGCTGCCCCACCTCCGCCTGCGAAACGCCCACCGCCACCGGCTAACCCGCCTCCTAAACCGCCCGTTAACCCGCCTCCTAAGCCGCCTGTTAACCCGCCTCCTAAGCCACCTGTTTTCCCGCCTCCTAAGCCTCCCACTAACCCGCCTCCTAAGCCACCTACTTTCCCGCCTCCTAGGCCTCCCCCCTCTCCGCGCCCACCTCCTCCCGCTCCTTCTCCTCCCCCACCTCGCCCCCCCAATCCCCCTCCTCGTCCCCCGAAGCCGCCATTGACCCCCCCGAACCCGCCTCCTCGTCCCCCGAAGCCCCCGGCTAGTCCCCCCAACCCCCCGCCACGTCCCCCGAAGCCGCCATTGACTCCCCCGAACCCGCCACCACGTCCCCCCAACCCGCCACCTGTCCCTCCGCCCGTGCCGCTTCGGCCCCCTCCCAGTCCTCCTGCCCCTCCCCCTCTGATACCTTCCCCTCCCCCCGACACAAGTCCCTCTCCCCCGGTCCTTCCGCCCGCCCCAGCCCCGTTCCCGCCCTCGGTCACGCCCTTCCCTCCACCTTTGGTACCATCCCCGTTTCCTCCGCCTTCCCCGCCGTTCGTCCTCCCGCCGCCTCCGCCCGAATCGTCGGGGTTATCAATGGGGGCGATAATAGGCATTGCTGTCGGCGGCGCCGTGGGGCTCATTTTCCTCGTCACCTGCGGCCTCCTCGCGTTCTTTTTCCTTGTACCGAAAAAGAAGGAGGGTGAGCGAACCCGCACCCGCGGCGGCGGCGGCGGCAGCGCGGCCCCGGGGACCGTGGGCGGCGCGGAGAAGGCGCCGTTTTACGCGCAGCCGCATCTGGTCCGCGGGGTGCGCGGGCGGCAGGCGGCAGCTGCGGCTGCGGCCGGGGTAGCGGCCGGCGCGGCTGCGGGCGGAGCGGCAGCGGCGGCGGCGGCTGCAGGCGGCGGGCCCGGCGAGGACGAGGACAGCGAGGAGGGCAATAATGCGTATGGCGACGGCGCGCCTGCTGCTGGCGAGGAAGAAGAGGAGTATTACGAAGACGAGGGCGGGGCGGCTGCAGACGGGGAGGAAGCGGTCGAGGATCTGTACGGGGAAGGGGAGGGCGACGGGGAGGCGGAAGGGGAAGCGGAAGGGGAAGCGGAAGGGGAAGGGGAAGAGGACGATGAAGACCTATACGAAACCGGTGGCGACAGCGGTGGGCCTTATTTGGGAGGCGACTCAGGAGGGGGAGCAGGCGGCGCGGGCGCAATCGCTGGCGCAGCCGCCGGTGCGGGGGTCGTCGCCGGCGCAGCTGTCGCGGGCGGCGCAGCAGCCGCCGTCGCGCTGGGGGACGGCGATAGGATGAGCGAAGAAGCGGACGACGAGTGGTGGTTTCCGTACGAGGAATTGGAAGAAGCCACAGATGGATTTTCCGACAGTAACAAGCTTGGAGAGGGCGGGTTTGGGCCTGTGTACCGCGGAGTGCTGGCGGACGGGATGCCCGTGGCGGTGAAGGTGCTGAAGGTGGGGGGCCATCAGGGGGAGCGCGAGTTCCGCGCGGAGGTGGACATTATTAGTCGCGTGCAGCACAAGCACCTGGTGACGCACCTGGGGTACTGCATCGCCAGCGCGCAGAGGTTGCTGGTGTACGAGCTCGTGCCCAATGGGTCGCTGGAGGACGCTCTGCATGGTGAGTGAGGAGTTACCTGGTAACCCTAGTATGTGTAGTTGGGCTAGAAGGGTGTTGCAGTGCTACCGCGAGCAGCGGTTGGTGGTGTACGAGCTCGTGCCCAATGGGTCGCTGGAGCACGCTCTGCATGGTGAGTGAGAGCGGAGTTACTTGGTAACCCTACGTCACACTACAGAGGTACTGCATCGCCAGCGCGCAGCGGTTGTTGGTGTACGAGCTCGTGCCTAACGGGTCGCTGGAGGACGCCTTGCACGGTGAGTGAGGGAGGAGATGGGTAATCCTGTGCTGTTCGGTCTTTGCAGAGAGGTGTTGGGTTGCCATCGGTGTGTACGAGCTGGTGTCCCAATAGGTTGCTGGGGGACTTTCTGTGGGGTGAGTGAAAGAATGGTTACTATGTGCGGTTTGATCACCCTTTGTCTCTCCATAACCCTATCATGTCTGGATACCCTCGAGGGGTGTTACATCAGGCTTCCCCTTTCACCCTCAACCGAACCTCCCCTTCTGCCCGCCCCAGGCGAGGGCCGTCGGCTGCTGGCATGGAATTTCCGCATGAAGATCGCTCTGGGCGCTGCCAAGGGCCTCGCTTACCTGCACGAGGAATGTGAGTCGCGCTGCTGCTGCTGCTGCTGCTGCCGCCGCTGCTCCTTCGTCCGTTACTCTCTCCCTCCACTCACCCTCTTCCTCCATGCTTCCCTTCTTCCTCATCTTTTCTCTTCCCCAACCTCGCTCTCTCGCATACTCCCTTTGCTCCTCCTCTTACCTCCGCTCGCCTCTCTCCTCTTCCAACCCCGTCCACCCCTGACCCTCGCAGGCCACCCGCGCATCATCCACCGTGACATCAAGTCGTCCAACATCCTCCTCGATAAGGACTATGAGGCCAAGGTGGGTATTTCTGCAACGCGCATGCATAGCTTAGTGTCTCGGTGAACATAGATGGTGATAAGGTGGGAGGCCGAGGACAGGGTGGGAGTGCTTTGTTGGCCGAGGGCGATGTGAGGCTGGAGCTCTGGTGCTGAAGGCAGGACGCTTTAGTTGGAGCACGCTGGAGGAATGAGACGAATGAAACACACAAGGAAGACACAAATATAGGGGACGCACAAACATCATGGTGGAAAGAACCCTCCGGTTGAATGGCATGAATCATCAAATACATGTGCATCACATGCATATGTTGCAAAATGCTTTTGTGATAACATGCATGTTTGATTAACATGCACGCGTCAGGAGCACTTGCATTGTATGTCAATCGTGACATCCCTGCACGTCTATCCAATCCCATGCTGCCAGGTGGCGGACTTCGGTGCTGCCAGGCTGGCAGCAGAGGACGCCATGCCAATCATCACACGTGTAGTCGGCACTTTCGGGTGAGTCAACTTCTTCGCACTTTCCCAAACAGCCCCTCACCTCACACCCCGCCACAACCCCCACCCCCTCCCACCTCCCTCCCCCTCCTCCCATTTCCCATCCTCTCGTTTCCCACCCCTCAATTTCTCCCCCACACTCCTCCCAACTCCTTTCTGAACACCTATCTACTCCCAGTCGTTCTGACCCGCCCTACGCCCCCCCTTCTTAAACCATCATGCACTCTTTTTCCCGGCCTCCACCTACGCCCATTCCCCCACCACTTCCCTTTCGTTCCCTGCCCTAGTTCACCCTGCCTGCCCTAGTTCACCCTGCCTGCCCTAGTTCACCCTACCTGCCCTAGTTCACCCTGCCTGCCCTAGTTCACCCTGCCTGCCCTAGTTCACCCTGCCTGCCCTAGTTCACCCTGCCTGCCCTAGTTCACCCTGCCTGCCCTAGTTCACCCTGCCTGCCCTAGTTCACCCTGCCTGCCCTAGTTCACCCTGCCTGCCCTAGTTCACCCTGCCTGCCCTAGTTCACCCTGCCTGCCCTAGTTCACCCTGCCTGCCCTAGTTCACCCTGCCTGCCCTAGTTCACCCTGCCTGCCCTAGATTTCTCTCCCATAACTCACCTGCCTTCTTTCACCCTGTCCCACAGCCCACCTGTCTGCTACTGACAGCTCTTTCACCCTGTCCTCAAACATCTGTCTCTGGTGACTCTGAGATACTTGGACAGATGGAAGGAAAGTGACTTTGGCAGGCCTGCTTATGAAAACTCTCGTAAGTCACTTTCCTTCCATCTGTCTCTATCCAAACCTCTCTGTCTCATCACCCCCACCCAGGTACCTGGCGCCAGAGTATGCATTGACAGGCAAGCTGACAGAGAAGTCTGACGTGTTTTCGTTTGGAGTGGTGCTGCTGGAGCTTATAACGGGGAAGAGGCCAGTGGAGCAGGAGAAACCGCAGGGCAGCGACAGCCTCGTGGAATGGGTGAGTCAGCTTATAACGAGGACAATGCCCTGTGCCATGCACCTGCCACAAAGTGGAACTTATAGGGCAATCCCGTTGCCTCATCCCACTTGCTCCCTCGCCTCCCTTGGTCCTGGCGCTGGACCGGTGCTGCTACAGGTAGTGGGAAAATTAGGATGATACTGGTAGTCTCTCTCCTAGTTCTCTCTCGTCCTCCCCACCATCCACCAGGCGCGGCCTCTGCTGGCAGATCGGGCAATGGAGGAACTAGCGGACCCCGAGTTGGACGGGTGCTACGGGCAGAGGGAGATGGAGCGTTTCTCACTCTCCCTCCGTGCTTACTCCCCTCTTCCCCCCACACCCGTCAGGCGCGCCCCCTGCTAGCAGAACGGGCAATGGAGGAACTAGCAGACCCCGAGTTGGATGGGTGCTACGGGCAGAGGGAGATGGAGCGCCTCGTCACTGCGGCTGCACTCTGTGTGCGCCAATCCGCTGTGCTGCGCCCCCGCATGAGCCAGGTATACCTTGTGCTTTATCACAGGCTCTGGCACTGGCTGTCGCACAGGCTGTAGCATCGTCCTTGTGTGCGCCAGTCCGCTGTGTTGCATCCCTGCATGAGCCAGGTGGGCCGTCTGTTGTAGCGCTGGCTGTAGCGCTGGCTGTAGCATTTGCTGTAGCACTGGCTGTAGCGCTTCTGCGCCCCTGCATGAGTCCAGTGGCCATGACTGGGATGTGCTGGTTCACAGGCTGTAGCACAAGCTGCAGAAGTGGCTGTGGCACAGGCTGTAGCACAAGCTGCAGCAGTGGCTGTGGCACAGGCTGTAGCACAAGCTGCAGCAGTGGCTGTGGCACAGGCTGTAGCACAAGCTGCAGCAGTGGCTGTGGCACAGGCTGTAGCAGTGGCACAAGCTGTAACAGAGGCTGCAGCAGAGGCTGTAGCAGAAGTTAGCCAAGGGAATGTAGAGTGGCTCAGAAGTTACTTCTTGATATACCCCATGTGCCCATGTGCAGTCCTAAGTTGCGGAAGACGCAAGACGCACATTTAGACGCAAGACGCTTGGCCAAAAAATTTTCGGGCAGCCCGAAAAAAAAATTCCCCGTGCGCGAAATTGAATTTCGCCATTTCGACGCGAAATTCAATTTCGCGCCATTCAAACCCCTCCCCACCCATTTCGACCACATAAACCAGCCCCCCAAGCAAATTTGAATCCCCCCCAACCAAAATTGAACACATACCACACTTCACCGCATATTATCTATGGGAGAAGCAGGAGGAGCTGGAGAAGGAAGGGGGGGAGGAGGAGGAGGAGGAGGAGGAGGAGGAGGAGGATGAGGAGGAGGAGAGCTAGGAGGCGTAGTGATTGCAGAGAGATGTAGTAGTAGTAATGGTCTTCGAGGTTGCTGCACCCCATTGTGACATAGGTGCATGTTCCCCACCCTCCCCATCCCCCTTAGATTTTTTTTTGGTCTGCCCGAACAATTTTTTTAGGCCTGCCCGGGTTTTCGTCTAATACTGCGTCTAATCCATGCTGCCTAGCGTCTAGCGTCTTAGACGCTGCGTCTAGACGGACGCGTCTAAGACGCTAGACGCGTCTTCCGCAACTTAGGTGCAGTCCCTCTCCTCCCCCCTCCCCACTGCCCCACCAGGTGGTGGCGATGATAGAGGGGCGCGGCGATGTGGAGGTGGAGGCTACCGACGACGAGGGGGGGAGTGCGTTGCGGGAGAGTGCGGAGTTCTCAGGAGGAGAGCTGGGGAGTCGAGAGGACATGTACCCTGAGGAGATCGTGCAGCAGTACCCGCACAGTGCTGACAGCAAAGGGAGTGCTGGGGTGAGTAAGGATAAGTAAGTGTAGAAGGGTGAGGGAAAGGAGGAGGTGGGGAGTCGAGAGCACATGTACCCTGACGAGATTGTTCAACAGTATTCCCACAGTGCCGAGAGCAAGGGGAGCGCTGGGGTGAGTAAACACGAGTGAGTGCTGAGTGCTGGTGGGGAAGTGGTAGTGAGAAGTGAGTTGACAGGAGTGAGTGGTGAGGGGGAGTGTGGAGAGGGGTTAGGGGAGAGGGGTGAGCAGTGAAATGTAAGGGGTGAGAAACGAGTGTAGAGAGGGGTATGAGGAAAGGGAGCGGGTGTGAAGAGGTGCAAGTTAAAACAGTGAAATCAAATCTGTCAGGTTTCTTAACTCTCCTTATCTTTCATAACAGCAAAGCACTAATTCGTGCACTTTCCTTGCATTGTCACAGCGGGTTTCCCTACCAGTATGGTAGTACCCCCTTCTCTCCACGACTCTCTCACCCAACCTTTTCTCCCCTTTCCCCGCCCCCAACCCCCTCTGCCCCTGGCCTGACCCCCTGCAGGGCATGGGGGGTGCGTGGCAGCGCTAGCAACAGCAGCAGAGCTCCCATCAGTCCGCACGCTTGCTCTCTCCTACCCCACTCCCCACCCCCACCCCTGCAGGGCAAGGGCTGGAAGGGGGCACGGCAGCTCTAGCAGCAGCAGCAGCAGCAGTGCTCACACCTGGCCTTCTCTCTTTTACCCCCCTCACCTCCCCCGTCCTCCTCTGCCCATTACCACCACTGCACCCCTGCAGGCCAGGGGCGCACGGCAGCAGCAGCAGCAGCAGCAGCAGCAGCAGCAGCAGCAGCAGCAGCAGCAGCAGCAGCAGCAGCAGCAGCAGCAGCAGCAGAGCTCACACTCGGCCACTCCTTCACTCTCATCCCCCCATTTTGTCCCCTCGCCTCCCCGACCCATTTTGCTCCTCACCCCACCGCTGCAGGCAAAGGGCAGGAAGGGGCGCATGGCAGCGCTAGCAGCAGCAGCAGCAGAGCTCACACCAGGCCACACCTTTGCCTCTGCCACCTCTGCTACCAGTGCAGACCCCCTCATTGCCAACACCTCCCCCTCCTCCCAGGGCCAGATGCAGCCTCCCCCAGATGTACCTCCTCCGCCTGCCCAGGCTGGGCCCATGCCTCTGCCGCTGCCGCCCGGGCGCAAAGGGGGCGGTGGTAACGGTGGTGGTGGGTGGAGAGGAAAGTGAGGAAAGGGGTTTTAAGATCACGGGTTGATTGGTAGTGGTTAAAATAAGGATTTCTATGACTGCAGTTGGAATGGTGGTGCCTTGGATGTGTGTTTCCTTGTGGAAATGCTGGTTGGACTACTGCCTAGCTAAGTTATTTAGCTTGTGTTAATAATACCAACGGGATCTAGTTATTTGAATCTATATAATGTTTCTAGTGCTGCTTATATGGTTTCCCTATCATATGAACCCAGCTGTTAAAAATGTTTGTGGTGGGAGCAAATGGTTTTGTCAATTTGGCAATGGCCAATAGTATAGTGCCTCAAAAACAACGTACGTTATAACTTCTTAACTTAAGATATGCGGAACGGTCAATAGCGAAATACCTGAGAGGAACACAGGTGCGGTGTGGATCCACCGAAGTGAACACGTGGATCCTCAAGCGTAGGCAAACTCCGCCTGTGGATCCAGTGATCATCCACGTCATTTTGACTTCGCGGTTCGTTCCCTTCACCCAATCGTGGCTCATCAAACTTCATCTCTAACCGTCAATTCGGGCGTCAATAAGACCATCGCCACAAGGGACCCAAATGGAACCACACTCCAATCTGCGAAGCAATCTCAGCCCTGCGTTAACAATCAGATTTAATCTATACCGTCCACAAAGGCGCGCGAACGAGCCGCGTCGTAGTGCTTCCTGCCAGCCACAGCACACTCCCCTCATGCGTGAAGCAGGTAATCTCAGCCAATGTCTATATTTGCTTAGTTGTCCTAGACTAATAATAGTGCGGTGGAATTTTGGAACGATTCAAGAGGAGCTCATCCATCTTACGCTAAATTCTGCGCAATCGTCGCAGTAAGGCAGTCACACCCTTGTCAGTATCATCCCTTACAGCATTTTTTTTAGGGTTCATGGATCTATCCAATCTCAATCGCCGCCGCGTTGGAACTACGACCGGTTTGACCGTAGCATTGACACTATCGATGTTAGGAATATTAGCCGCCAGAACAGCGGACGCTTACTCCGCGAGCTCGCCAGCGACCGTCGCATGCCCTCCGTTACAATGCGACGTGACACATCGAGGCGTGCTTTGGAACCACCCGAATCTCGGCAACCTCAATGACGTGGAGCTCACGGGGGCCGTTCGCACGTCAGCAAAGTGCAGCGAGGTCTGCGCCTCGACTCCCGGCTGCGACGTATGGCTGTTCGGACTCGTGTCAACCGGAGGTGCGCTGAGTTTCATGTTCTGGCTCATCCGTTTCATGTCTATCGCACGTCACCCCGCAGACGCATTTCGCGCATGGAACAAGATGTGCGCTATATAACGGCAAACAATTGTAATTACAACGGCAGTCGTGCTTTTGGTGTCATCGAGCTTTTGCATGAAATTTCCGCTTTCTGCTTTTTATTCTTTGCGGAGTCCTCCTTGCTCACTATCTCCTCATTCCCGCTATTTCCGTTGCCGCCCCCATCGTCTCGCGCCGCCTCCTCAGCGTATTGCAAAATGTGGACGGCAGAGCAGAGCCCTTGCCGCCCAGACGCGTTCGGTGACGTCGCGTACGATCCGACCCCTCGAGTCGAAGGTTTCTTTGGTTTCGGTGGGAATTGCAATGCCGGCAGCACCGCCAAAATTGCAGTCGCCGCTGATGACTCGACGACGAGCTCTGCGACACCAGGCAGTGCGACAGCGTCGCCGACACAGGGCGACGGACTCGGCGACGAGGACTCTGCGAATGGCGGAGAAATTCTCAACGTTGACGTTGCGGTGGACGTTACGGCCGCAGCACCTGCGAACAGTTCAGATCCGAAGTCGCTTGAAATCTCCCCCGCAATGTCCGGACTCTCGGCGCAAACGGGAGAAGCGGGCGAGCCGCAGCTTGTGGAGGCGGCAGTTGCGGTGCGGTTGCGCGGACAGAAGCAGTCGGACCTGACAGTTCCGGGATTTGCCTTTGCGGGGGAGGTTAGTTCCGCCGAAACGAGCCCAGGCGTTGCGCCTGTGAATGCGCGTGGTCCGCGGAGTGCAGGTCTGGGGAACGCCGATTCTGCGGCGGTAACGACGCAGGCTGCGCCAGACAGGGCAGTCCGGGGAGCGGAACGGGGGGAGGCGCTGACTGCATCCGCAGCGGGAGTGGCGAGAGTTGCGGATGCTCTGGAGAGGCAACAAGGTAGGAGTCTTGGACCAAGGGATGTGATGAGACGACGGGATAGCAATTATCAAGTGGCAAGATCAGAGTTTTTACAGAGCACGCAACAGTACTCAGGGATCAGGACGCACAGCAGCATTGCCATGCTACAGCCGCTGCATCAGCAGCAGGGTTATCCTTCGCTTCTTAATTTCCTTGTCACCGCCCCTTGCCTCCCCGTCCGCTTCTCTTGTGACTGTGTCCCGCCATCTCTCATTCTCATCACAGCAGTGCCCCGACTTATGCTGCAACTGGCCGCGCACGGGCTTCTTCTTTAATCGCTTGCACCAAGTCCTCAAGGCGTCCCAACGCTGTCCCGCCTTCTCTCTGACTGTCCCCCTCTCTCACCACACCAGGCCCCACGGCGCAGTGTCCTGACTTCCGTTGCAACTGGCCGCGCACGGGCTTCTTCTTTGACCACCCGCAACAAGTACTTCATGCATCCCTGCGCACATTCTCTCCCCCTGTCTCCCACTGTCATCACACCAGGCCCCACAGCCCAGTGCCCGGACTTCCGCTGCAACTGGCCGCGCACTGGCTTCTTCTTTGATCACCCGGGCAAGGGCCACCAGGCGGTGATTGTGACGCCGTACACCAACCAGCCGTTCGAGTGCTGGCGCATCTGCCGCCGCACAGAGCACTGTGCCTTCTGGATGTTCGAGATGCAGACGATCCAAGGTGGGGAGTGAGGCAAGGATAGGGAGGGGAGGTGGAGAAGGGGATTGGTGAGGGGGAGGGGTGTAATGTGATGAGACGGTTTTAGGGGTGGGAATTTGCCATCCACGCTCTCTGTTGTAGGGTCATCTGTCTCATTTGTGTTAGTGTTTGCCCTCCTTCCCTATCCTATCGCAGGCCGATGCAAGCTGTGGAGGAAGGAGCAGAGCCCGTGTGAGCCTTCAGACCCAGCAGACGTCACCTCCACCACATACCAACAAAGGGCAGATGGGCTGTTCGTGGTGGGTGGTAACTGTGATGGAGGGATTGAGACCATTGCTAAAACCGCTGTGAGGTAGTTGAAGAATGCTGATGGGAAAAGCCATAAAGTGATCCATAATGGGTTCCATAAAGCCCAGAATAAATGCGCTCGTGCATTCTGCAGAATGAATTCTGCATTTAATAAGGTGGACTCTGCCATAGTTACCTTCCTTGTTTTTTGCTCTTCCCTCTGTATGCTGTTTTGCTATATATCCAGTTTTAATGTGTCCGCTTAGTGGTGTATAAAGAATCAGTACAAAGCAGACGCAATAACGCCGTTGACTGTAATGAAATGGTTATTCGATTTTCCCATCCTGCCAGCCCTACCGTCGCAGTGCTCACTTACAATGTCAACGATAGTCAACCGCGAGGTGGCCTGCCCTACAGCCAGCCAAATTTGGACCCAGCCAGCCAACCAAACCGAACCCACCACCGCCCAATCGAACGCGTCGCGGGAGAGATGCGCGGTCCGTAGCGAATGCTTGTTGAGATAAAATGCACATTGCAGGGCAACCTCAGCATCGCAAACCCAAGCACTCCCACAATCACTGCTCTCTGCTAACATTCAAATACCGCTAGCAATCAAATACCGCTTCAAGCCTACTACAAAAGCAAGCTCTTCATGATGGCTTCATTTTTCCCTCGCGCTGCGTTCACGCTCCTCTTCGCCGTCGCTCTGGGAGGTGAGGAACCAGTTCCGGACAATTACCGCCATCCATTTCCCTGCTTCCTCTTTCCCTCATTCTCAGTCACCCCTCCCAGCCAAATCGGCCTGTTTTGCGCAATTAGCTGAGTATGAGGCGCTTAATACATTTTCGTTGCCTTCGCTTCGCGTCATTTCAAAAAGATTCCCTTTTGTCCTTCATGATATCTCCGTCGCCTCTTTCGTGCCTCTTCTGCAGCTCTTCTTCCCTCTTCCGCCCATGCTGCGCGTGCTGGACTTGGCGTGCGCTCCAAGCTCCTGGGTAAGCTCCAACACTGTCCCTCTTGGCATGCCGTGCCTCTGGTACCATCGTTGTTAACTTTTGAATCGACTCAAAACTCATCTCCTTTCGCCCATGCTGCTCGTGCTGGTCTTGGCGTGCGCTCAAAGCTTCTGGGTAAGCTCCAACTCCTCCCGCTTGGCGTCCTGTGCCTTTGGCGCCACCCTTGTTTCTCAAATTCATCCTCCGACTACATTATACACACACTCCCTGCAAAAGAAGTCTGAGTGTACATGAGCTGCGCAATCGAGCACAGTTAAACATCCTTACAAGTTTCTAGAAAGTGACAGGTGTTCAAATCTCCCACCCACTTAACTTTCACTCTCACTGCAGCATCTCTCCAAGGGGGCCTCACCACGTGTGCTGCACTCAACGCCCACCTTGGTGCTGACATCATCGGAGCCAATATTGACGGCACAGCTGACATCAGCATTCTGAGAAGGTGCATCAGCAATTTCCCTTAGTAGCATCGTACAAAGGAATCATCAGCCGTCATACATCAACAACATGCGACAGCCATTTACACACTCTGGGTGTTGCATAACAAACTCTTTTTTGTGGCCGCAGTATTTTAACCATCACCCATCCTTCTCAAACTCCCATATACCGGTATCCCTTTCTCCCTGCAGGGGAGCATCCGTGTATCTGTCCTACAAGATCACAGCTCAGGGCTTGACTCAGCGCCCATCCTCCTCCCCTGCCATCGTCGCCCGTAACCCCTGCTCTCTCCCCTCCACCACTTCTTCCTCCTCCACTTCCTCCTCCTCCTCCTCGCCTGTTGTGCCGGCATCTGCTTCCCTGTCCGGAGACGGTTCACTGCACGCCTCCCTCTCTCCCTCTACAGGAGCCACCGCCTCCGGTTCTCTCACCTCCACTACAAATCTCCTCAACCCCTCCCTCTCTGCATCCACCACCGCCGGTGCCGGCACCGCTCTTAACCCAGATGGATCGCTCTCCACCGCAGGGGGTCTCTCAGCCTCCACCAGCCTCCTCAACACCGGAGCCACAGCAGCAGGCAGCACTGACGCCTCCCTCCCCAAAGCCACTGCCTCGGGCTCTGGCTTTATCGCCGCCTCAACTGCTCTCCTCAACACGACAGCCACTGCCAGCGGTGGTGCCCAGGCGTCTCTCCCCAACGCCACTCTCTCTGGCTCCGGCTCTCTTGCTGCCTCCACTGGTCTGCTAAACACATCTACTCGTGCCGGCACCAGTGCAGCAGTCTCCCTTCCCAACGGCACTGTCTCTGGATCCGGTTCTCTCTCTGCTTCCACCGCCCTCCTCAACACATCTGCTGGGGTGGGAGCCTCAGCCGGGGTCTCCCTTCCCAACGGTACAGTCTCGGGCTCCGGTTCTCTGGCTGCTTCCTCCAGCCTGCTCAACACGGCCGCTGCCGTTGGTGCCGGTGTCAATGCAGGCTCGGGCAGTGTCCAAGCCAACCTCGGAGGCTCGGCGAACCTTGACCTCAACCCCGCAGGCGTTGTCTCAGGGATTGGTGGGGTTATCTCTGGTGCGGGTGGCGCTGTGGGGAACGTGGTTGGTTCGGCAGGGAAGGCTGCAGGCTCGGTGGTAGGCTCTGTGGGCACTGTTGCAGGTTCGGTGATTGGCACTGTGGGCAAGGTGGCCGGCTCGGCAGGGAATGCGGCAGGCTCGGTGCTTGGCTCGGTGCCCTCGATTCTGTCTCCCCTGGTTGTCCTCCCTGGTGCGTGGGTGAAGGCTGCAGTCAATGCCAATGTTGGAGCCAATATCGGTGCTGCTGGCGCTGCCAATGCTGCAGGTGCAGCTGCAGCAAGTGTGTATGCAATGGTGGGAGAGACTCGCCTCTCTGCTGACCTTGCCTCGTCCCTCCTCGCTCGCATCTCCTCCCGCTCCTCCTCCTCCTCCGCACCTCTCCCCCTCTTCCTCTACCTCAACGCACAGCAGAATCTCGTTGCCTTCCTGCAGTAGTCTCTTTCAGCTTGGCACTGCCGGCCGACCCGGGAAGGGATCGAGGCCATGCAAGATGGAAGTTGCTGCGGGGTTATCACTTGGGGAGCAGTAGCGAGAGAGGGAAGACGGCTGAAAGCTCATTCAACTTGATGGAAGGTGCTTTGAGTCAGGTCAGGTGGATGCTGCAGAGGGAGGTGATATCCCAAGCAGTGTGACTAGCACAGGGCTGAGTAGCACATGGTTGACTCTTAGCCACGTTGTATCAAGTAGCACACCGTTGACTCTTACGCACGTTGTATCAAGTTGAATGTACTTTGTATAATCAATGGGAATGGGTGAAGTTACTGCTGCAACCTGCTGGGTGTTGTTTCAGCTCCTTCAGTCCTTGTCACGACAGGCACTACCCCATGTCATACCCGAAATCGTAGCCCATGTTGCCGCCCCCGCCACTGTCAGCACTGTTACCATCTCCAGCTGCTACAGCCGCTACAGCCGCCGCTGCTCCGCCGCTACCAGCACTAGCAGCAGGACTGGCCGACCCTTCGCGCCGCACAAACCCTCCCTGGATCCACGTGAACCCACCGCTGCCAATGCCCCCACCACCCGCGCCACCAACCCCACCACCACCCCCCCCCACCACCCCCCCCACCACCGCTGCCCATACGAGGCAAGGCGCGACCAGTAGCACGTGCACCCTCACTGCCCACTCTCATTAGACTGCCACCAGCAGCAGTGATGGCAGCATCAACGTTACTGGCACCACCGGCAGGACCAAGGCCAGCAGCAGCAGCAGCAGCAGCATTGCTAAGAGCGTCCGCAGCTGCTGCTGCACTAAGGCTGAACCCCGAACCTGCACGCGCAACACCCGGCGTGGCTCCTGCCCCTCCCGGACCTGCCGCTGCCGGACTTAGCCCTCCGGCTCGGAGAGACCTGAGCTTGCCGCTGACGCTCTCAGCTGCAGCAACGCGCAGCCCAAATGCAGCGAATCCGGACGGAGAGACGGGGGGGTGACCTGGTGGCTTGAGATTGCTGGAGGACTGGTGTAGCTTTTGATATTCCTCTGTCCGCCTTGTGTTCACAAACACAGGCCCCCCTGATCCTGCCTCACCTCCTCCACTCCTCCCCCTTGTCCCGCTCCTCCTCCTCCCCTTCCTGTTCCTGCTTCTACCAATCCTGATCCCAACGCACCGAGCCTGCCACCTCCCGACCCTCGGCCCACACCACCAAATCCCGAACCAAACGACCCAAACCCCCTCACTCCCCCTCCTCCTCTTCCCACTCCTTCCCCTCCCACTCCTCCACCACCCACTGCACCTCCCCCCACCCCCCTCTCAAGCCCCTCTGGGTCTACACCCCTGACTGGTGGGGAGGGAGGAGCGGGCGAGGGAGAGGGTGACCCTCCAAAGCTCCTAGTGGCAGAGGAGCGAGAGTGAGAGTGTGAGGGGGGATGCACAGAGAGAGCGTGCGGGTTGTGCTGGCGGGGGAGGGACGAGTGTGGGGCGAACAGCGTGCTCCCTCCTGTTGCGCGCTGCTGGTCACGGTGCGATTGAATTTCCAGCTCTTGCTGCTGGAGTGCTTGATGTGCCTGCTGCTCGTGGCTGCCGCTGCTCCCTGCATCACTAGCTGCTGCCACTGCTGCTCCCCCTCCCCCTCCCCCTCTCCCTCCTCCTCCTCCTCCTCTTCCTCCGCCTCCACCTCTCTCTGCCAGCAAGGCAGACCAAGCCGCCACGTCATTTTCAATTGCAGCCACTCGCAGCGCTGAGCTGTCCCGTGCCATTTCCCCCCCTGGCACCCCACCTGCTGCTGCTGCTCCTTCTCCTCCACCTGCACCCGTGTGTCCAATAGCAGGTCTGCTTCGGCTCTTCCAGCTCTGCATTGCCACCCGCCCCCTCTCAAACCGCCGCCTCGCCGCCTCTGCTTCCGCTACAGCTGCTGCTAAAGCTGCCGCATCAACACCAGCATCAACATCAGCATTTCCACCACCGCCACCACCGCCAGCAGCTGAGAAGTCGGAGTCCCTGGGAGGTTCTGAGTCAGAAGGAGGAGGCTCGGCAGAGGTGCTTGTTTGCAGCTGACACTGCTGCTGCTGCTGCTGCAGCCACTCCTGTTGGCGCTCGCGTTTCCGCTGCCTCCACTCCTCCTGCTCCTGCTGCTGCATCCCCTGCTGCTGCTGCTGCCCGTCTTGACTCGCTTCCCTCGAAGCAGGTGCCTGAGCCAGCAGCAGAGGCTCACCTTGACTGGCACTACCTGAAACAGTCCCACCACCTGGGAATTCACCTGACACAGGGAGAGACAGAGGATTCTCCTGCGCACCACCAGCACCAGCACCAGCACCAGCACCACCACCGCCAGCAGCAGCAGCCGTGGGGGGTTGTAACCACCGGTTGAGCCAAATAGACGCCACTTCTCCACTCACCTCAGGCCTCTTGGGTCTCAACCCAAACGGACCAAACCCCCCACCACCCATGCTCATCCTCACTCCACCTCCCACATACCCGCCTGCTCCTGCCTCTCCCGCCACCCCCCCAGCCCCTCCCCTTACACTGAACCTCTGCTGCCCGCCTGTGTTCTCTGCGCCCATGCCTGCATTCGCCCCTCTTGCGCCCCCATTCCTCCCCGCGCTGATCTGCAAGCTGCTAGAAGGCTCCTGATACTTGCTGACCTCGCCGCTTGCTTCTGGGGGAGGGGCATCAGGGACAGCTGCTTCCTCTGCTGCCGCCCTTGCTGCTGCTACTGCTGCTGCCGCTGCTGCTGCTGCTGCTGCTTCTGCGGCTGCAAAGTCTCTGTTGCTCTGAGACACAAACCTCTGGCCTCCACCACCTCTTCCCATCCCGCTACCTCTTCCCCTCACACCGCCTCCACCTACCACCTCTCCCCCTCCTGCCGAAGGCACCATGGCATAATCATTCAATGCTGACCGCTCCTCCCCTCTCATCCCCCCATCCCTACTCACTCCCCCAAACTCCCCCCCAGACTCCCCCCCAAGCCTCCTGTCCCCCCGCCATACCACCTCCTCCCCCTGCCCTTCCGCCCCTCGCCCCCCTCCGCCCCCTTCTCTGCTCTCACTGGACACATAGCCGGGCGGCAAGGGCGGAGGGGCGGAGTTGCTACTATTGCTCTGCGCCTCCCACTCGTTATTGTCACCTCCAGCTACAGGAACGGTTCCCGCAGCTACAGGGACCCTGCCCACGTGTTCCCAAGCCTGCCGTCGCGCTGCGGCAGCCGCTGCTGCCGCCCAATCCGCAGCTTCACCCGCGGCAGTGGAGGGAGGTTCGGGAGGGACGGAGACTGACGTGGATCCAAAGAATGCTGAGTCACCATAGCCCAGGCTCGGCCCAGGCTGAGATCCTACTCTCTCATACAACCCAACCCCTAACCTTCCACCTCTTACTCCTCCTCCCCCTCCTCCTCTTGCTCCCCTGCCCCCACCACCACCAACAGCCCCTGATGGGCTGCCAGCGGCAGCAGCAGCAGCAGCGGCGGCGGCAGCTTCAGCGGCAGCAGCAAAGGCAGGATCACCGGCACCGGCACTGGCACCGGCACCGGCACCGGCACTGGCACCGGCACCGGCACCGGCACTGGCACTGGCACCGGCACTGCGCACTGTTGCATCAACCCCCCCACCGCTATCCCGAAACGACCCTGCGCCTTGCTGCTCCTGCTGTACGCGATAGTGCGTCTGAGAGAGCAGCGATCGGTACATGCCAAAGAGATTGCTGACAGGCTGGGCTTCGGCACCTGAGGGAAATGGATACGAGCTGTCGGTGCGATCGGTGCGACGATGGTCAGTGGGACGATTGACAGTTTGCTGGTTGTCAGTGAGTCTACTGTTGCGAAGCCGATGTGTCTCCTCGTCCCACTCCCTCTCTCCGCCTGGTCCCGTTCGGCCGCCTTCTCCTCTCTCCTCCCTAACAACACCACCCCCATCCCTCTCCTCTTCTCCTTCCTCTCCTTCTTCTCGTTCTCCTTCCCCTTCATCCTCCTCCCCTGCTTCGTCGTCTTCTTCCCCCATTTCCTGGTCAAACTGAGGGTTAACTCGCCTTCTAGCCCCATCCAGAGGGTAACTCTGCCTCAGCCCCTCATACGCATCTGAAGGCTCTCTGTTGGCGTAACCTGACGGAGCACCTGAGTAATCACCTGAGACAGGTCCAAAATCTGCTCGTTCACCTGGGCTCCACCCCCCAAGAGGGACACTCTTACTGTTCTCCGCCTGCCCTTCCGCCTGTTCTTGCTCCTGGTCTTCCCGCACAAACCCGCCTTCCCCTCCGCGCCAGTCCCCCCCGTTTTGGTTGCGTGGGTTCCCCTGTTGGCGGAACTCGCCATAAAACTGCGCCTGATAGAGGCCCGCGGGCTGCGGACCTCCGCTTCCGCCAAAGCTTCCGCCAAACCCCTGCGCGGGATAGGCGCCTGTATTAATGTGCCGACTTGGCGCAGCTTCCCCGTCCGCGGGCCTCGTTTCTGCCCCCCAACCCCCCTCACCTCCCCCGCCTATCCTCCGCGCAGCCTCCGCGTTCCCCGCGGGTATCTCCCCCGAACCGAGCGCGCACTTATTGTCAAAGGAAAACCTAAGTGACGACGGCTGGCGGGCGTTTGTCGCGTAGTGGGGGAGGTGGGACTGGTGCGGGTTGTGTTCCGAGAATGGGGGAGGCTCGGAGCTCATATCGCCGCCTGCGCTGCCGTTGCGCGAAGGCGGGTGGCGGAAGGACCGGGGGGATTCTCCCGGAGGCATGGGGAAAGAGGCGGAGTGGAAAGGAAAATTGTTCATATGAGGCGTGCCCGACTCCATATCCGCGTTGTGAGAACAATCAATATAAGAGAAATATTGCGCCGAAATAAGTGAAATAAGCAGTCCATATAAAAGCCACGTAGAAGTTCCTGGAAGTCTCTCACGTAGTACGGTAACGAGACGACTGCTCTAAGAGGTAGTAAGTGGTACAGGTGTCATCAGCTGTAGTTTGTCAGTGTTAAGAAGTTAGGTCAGCTCAACCGAGACATGCGCTTAGCCGCTACTTTGACGCGGGAAGCTTGCGCTTACCGAGAGAAAGCCTTATAATCTCCTGTCAGACGTGGGAGGCTGGGAAACCTAATTTTCATATATGTCAGAAGCCTGAAGCACCAGGCGATAATCTCGAGATCACGCGAGAATAACAAGGGTAATTGCATCTACAGTGCCGTTCAGATAAAAACGACGAGACTGATAGCGTTAGGAGTTGCCAATCTTAGTTTACAAATTATTCATTTTGGAGGCTCATTCATGAAGAATCCGCATGGTGGAAAGAGGTTTATTTAGCTTTTCCGTTTTCACCACGACAACGCAATCAATTAAACTTCAAATAAACGAACAAGAGGACTTCCGTTTTACACATTATTACATTTGTTACATATTTGTTTTTACAAAATCTGTACAGCTCAAATTTCTACTAGCAAGATGCATTCAAACTGAACTAGCTATGGACAGGCATCATGATTGCCGTGTAGTCCACCCCCCTACCATATGCACAAAGCTGTAGGAGGCAGTGCCAGCGAGCAATCATGATGGCTGGCCACAGCGTGGCATAACTAGAAGGCAAGAGATCAATTCCGACTAAAGCATCAGGCCAGGAAACCTTGTACTCATGTTGCTTCAAAAGAATTTTTCAGCTCCAGAGGTTGAACCCAACTGCTGCTGGTGACAACCCCCATGGCGACACATTCACTAGCTCCGCTTCAGTCTCCTGGCCCGTTAATCCTGCAGGGCAAGCCACAACCTCGGGCGCACCTATCCCTTGGGATTGCCGCCCGGCCGCAGCTTCCTGAGTGTTTGCCAGAGCCCAGAGAATAGCTTCCTGCGCAGCAGCACCACCCTCAGGAGCGCCGTCGAACTGGCCGTCAGATCTGCCGGAATCGGTCAGAGAAGAGAGCCTGGCCGGCAAGTGCTCATCAAGCAGGTTCATGATGTCTGTCAGCATGTCCACCCGCGCCTGGCATGCCAGCACAGAATCAGCACTGGCTGGGAGGCTGTGGCTCTCATCTGTAGGCTGTGTGGAGGCATGGTGGTGAGGATCACCATCCAGTACATCAGAGGTCGCAGCTGAAAGGGAGTGTCCTGCAGATGACAAGTCGCTGCCGCTGCTGCTTCTGCTGCTGGAAGGGCTTCTGGGAGACTCGGGCTCTGCGCCAATCACTTCGGTGGATGGGTGCACAGGAGTCGATGGTTCCCGAGGGGTGGATGGGTCAGTGGCCGCAAATGCATTCTCAGTACCATATGCCTTCTCAGCAATATGCCTGTTTACTGCACCACTGGGCTTCATGTCAAGTAGCACTTTGGTGTCCAGGTATGGGATTGTCTCTGACTCCTCCTTCACCACTGCAACCCTCATTTTGCCGCCCTCAAATTCCCATGCAATCTCGCTGCCATGACGACTGTTATTAACATTACTGGTAGCACCGAAACCACCAAAGTTTGACGAATCCAGCTTGACTGGCAGTGGATCGGACATCCCCATAATATTGCTTGGCTGGAACTGAGTCGGCGGCGCTGCTGCGTTTACGCTTTTATCCAGCCATGGCTGAAGGCTGATAGCAGGCATCTCCTGCTTGGGAACGAGCTGCTGCTGCTGCTGCTGCTGCTTCCGTGATTGCTGCTGCTGCATCTGCTGCTGTGTGTGCTGCGTCTGCTGCTGTTGTGTCTGCTGCTGCAGTGGCTTCTGTGGCATCTTCATGCCGCCATCGGCGGCGGCGGGTCCGAGCAGCACCATTGGCTGCCCCCTGTCACCCGAGATCACTCCAAGCGGCGCAACTGCCGCCGCAGGGGGGCACTCCGCGACAACCACTCTGTCGCCCACAGCCTCCAGGCGAACCACGTCGCATAAGAAGCTCGCAGGCAGGTCGCACGCGCCGTCGCGCCCGTCGCCCGCGTCGTCCGCCGCGTCACCTGCAACAACGAGGCGCTCGCTCCCTGCGACGTCTGCGGCGCTCAGGGCTCTGCTTTCGCGGACCGTGCGGAGCAGCGCTTCCGCAATGGCGCGCGGAACGGCGACAGGATGCGCCTCATCGGGGAAGTTGAGCTTTCCGCAGGCGGCGCCTCCGCGGCCTCCCCCTATGATCCGCGCCGCCATATCGTACACCCGCGCTGCTTCCTCCGCGGTTTCGTACGACCCCAGCCACACGCGAATCTTCGTGCGAGGATCGCGAATCTCTGTTACCCACTTTCCCCATTTTCGCTGTCGCACGCCCTTGAAACGGCGATTGCGGTAGCAATAAGCCCTTCCCCTGGGTGTTGCTAGCTTCGGGTGCGGCGAGGGAATAGCGTCGTCTTCCTCCCCGTCTCTATCAAGCACGAGAACAGGGGGCGTGCCGCTTTCCCTACCAATGGCGAGTGCGCGACTGTCTGGAAATGTACTAGGCGATGTGCGATGCGACGCGCCAGTAAGATTGATACGCGGCGGGCAGGGCTGCTTCATTAACGGCGACTCGGAGTCGAAGGACGTCTCGCGCGCGAGCAGCGACGGGCTGGATGCTGCGGAGGGAGGCGTGGTGGGGAGCGGTGACGTCGGAAGGAGCGGTGACGTGGCAGGAAAGGGTGAGGTGGGAAGGAGTGGAGATGTGGAAAGAAGGGGTGACGAATGGTTCGTTCTGCCTAGAAGCTCGGCGAGCTTTCGTTTCGGAGAGAGAAGCGGCGGAGGGCGGGACGACGTTCCAAGGGAGTTGGAAGGAGATAGTGAGAGACTCATGTCAAAAACATACAGTTGCAGAGAAAATGCAGGTAAGCACTAGGCTATTTGTAGACTGACGGAAAGTGTAGCGTCGTCCTTTTTATTGCCCCTGTGCGGAGTCGACGTAGAGACGTGCTCTGCAAGGTCAGACTAATCGAGACACTTCGCGAATGTGCTAGGATAATGGAGGTTTGCTCTGCTGGCGAATGTCAGTAGTGAAAGTATCGGGTATATTTATTATAATCATCAACAATTTATGAGCGACCCAGCTCGCCTATTTATGGATTTCTCTCTACGACCATGGCTGAGCTTGGGGCTGGATTTTGTTCCCCCCCGAACACAGCTGGGTGACGCATGCGCAGCTGCAGCGGAATTGGGGGGGGGGGGGGGGAGAGTGACAGGCAGTCTGGTCACGACTCACAAGGGGCGGAGACACCGAGCAATTTCGCTCACTTGTGATCGGGGGTCGTGCGGTGCGCGGTGCGTGAAACGCACCATCCGGTGATCCGACGGTGGCGCGCGGAGTCCTAGGATCGATGGGTCTTGTCGTTTTGTCCCAAAATCAATGTCGTGATTCGCGAGCCCCGCGACAGACGACAAACGTGACGACGACGAAATTTCTTTTCGCAGCCCTTGAAAGGCAGCATCAACGAAGGTGACGCGAAGGTATACACAAACTACACAAGCGTTGACTGCTGAATCCGCGAACCCAGTGGTGGCAGATTATGTTACACAAGTCAAACAAACAAAAACAATCTGTATTCAATACAAATGCTGCTCCTAAGGGCCTTTGCGACGCACCACATGCCCAAAAGGTGTGGCCCCTCCTGTGCAGTGCCCTCCAACAAGGTACTCTCTATCTGGCCACGGCCGGAATCGTGCAGTTGTAGGGTCATTGGGGTCTGCAGGCTTGCATGGGTCTTGCTGTTCACTCCACATTGTACAACGACCTGTAAAAAAACACACCTTGGTTCCAAAATGAACAGGAACAAATTAGGACGTATTTTCTCAACGGGCAAAATAGAGGGAAGGAAGGATGCACGAGAACAAATCCATGGCATTCCTCACCTTCTGGCTTCTCTCGATGATAGCTCCAAAACGCACAGCCCTCAGTCTTACGGCAGATGATCCAGCAACTGTGGGCACGGTTGGCTGGGCCAGTTGTGTTCTCCCCCAGATGGCCCTTCCCCTCGTGGTCAAAGAAGATACCTTTGATGGCCACGTTGCACATGAGATCAGGGCATGCGGCTGTGGCATTGGGGTCTGGCAGATGGGATGGCACAGGGAATGGCACATGGCAAGGTACAGGAAGTGGCAAAGGGCAGGGCACACATGAAAATGAGACGTGGTTGAGCTTGTAATGGTGAATGCGTTGACCGCTAGCATTCATAGCACTAACTTGCAAGAAGCAGCATATACATACGGATGTTCCATAGGCAGTACCTCTCCTTATCCCGGCTGTTCCTTCCACTGTCAGCATCGGCAGCCTCCCTCCTGCCCCTTGCGCGTGCGCCTGCGGCACCAGCTGCTGTCCTTCCAGCTCCTGCTGCTTCCCCTCGTACCCGTGCTGCCTAGTCCGCCCATCCCTCCCCCCATTCGTCACACTCCCATTCCCTCCCGTCCCGCCTGCCGCCGCTGTAACATTCCCCCCAGCCCCCCCGTGCCCTCCTGCGGTGCTCTCGGTGCCGCGACCCCGCTTGCTGCGGTTGCACCCGCCACCGAAGCCGAACACGCCCTTCCAGGGGGGCGTGGGGTTATAGTGGATGGGGTTGGCGCCGTCTGTAGGGTCCGCCAGGCACGGGCTCTGCTCCTCCCGCCACATGCGGCAGAAGGCTGGAGGGTGGGTTGGGGTGTTGAGTGGGTGGGGAGTTGGGAGGGTGGGGCGTTGAGAGGGGGGTTGTAGTGGACGGGACTGGCACCGTCTGTAGGGTCCGCCAGGCAAGGGTTCTGCTCCTCCCGCCACATGCGGCAGAAGGCTGGAGAAGCGGGTGCGGGGTTGTTGTGGGGGGGGGGGGGGGGGGAAGGGGTGTAAGGGCGAGCAGGAAAGAGGAGTGCAGGGGCAGATTGGAGGACTCACACGGGCTCGGCTCCTCCCCCCACATGTGGCAAAAGGCCGGACGGGCGACGGGGGAAGGGGGAGTAGGGGAAACAGGAGTGCGGAGCTGATTGTGGGATGGCAGGGTTGGCCAGGCATGAGCTCTGCCCCTCCTGTCTCCCGTCCCTGTTTTTGGAGACGCTGAACAGTTATCCAACGCAATGCGAGCTATGTGGTGTTAAGTAGTCAGAAAGGCGCAGAGGGTGCCAAGAAAGGGTGGCTGCGTGAATATTCAGAGACAGTAACGAAGGATATGCAGGCTTGATTCATTAGGGAGCCTATGTCGGGGCGTTTCACCAGAGAATTTACCCTATATGGATCCTCCTCACCTCCTTCCTCCACGACTCGCAGCTGCCAGATGAAGCACTCCGGCGTGGCTGCGCACAGCATCGCGCACGCCTGCACCTTCTGCGGCTCGTCGTTAATCTCCTGCTCGTCCAGGTTGCCCAACGCGTCGTGGTCCCAGATGTACCCTCGCCGCATCATGCCGCATTGTAACGACGGACATTCGTGCGCGAATAACGGCGCCGCGAACAGGGGGAGGATGAGGAGAAGGGATAGATAGAAATTCGACGAAGAAACAGGAAGAATGCGCATGGTGCGACGGTGAAACTTCAGTGAAGGAGATTAATAGAAAAAGGTACGGTTAGGTAGTAGGAAATGCCAGGAAGAAACATACAGGTGGGGGGAAATACAGCACAAATGTAGGCTCAGTTTCATCCATCAAGGTTGTGTTGGGTTGCGAACATAGGGCCTGGCGAAGGGGAGTGGTGCTGGTGTTTTCTCCTGAGCTTTCGCCTTGCCGAAACCAAAATTGAAGACGACAATTTGACGAAATTCTGTTTGTTACCAGATTCAACGACAAAAGTGTCAGTGCGGATATTAGTTTGGTTTATTCTGGGCGTTGAGTTAGAGATGGACATCTTTATTTGAATTCAGGAGAACTTAGGGTGGATTGTGATAATTAGGACCACAGGAGGATTTCAATAGGTCGCAGTCATACAATTTCAATATATTCAGGAGCAGTAGATTAGGTTTCCAGATATTCTTTTATGGAAGACGCTTCACTAGCAGCAAGACGTTGTGCGTCGTTGTTTCGATCTCGACCTAGGTTCTTTCGTCGCAGCTCCTCGTCGTCCGGTGTTCTCCTCACTACTTCCTATCTTATTGGGTTACACCGCGTAATTTAGTGATCGAATGCTGGAGTGCCGTCTATGTTCATCGCAAGACCACTTGTTTCCAGTAGAATACCGCTTAGTTCATCGTTAGACCGCTTAGCCTCGGTATAAGACTGCTCAGCCTCGTTATAACACCGCTTACCTTCATCTCACCGCTTAGCTTCATCTGACCGCTTCCCTTTCCTTCGCATGCGACGAAATGGCGGTGGAGTCGCTGGCGACGCTCTGCGTGCTGTCGCTGATCGACCATCGCGGCCTGCTGGGCTACCTCGGCGACATGGATCTGTCGCTGCTGCGACCCGTGTTCGAACACTGCACCGCTGATCAACTGGACCAGATTGAGAACGAAAATAAGGTCAATTTCAAAATCGCAGCTTAATTTCTGCGTTTGTAGACCTCTCTCTTCTTCTGCGTATCAACTTTTGCGCGGATCAACTGGATCGGTTAGCGATCTATAATCCAATCAAAAAGGATCTCCTAGCATTGTCTTCAATGACGATGTTATCCGTACTACCGTTTCGATTACAGTAATGACAGTAGTGGTTCCTCTCTCCCTGCTGCTTTCCGATGTCTTGTTCAGGATCGTGACTTCAGCCCTTTCACAGACGACCTTTGGGAGCGGTGCTACGAACGCAGGTGTGCTCTCCGGACTCCCTCCGCGTCCTTCGCCTTCGTGCATTTCCATGTCCTCCCCCGTCTGATATTTTCTGACCGACCATGAGCTACTGTGAGCCATGACCCATAACTGACCCAGCACCCATGACCCATTACCCATCAACCGCCAACCATCAACCATCACCCGTCATCCGTCACCCACCACCCACCACCCACCAACCATCACCCATCACCCGTCACCAATGATGCAGGTACGGCATTGATGGCGTGCAGCAGGTTCAGGACAGAATGAGACAAGCCAAAGTACTCTACCCATGGCGACAGCTGTACCATGTAAGCTCCAGGCCCCCACAACTTAGGTCTAGTTCTCCGCACAGCTCACTGCCATGGAAATTTTACTCTACACGCGGCCCCAGCTGTACCATGTAAGTTCCAGGCCCCCAAAACCTAGGTCTAGTTCTGTGCGCAGGACATTGCCATGAGACGCACGCTTGAGAACCATTGAGACCTCTCCTTCTCCTCTCCATTGCCATCAGACCTGTGTCTCGCGGCAGCAGGCAGGTAATCGCACGCCACAGAACTCTCTGTCGCGGCTGATTCTTGAGGTGCTGTAACAAATCGTCCCCCGCGTTTCTCCCTGTCGCAACTGATTCTTGAGGAGCCTGGCGGCTAACAAGTCGTCCCTGTCCACTCCCTTCCCCTGCACTAGCCAGGCTCGGCAGCAGGCAGATGATCGCACGCAGCAGAAGTGTGTGTCACGGCTAAAGGAGCTGTACCACAAGGCAGAGGAAGGTACGGAATTGCGGGTTAAGGCAGAGGAAGGTACGGAGTTGTGGGCTAAGGCATAGCAGCGTAATTCGCCGTTAAACAAGCTTAACAGTGCGTTTCAAACAACAGAAATTGCGCTGCCAGACTCAGTAGGCAGCAAAAATTCCTCTCCCTGGCTACCCAAAGTTCCTTAATTTTGCTGATGATTGTACGCCTGTTTTCTGCTTCTCCTGGGTTGGAGCGTGCGTTCTCTTGGTGCTCCCGGCATGTGCTTTGGTGCTCCCGGCATGTGCTTTGGTGCTCCCGGCATGTGCTTTGGTGCTCCCGGCATGTGCTTTGGTGCTCCCGGCATGTGCTTTGGTGCTCCCGGCATGTGCTTTGGTGCTCCCGGCATGTGCTTTGGTGCTCCCGGCATGTGCTTTGGTGCTCCCGGCATGTGCTTTGGTGCTCCCGGCATGTGCTTTGGTGCTCCCGGCATGTGCTTTGGTGCTCCCGGCATGTGCTTTGGTGCTCCCGGCATGTGCTTTGGTGCTCCCGGCATGTGCTTTGGTGCTCCCGGCATGTGCTTTGGTGCTCCCGGCATGTGCTTTGGTGCTCCCGGCATGTGCTTTGGTGCTCTTCATTGGACGGCTCTCACCTCTCTCCCCATGCCTTTATCCCACCAGTGAAGAAGCAGCGGCAGCTGAGGGTGCTGGAAAAGCCCCGCCTCTCAGTCACACGCAGGCGAATGTTCTCCTCAGGTATGCCCTCAGGTGCTGTTTCAGGTGTTTTTCTTTTTGTTGTTTTAGGATCTGTCTTCAGGTATGCCATCACTGGTGGTCCTGAGAATTTCATCTATCAATGGTGTGGTCTTGCAATCATAAGCCATCCATTACTCTGTTTACCTATCAATATTTTTCGCTCGCCTCGGCCCTCAATGCCTCACTCTCCCCCGCCCCTCACTTTCCCCTTATCTCTCCTCTCACCCCTCGCTGTCACTCTATTGCCCCTCTCACCCCACACTGTCCTTATATCGCTCCTCTCGCCCCTTGCTGTTCCTCTGTCCCTCCCCATCACCCCACACTGTCCTTATATCGCTCCTCTCGCCCCTTGCTGTCCCTCTGTCCCTCCCCATCACCCCACACTGTCCTTATATCGCTCCTCTCGCCCCTTGCTGTCCCTCTGTCCCTCCCCATCACCCCACACTGTCCTTATATCGCTCCTCTCGCCCCTTGCTGTCCCTCTGTCCCTCCCCATCACCCCACACTGTCCTTATATCGCTCCTCTCGCCCCTTGCTGTCCCTCTGTCCCTCCCCATCACCCCACACTGTCCTTATATCGCTCCTCTCGCCCCTTGCTGTCCCTCTGTCCCTCCCCATCACCCCACACTGTCCTTATATCGCTCCTCTCGCCCCTTGCTGTCCCTCTGTCCCTCCCCATCACCCCACACTGTCCTTATATCGCTCCTCTCGCTCCTTGCTGTCCCTCTGTCCCTCCCCATCACCCAACACTGTCCTTATATCGCTCCTCTCGCCCCTTGCTGTCCCTCTGTCCCTCCCCATCACCCCACACTGTCCTTATATCGCTCCTCTCGCCCCTTGCTGTCCCTCTGTCCCTCCCCATCACCCCACACTGTCCTTATATCGCTCCTCTCGCCCCTTGCTGTCCCTCTGTCCCTCCCCATCACCCCCCGCTGCCCCTGCAGCGCCCTCTCAGGCAGCAGCCTGGGCGAGCAAGGCAGGCAGCCCCATGCTCAAGAAGGCCCCCCGCCCACACCCTGTCTGTCACTCCCCTTCACATTCACCCCCCACTGTCCCTCTGTCCCTCCCATCACCCCCTACTGCCCCTACAGCGCCCTCCTCTCAAGCAGCAGCCTGGGCGAACAAGGCAGGCAGCCCCATGCTCAAGAAGGCTCGCCTGACATATGCCAACAGGTGGGCAGGTGGCATGGGCGTGTCAAACTTAAGTTTGCCAGGCGTGTTAAACTTAAGATTCATGGGTCAATAGTTTCAGGCTTAAACAGCATGGACCAATAGTTTTATACATAAGAAGGCCCACCTGGTATATGCCAACGGGTGTGCTTGGTTGCACGGCTGATAGTAGGCGCTACATGCTGACCGTTGGATGGGTTTTGAGTCGTCTCTGAACTCAGCTGATAGTATGAAGCTGATAGTATGAAGCTGGTAGTATGAAGCTGATAGTATAAAACTGATAGTATGTTTTGAGGCTGTCGAATGCGAAGGCTGTGATCGCCATGTGAGCACTGAGCACCAATATTTCCATTCCAACCCGAGCCTTTGCTTTCTCTCCCTCTCTCTTCCCTCTCTCCTCTGTCTCTCCTTGCAGCCTGCAGGCACGGCTAGTGTCAGATATCAAGAAGAAGCCACCCAACTACTCCTCTCGCTGCTCGTAGATTCACAGACCCCCCTCAATCTCCTCTCTCTCCTTTCCTTTAATCCCCCCTGTCACCTCCGTCTGTCCTTGCAGTGTGCAGGCACGGTTAGTGTCAGATATCAAGAAGAAACCTCTCAACTACTCCCCACCCCGCTTGTACACGCACAGACCCTCTTCACACTCCTCACTCTCCTCTTCCCCAGCTGCACAAACAACCACCAGGGCTGCTGTAACCACCAGTCCTGTGGTTACCAGACAGTTTAATTCCACACGCGCATTTTCGGGGCAGCTGTCAGCCAATCAGAGCCCTCATGCCCGCCTTTCTGCCCGCGAGTCACCTTCTGGCCGGGGCTTTTCCGAACCACCAAGAGCCATGCGGATGGAGGCTCGGGGGCAGGTTCGGGAGCAGGCCAGGGGTTCGTCGGCTGCGGGCATTCTGAATATTGTTGACCAGAGAGGGGGGTTTGGGGGTGCGAATGAGAAATGGGGAGGTGATAAGGGGAGATGCAGAGAGGGGGAGGGAAGCAGAGAAAAAAGAATGAACAGAGGCATGGACAGGGACATGGACAGGGATTGGGAGTGGGAGAGTGGAGGAGGAGGAGAAGGTGGAGGAGAGGGCAGCGATACAGACGAGGACGCAGAGTACCAAAGGAAGAGAAGGAGAGTGTCTGACAGTGGTAGAGGGAGGGGAGACGGCAGGGATGCAGAGGAGGATTGGGACTGGAGTAGGGACAGAAGTGAAGGCTATGGTAGGGGCAGAGGTGGAGGCAGTGACAGGAGGCCGGTTGATGGATCTAGTGGGAGGAGCAGGAGCAGTCATGTGCAGGCCGGCAGCAAGGAGCGTGTCATCAAGGAGAGAGCAGGTGAGTGAGGGAGAGAGGTGGTGGGTGGGGGAGTTAGGGGTGAGGGGAAAAGGAGGAGAGTGAGGGAGAAAGGAGGAGAGTGAGGGAGAATGGAGGTGCGCCTCTCCCTAGTATGCTTTGTCTGCGTTTCTATAGCATCATCCCCTTGTTGAAGTTTGATTTTCTCCTTTGTATAATTCCTCCCTCTACTCCATTCAACCTCTGTGTGTGAATTGAGGTCGTTTTTTAGGCGCCTCAAAAACGACCTTTTTGAGGCGCCTGAAAAACGACCTTTTTGAGGCGCCTGAAAAACGACCTTTTTGAGGCGCCTGAAAAACGACCTTTTTGAGGCGCCTGAAAAACGACCTTTTTGAGGCGCCTGAAAAACGACCTTTTTGAGGCGCCTGAAAAACGACCTTTTTGAGGCGCCTGAAAAACGACCTTTTTGAGGCGCCTGAAAAACGACCTTTTTGAGGCGCCTGAAAAACGCCCTTTTTGAGGCGCCTGAAAAACGACCTTTTTGAGGCGCCTGAAAAACGTCCTCCCGCTTCTCCATTCAACCTCTGTGTGTGAGCAGCAGGGATCTCCAAGGGGAAGAAGAAGGTGGAGTGCAGTATGGACTGGGGAGTGTAAACACACTTGTACATACAACATCACCCTACAACCTTGTAACAGCATTACCACATGGGTGTACATCTCACCTGCTTGCTCACTAGGTTTCCTTGATGTGGTTCTTAAACGTGTGCGACTTGCTACATTTGCCTTTTCTTTTGTTGTTTTACTTTCCCTGTATCATCAATTCAGCCAGGGATCCACTAGAAGGCGTTTATTTTCAAGGGAGCAAGATGCAAGGTACAGCAAAAATCATCTACGTTTTCAGTCCCACAGCCCAAGCAGACTAGGAAACAACGCCAGATAATGGGCGTGAGTGAGAATCAGCATGAGCATGAGCATCAGCAGCGCTGAGTGCCTTCCTAGTGCTCTGCTTGCGCTCTGAGAGAGAAAGCCATCACCTGCAGCTTCCTCCGATTCATGCCTTTCTTCCCTCCTGCCGTCTGCCGCACCCCATGCTCCCACACACCCTGCTTCCCTCCCACCTCATCTTTCGCCCACTTTCATGGCCTTCCAGTTCCATGGACCCCACCCAGCCAACTCACCCGACTCAATCTAAGAGACACTTGAAACTCCACCACGCATTTCCCTTAGACCTCGCACTGCACAGTTCCTCCTCTTCTGCAGTCCAATCCCAGCTGACAACTGGTCAACCCCCACAGACCCCCTCCCCTGACAGATACGACCAAAGAACAAGCCCATCACCACCACAGCCATACTTGGCTGAGCACGTCATCTGCAACCATCTGCACCCATCCCGTGCCCCCCTCAATCCCTCTGTACTCCACGTCCTCCATCCCACGCACACTGCTACTCCATGCGAGCCACGAGGCTGCCCTGTGCACCGACGCGCACTTGCAGGAAGAGGGGCAGGTTGGTGGACATGCGGGTCACGAGGGCCGATGCCAGCGCTGCCGACACTCGAGTCTGCCCGACCATGGCGTAGGCGCCACCACTGGCAGCCATCCATCCCCCTGTAAGCACCACCATTGGGGATAGAGAGGCTGAGACCGAGGCTCCCATGTTGCCCATCGAACCTGCCACTGAGCCTGCCACCGAGCTTGCCACGTTCCCCACCGAGCCTACAAGGTTCCCCACAGCCCCGCCCACACCAGAGATGAGGCCGGAGACCGAGCCTCCGAGGTTCGCTGAGGCTCCGAGGTTGGCGTTGACACTGCCCGAGCCTGCGTTGACGGCAGCGCCGGCGCCGGCTGAGGTGTTGAGGAGAGGGGAGGAGGCAGCGAGGGAGGCAGAGCCAGAATGAGAGGCGTTGGGGAGAGACACGCCCACTCCTGCTCCCACGCCGGCTGACGTGTTGAGCAGACCGGAGGAGGCCGAGAGGCCGCCTGCTGCTGAGGCAGTGCCAGTGGGCAGGGAAGCGCCAATGCTGGCGCCAACACCAGCAGACGAGTTGAGCAGCCCTGTGGACGCAGCAACGCCGCCCGTTGCAGCGACAGACCCGTTGGGAAGGGAGACCCCGGCTGTGGCTCCTACCCCTCCGGATGTGTTGAGGAGGCCGGTGGTAGCGGAGAGATCACCCGCTGCCGAGACAGAGCCATTGGGGAGGGAGACAGCTGCACCAGCGCCCACCCCTGCTGATGTGTTGAGCAGAGTAGTGGAGGCTGAAACACCTCCTGCTGTGTTCACCGTTCCGTTGGGAAGAGACGCTGCGACATCAGCGCCAACACCCACAGATGTGTTCATAAGCCCGGTAGAAGCCGAGACACCCCCTGCTGCGTCCACCGTTCCATTGGGAAGAGACGCCCCGGCGGTAGCGCCAACACCCGCGGAGGTGTTGAGAAGGGTGGTGGAAGCCGAGACGCCGCCTGCCGCGTCTACCATGCCGTTGGGAAGAGACGCTCCGACGGCAGCATCAACACCCGCAGAGATGTTGAGAAGAGTGGCTGAGGCTCCAGCAGCAGCGCCCGCGGTGGCGTTGAGGGGATTGGCTGTGAGAGAGGAGCCAAGATGAGCCAAGAGAGAGGGGTCGAGGGAGAGAGAGGCAGCCGTGGCAGTGGAGGCGGAGGAGGAAGAGGAGGATGAGGGGCAGGGGTTCGCGAAGAGGAGTTTGGGCCTGGAGGAGGGACGAGTGGCGGCCTGGGTGGTGAGCTTGTATGTGAGGAAGAGAGCCGCACCCCTGTGGCTTGCAGGAGGGGTGGGGTGGAGGAGAGGGGGTGATGAGAGGGGGAGAAGGTGATGAATTGAGTTGAGAAATTTCAAGCACTGGCGCCAGATTTGAGTGCCTTGCAAGTATACAAAAGTGCTTGGGAGCGCTAAGTGCCTCTTCGTCTCACCTTCTCACAAGCTCCATCTGGGCTGACCCCTCCGTCTCGCCCGAGCCACACATCACCAGAGGGCCGCTCACTGATGCTGCATGAATGGGACATGTAAAAGCAGGGGAGTGAGGGCATTATTGGAGATGCGGAGGCATTGGGAATATGGGATACGGATTGTGGTTTATTTTAAAACGCCAAACCTATGGAAAACCCAAATAAATGCCATATTTGGTTGACAGTCGTGCCAAACAGTTGTAAGAGAACAGGTTCGCTCACCCAAAACTTGCGTTCGCATCCCCAGCCTTATGGCAGACGCGGGGGGAGTAATCAACGCTGCATGGAGGTGAAAAGGTGCAACGCAGAAGAAAAGCAACAGAGCATTATAGAGCACAGTTCAGTTCCATGAAAAATTGGGGACCAAATTTGTTGAGCATGCGTTTCAAGTGGCTGGTGCATGCATGCCAGGCAAGAGCAAGAATATGCCTCTTACATGAGAGAAGGAGAGCCAGAACTACGGCAGCTTGGACGCGAATGGTGGACGTAGCCATGGTTGAGCGTGTGTTGCGGGGAGACTAGTTGCTGTCTGTGTGCTTCGGGCGCTCTAAGGTAGAGTTCTGATGGGATTGATTGCTGTATTGAGAGGGAGAGGGATCGGGGATGTCTGTGGCAGGATGGGGTGTTGAAATTTATGCTGCGTGGTTCTGGAATTTTCAGCATCGAGCCGCAACATTTTATGGCGGTGCGGTCGGCTTGGGCTGGCGGATGGAGGGACACGTGTCAATGCAATGAGACGTAGCAGGGCAGGTGCTCCGACGGTCGCGAATTGTCACTCTAGTAATTGCGAAACAACGATTTCGCTATTTCGTTTTTCTGGGGTATTCATGCCTGCACATTTGTCGGAGGGGCGGCTGAAGAGTGACGGAGTGGAGGCTAGTAGGTTGCCTGTCTGTTCGTCGGGATTCGCCTTGTAACAATTTTGTTCCACGAAGATTCTGCTTGAAACTCATAAAAAACAACAGCATTATGGAGAGTCAGACAGCTTCTAGTAATTCTACTTAAGATACAAAATGAATGGCATAACCTGGAACGAATTATCTTCACAAAAAAACTGTCACTTTCCACCATACTAACTTGCCACTGGCAGCTGTAATTATCAACTTAAATTATTTACGTTAAGGCTTCCTCTGTCCCCTATCAGTCCTCCAAATGCAGCATCAAGCTCCTAATCATCCGACGCATTATCTAACACTCCCTCCACCTTGTTTGTGGCTGCTTGAGCCATAACCGTATGCTTGTACTTCTGAGATACACATAAGAATCCTGTTATTGCTCTCAAATAACAATGCCAGAATGGAGTAAAAAAGAGCCGCAACCACATTTGCTTTGGAATATGCATTTTGAGCTGATAGTGCGAGTGCAGCCTTGCGAGGGGGGTTGCAGATGGTTAAAACAGCGTCAGTAAAGGAACTACACACAAGCCACAAATGAGAATCCTATACCGTATTTCAAATCAGATCAGAAGGGCAAGGACAGAGCAGAACAGGGCTACAGCCATCACAACACAAGCGTTCACACTGTGGAATGATGTAGCCTCTGCTGCCTTGCCCGAGGCGGCAGGGGGTGAAGTAGCAGCGGCAGGAGGAGGGAGGGCAGCAGCAGGTGCAGTTGGTGCATAGGAGGAGAGCAGTGCAGATACGGTATTCGAGGGAATGTCTGCCAGTGATGCATGGGTCCTGCCAAGGGGTGGCGTGTGGGGGAGTGGAGGGAGGGGGAAGGAAGGGGGACAACGAGGTGTGTGATGAGGTGGTGCGGTGACATGTGGTTGCAGGGCAGGCTGTAGTGGTGCCGAGATGGTGTCAGTGGGAATCGTGTCGCAGAGAATGGGTGTGGTTTGGAGTGGGTATGGAATGGTGTGGTGGGCACTCACTGTTGTGCGGTGCTGTCAGGTCTGCAGTTTCCCAACCGAGCAACTGTTTTGGAATTTGATAGGCTTGGAGCCGAAGGTGATCTTGCAGGGCTGGTAGGAGGGGATGGAGTGTGGGTGCAAGGGCAGGGCTGTGGTGTGGAGTGGTGCAGTGCGGTCCTGTCTTTATTTACTCAGCCGGACAGCCATTGAGGGCCACCATGGGCGCATTGGAGCCGAAGGTGATCTTGCAGGGCTGGTAGGTGGGGATGAAGTTGGGCCCGCATGCGTAGCGTGTGTTGAGATGGTGTGGCAGGGTGGGGTGTGGTTTGGAGTGGTGTTACTTACTCAGCAGGGCAGCCATTGAGGACTTCCATGGGCGTGTTGGCACCAAAGGTGATCTTGCAGGGCTGGTACGTGGGGATGAAGTTGGGCCCACACGCGTAGAACTTGGACAGTGTGGGGCTGTTAGGGTCCATGCCGAGAGTGCCGTTCTCGTATGATGCACACATGTCGTAACACATATCCATTTCTGTTTGGGAACAGGTGCAGGAGGGAAAGAGAGGCGGTGTAATTAGTAAGGTTGTTAGGGTGCAGGCACTCTCAGGCAACTTGAGAAAAGTTCAAGTGAAAAAAAAAAAATACTTGAAGTGGTGTGTTGAGTCGACTCAATGAAATACCTGGCCCTGCTGTTCTCTGTGCACGCATGGGGGGAGCATTACCTTGGCCCTGAAGCATCGGGTAGTATACGAGATAGTCAATGCACATCTCACCCTCCGTGGATACCTCTAGCAGAGAAAGGATGGGTCCCCTGATAAAGTGCAGGGGGAAACGAGGCATTACCTTGGCCCTGGCGTGCAGGGTAGTAGATGAGATAGTCAATGCACATCTCATCCTCCGTTGATGGCCCTCCCACCGTCACCTGCATGACGCAATGGGTAGAGATGGGCAGAGGAGGGGCAGAGATGGGCAGAGAAGGGCAGAGATGGGCAGAGAAGGGCAGAGATGGGCAGAGAAGGGCAGAGATGGGCAGAGATGGGCAGAGATGGGCGGAGATGGGCAGAGATGGGCAGAGATGGGCAGAGAAGGGCAGAGATGGGCAGAGAAGGGCAGAGATGGGCAGAGATGGGCAGAGATGGGCGGAGATGGGTGGAGAGAGACACTGTGTGGAGGAGATCATAGTAAAAGAGGGAGCTGTCACCATAGAGCGATGCGGGATAGTAACTTGCGAGTCGACTCGGACTTTTGAAACGTTTCAAAAGTCGTCAGCATAGAGCGACGCAGACACCGTGCAATAGTGACTTGTGAATCGACTCAGAAGCCCCCTCGCTGAAAGGGAGGGTGCCACAACAGAATGTAATAGCCACTGTAAGAGGTGAGGTTAGCATGTAGGAGTGGGGAAGGACATGCAGTAACGCTGGAGGGTATTCAATGGTAAAGAGACAGGACGTATGTAGGTGGGGGGGAGGCACGTACGTTGGTGCGAGCAGTAGATTCCCAGACACAGGAGGTGCGCAGCTCGTCCCCTGGCAACAGCTCGAACTCAGGTGTGGTGGGAATGGTCTGCTGCGATGCAAAGTCGCTGTTGGGATGTGACGGGGGAGAGATTGGAAAAGAGGGAAGGGAACCGGGGAGGGAAGGAGGGACGAACGGAGGGAGGGGAAGAGGGAGGTTGTGGGGTAATGGGGAGGGTGTGGTGGGACGTGTGGCTTGCTCCGAGTGGAAGCGACTGGAACCGAAAGGATTGGTTACAGCAGGCAAACGGGGGGCGATGGTTGGGTGGAAGGGAGTGGCGAAGGGTGTTGGGGGTCAGATGGGACTCACTAATAAGGCTGGTGGTTTCTGAGAATTCTCACGAACCAACTTGTCTTGAAAAAAGTTTTCATAAGGGGACTCACTAGTAGTCCTGGCGGTTGATCGTTGCGACCTTGCTGCCCCGCCTGAACACATCCGTGTACATCTGCAGTGGGGGATGGGGATGGGGACATGGGCAGCAGGGGGAAATGGGCAGCATGGGGGAATGGGCAGCATGGGGGAATGGGCAGCATGGGCAAATGGGCACAACAGAGGCGAGTTTGTTTAGCAAGTTCCAGCGACAACATGCCACATCCCCTCTCCACCCTCAAATCCCTAAACCCACCCTCTCCTGCCCTACCTGCTGCTCCACCGCACTCTCACGGCCTTACCTGCCGCCCCAGCGTGTGCAGGTGCAGGAGGGACCCAATGATCTTCACACTCTCGTTCCTAAACACTCTCCACCGCACTCTCACGGCCCTACCTGCTGCCCCACCACACTCTCACGGCTCTACCTGCTGCCCCACCGCACGCTCACGGCCCTACCTGCCGCCCCAGAGTGTGCAGGTGCAGGAACGACCCAATGATCTCCCCACACGTCCTATGCTGTTCACACGGCCATGCCTCATCCGCCCATCTCTCACCTGTCGCCCCAGCGTGTGCAGATGCAGTACGGATCCAATGATCTTCACGCTCTCGTTCCTGAACACTCTCTCCACCGCACTCTCACGGCTCTACCTGCTGCCCCACCGCACTCTCACGGCTCTACCTGCTGCCCCACCGCTCTCTCACGGCTCTACCTGCTGCCCCACCGCACGCTCACGGCCCTACCTGTCGCCCCAGCGTGTGCAGATGCAGCACGGATCCAATGATCTTCACACTCTCGTTCTTGAACACCGCAGTAGTGCACTCGCCCGGGCACGAGCTGACTTGCGTCCACGAGGGCATGCCGGGGGGAATGCGGATGAGGTACTCGTAGGCCACAGGGCCCGTGAGCATGATGGACGCGTCCATGGGGCGGAGGGACAGTGCGAGTTTCAGGTACAGCCCAGAGTTGTCGATGAGATCAGCGCGACCCTTGGGATTGGTGAAATGTACCTGAGGGTGGGGTGTTGGGATAGTGTGGAGGGGAGGGGGGGGGGGGGGGGGGGGGGGGGAAGGCGCAGGATGGACGCGCCCATGGGACGCAGGTAGGGGTCGAGTTTCAGGTACAGCCCAGAGTTGTCGATGAGATCTGCACGGGCCTTGGGGTTGGTGAAATGTACCTGAAGAAAGAGGAGGTGAGGGGGAGGAAGGGAAGGGGAGGGAAGGGGAGGAGAGATTTAGAGGCGGATGAGGTACTCGTAGGCCACAGGTCCCGTGAGCATGATGGACGCGTCCATGGGACGCAGGGGGGGCGCCAGCTTCAGGTACAGCCCGGAGCTGTCGATCAGGTCCGGCCGGGCCTTGGGATTGGTGAAATGAACCTGAAAGGGGGAAGGTGGGGTGGGGTGCGGAAGAGGGACGGCGGGTCAAGAAGAGGTGGTTTGGAAGGGCCCTAGAATCACAATGGAACAAGGATGATACTCTTTGTGGGTAGGTGGGTAGGTGGGTAGGTAGGTAGGTACGTAGGTAGGTGGGTAGGTGGGTAGGTAGGTAGGTAGGTAGGTAGGTAGGTAGGTAGGTAGGTAGGTAGGTAGGTAGGTAGGTAGGTAGGTAGGTAGGTAGGTAGGAAGGAAGGAAGGAAGGTTTTCAGAAGGGGCACGTGGGTGGAAGGAAGGATTGCTTATTGACTGACATCCAGTAGGTTTGCACCGCATCACCACACTGCACTGCACTGCACTACACTACACCCACCTGCAGCACGAACTTGGTGAAGTATCCAGGGCCAATGGGGTAGCCCACATTGGGCGGGTAAGTGAAGGGCCTGCCGCCCACAGCCCACATGGCGACAGTGGTGGCGCACGGCGTGTCGTGCAGACAGTCAAAATCCGCCCCTGCGCCCTTGAGACTGCCGCACTCCTTGCTGTTGGGGCGGCGGGTTGGGGAGGAAAAAAAGACAGATTCAGTAGTGGAAATTTAATATTTTTGCAAGGAATAGAACTGAGATAAAATCATGGGAAAACTTAAGATGATTCTGAAGGAAAGGGGGCCGGAGATGGCTGCTTACGGTTTGCAGCCATAGATGATGGCATGATGGACGGCTGAAATGTCAGTAGAGTTGAGCAGGACACCCCACTCAACCGCATGAGTCTTGGTCTTGAGAGGAATGTCCACCGCCTGGGGACACGATAGAGGGGCGCAAACGGGTGCAGATCGGTGCAGATGGGTGCTGAAGGGTCGCGGGCACGGGAAAGGGGTTGGAGGAACTTGATGCGACAAAGAAACTGTGCCACACGAGAACGAAAGAGGTACACGAGGTGGCATTGGGAGGGCATTTGGGGGGGGGGGAGTTGTGGGGGGGCATTGTGGCCGGGGAACATGCACTATGATGCGTGCATGGAAGAAGGTGCACGGAGCTGTCCAGAGTTGAGACGTCTCAAAACTGGTTTTGAGACGCCCTAAAACTGGGGGAAAAAAGGGTGCATTGTATCCGGAGGGGTACAACGCACTGTGCGTGGGTGGAAGAAGGCGCAGGGAGCCGTTGAGCAACACCGTTGTGACAACGCTACGCCACGCACCTTGCAGCGATAGGTCGTGTGATTCGTTGGCACCCGGTAATTCGTGAACGTGAAATTCAGCATGCTCTCTTGCAGCGGCTGCTGCTGCTGCTTCCCTGCCTGCGGTTGCGCAGCCAGCCGCCCGAATGCTCGGAGCGAATCAGACGCAGCGGACGCGGAGGCGGAGGCGGAGGCGGAAGGGGGAGGCGTGGGCGCGATAATGGAGGGGCCGGGGGCAGGAGCGAGCACAAGGGCGGACACGCCGCGGTCGGAGCTGTGATAGCTGACGTCAGCCGTGGCGCCCATCGCCCAGATGACGTTGTGAAGCTTCCCGGAAACTATTGGACGGTCGTTGCAGTCGCCCGTGTCCAGCCGGCGCCACACGTGCACGGTGGTCCACGTGTCGCCCGTGGATTGGTTCTTGGTCTGACTGCCGCCCAGCACGTGCCAGTCCTGCTTGTCGTCGAGTGCGATTCCGGCAGTCGTCTTGTTAAAGATGAAGCGATCCGTCGCATAGGCGCGGGCTTCAGACTGTGCGACCCATGCGACGAGGGCATCTGGTCGCACACGAATGCAGCGTGTAGAGTGAGCGAGAGCAACAACATCTTGTTGAATAACTCAATCATTCAAGCAAAGTGAGCCACGCCACTCTTTCTCGGAGAAATCGCATCGACTGTAGGTGGGATAGGAGTCGTCCAATGCCAACCCTTTAGCGGACTCAGAATGCATGCGTTCCTAACTCTTCACTCCATGATATGCAGCAAAAAAAAAACAAAAATCGAAAGCGTTTCAAGTATTCAATGAACAGGAACGAGACCCGTACCTGAGCCCACCATGGAGCCAATCTCGGAGATGCCTATAGCGAACCATCCCGTAGTTTTTGCATTCACTGCCATGTGAATGGTCGCGTCGCTGCTGTTGACGGTCCAATAGAGCTCGAAGCGCGGATCCAGCAACGCCACATTCGAGTAGGTGGAAAGCGACTCGGGAAGGGAAGTCGCGTCATCCGCGGAGGCGGAATGGTTACACACAACCGTCGCGAACGCCACCAGCAATAGGAGTAGACACCACGAGTTCTGGGGCGAAGCTTCGCAGCCTTGCCGCCTGTGCGCCATCGATCCAAGCTTTTTTAAATCTATAATTTCAGTGGAGGATGGAATAGACTGTCTTGAGCAGGATCGTCAATATCTCCTTTGCAGCGTGCACAGACGTTCTCTGCCGCGCGCCGAACCGACGGGGAGTGTGCGGCCGAGTGGGCCGAGTTCCTCGCTTCGCAATGAAGCTGAAGCGACTCGAGAACTTCTCACCTTCGAGTATCACTACCAGCCGGATTGCATGAGCATTTTATGGGCAATGAGGAACAAGGAGTGTTTCGTTCAAGTCGCGATGCGTGGTCGATGCATCGACACTACAGCACATCTCGTCTGTATGGGAAATTTTCGAGTCGCGTGGTGTGAGGATCCGATTCCCCGTTGACTGACTGGTAGCGTCGATCGCGGAGGGTGGCGTGGCAGCGTGGGTTGGTGCTTTGTTTCGTGGTCATTGACGTTCGGATTGGTGGATGATTGAACGAAACGGGTAACACGAGGGAAACGAAGCAAAATATGACGTCACTTGTGATGTCATTTGAGAGCTTCGACGAATTGACCTCGACACATATTGGCCACTCACTACACGCGGCTGACGTGGAGTGACATCATCTGTCAGTACTACTTCTGGGGACGGATATAGAGGGTAGTGTACCGTTTTTCATCCTACCTAAACGAAAATAACAAGACAAGGCAAGGATGGTGGAGTGTTAAATCCTGGGGCACGACTCTAATCCTCAGTAGATTCCGGTATACTTTTTTTGCAGGGGGGCCTCAATGCAGGAAGATTCGGATCTGAACGAACAAGTGTGGCGAGGCTGGCTTTGGGCCATGACAGGCCGATTAAGACCCTTGTATAGTCGTAGGCTGCGTTCTGCGGCCGCATCTGCTCTGATGCGCCCTAGGCTCGGCCTGATCCGCACATTGACAAATTGAGGTTCGGGAATGTGCAATTTGAAATTGAAAACTGGAGGTCCGGAAAACGGAGATCGAGGTTCGGGAAATCGGAAATTGGAAATTGCAAATTTCCAATTTCCCAATCTCGATCTCGAATCACTACGGGTTTCCAACGACCTGCAGGGTTCGTCGAACCAGGGAAGCACGTACCTCACGCCTTCCCCACAGGCATAGACTTCACTGCCCGACTGCCCACACTCCAGCCGGGTTGCTGCCTAAAAAGCTGCAGGGGAAACCAAACATTCCTACGACACCTCCAGGAGCACTCTCTTCTTCGACACCTCTGTGACACCACTCCATCCCGCTAACACATGCTCTATACCTTGTAGGAAAGAATGGCTGGTGGCTTCGATCCGTTAAGCTTGCGTAGCCTGCACCCTAATCCACTTCCATTCCGTAATGCGCTCTCACAATATATCGACCCAGTAGTAACAGGCCGACTTAGCGCGCTTCGCATAGTCATGTCGGAGGTGCTAGCCAAGGCCGCGTCCAGATACATGCGCGAGCCTAAGCATACTTCGACGTTAACCGGTCGGGCATACGCTCACGAACTACTCTCGGGTCACCCAGAGCGGATGCGCACCGCCGCACGTATGGAGCCAGCGTTATTCACCAGACTGTGCGACCTCCTTTCGTATAGGCAGTTGCTAACGGACGGGCGATGGATAAGGCTATCCGAAAAGCTACTTATCTTCCTCAACTTCGTCGGACATTCTGCCGCTAATCGAGACATGCAGGAACGTTGGCAGCATAGCGGGTCAGCCATCAGTGCGATAATCACTGAAGTAGCCAACGCCATAGTACGCCTCAAGCGTGACTTCATTCGAATGCCTGATCGGGTTGACGCCAACTTCCTCTCTTCACGGCCTGAGTACGCCCATTTCCCTGGCGCCATTGGGGCTATCGACGGGACCCTCATACCCGCGTGCATCCGCATTGAAAGGCAACAACCCTTTTACGACCGTCATAGTAATGTGTCCCAAAATGTTCTCGCGGTAGTCTCCTTCAGCGACTTATTTCTGTACGTGTTAGCAGGTTGGGAAGGCTCCGCGCATGATTCCACCGTCTTCCAGGATGCGGTGCTCAAGGGAACTCCGCATTCCCACCGGCACATACCTGTTGGGTGATTCAGGATATCGTAATGATATCCACTGCCTCTCTCCATACCGCTCCGTCCTCTACCACTTGCAACGCTGGCAGCAGGCCGGCCGCACCCCCGAGAAGAAAGAAGAACTCTTTAACCGCACGCATGCAGGTATGCGCTCACATGTGGAGTGTGCGTTCGGGCAGGTCAAAGCACGATTTCGGATTTTAAGGATGATGCGGTCCTACTCCTTTGCCATGCAATGTAACACCGTCATTGCATGTTTCATCCTCCATAACTACATCAAAATGGGAAGGGGTGCAGATTTCGCGTGGCAGCCCGACATGGATGATGAGCACGTTGCCAACGCGGTAAGAGAATTTGTGTTCTCCGTCCCCCGCACCGTGCGACACGCGACACAAATCGGCCAGCGACGGCGTGACCTTATCGCTAGGTCTCTGTGGGAGTCACGCAGCAGCCTGTGAGATAAGCAGCAGCAGGGAGCGTAGGCAGCAGCAGGGAGCAGTGGCAGCAGCAGGGAGCAGTGGCAGCAGCAGAGAGCAGTGGCAGCAGCAGGGAGCATTAGCAGCAGCAGAGATCTGTGGCAGCAGCTGGGAGCAGAGGCAGCAGCAGGGAGCAGTGGCAGCAGCAGGGAGCAGTGGCAGCAGCAGGGAGCAGTGGCAGCAGCAGGGAGCATTAGCAGCAGCAGTGAGCAGTGTCAGCAGCAGAGAGCACTGGCAGCAGCTCCCTGCAGTGGCAGCAGCAGGGAGCAGAGGCAGCAGCAGGGAGCAGTGGCAGCAGCAGGGAGCATTAGCAGCAGCAGAGATCTGTGGCAGCAGCAGGGAGCAGTGGCCCAGTAGAGAGCAGTGGCAGCAGGAAGGCATATTTGGCGTCATTAGTTGGCTGTCATTCGTGCGATGGTACATGAGTCCAGCAAGTTCAAGTGCGCCATGCACTAACCTGGCATTTTAATGACAACCATGTCACACATAGGCCCTGTTGTACGTTGCAATGGCAACAGTAGCAGCATAAACACTAAATAGTGCTAGCATTATTTGAATAGACCTCGGTAGCACATAAGGCTCCTGTACACAACGCTTTGCCGCATTGTTTTCGATGCGAGGCGCGTGAATCAATCTGGTTTCAAGCAATGGCATCGTAGCCAGATCACAAGACATAACTAAGTCACATGCCCATAACCCCTAGGTTCATGTTTACCACGGTCCCAAAATGCGCCCCCCAGCACCCAGGAGTCCTGAGCCGGGGCACCATGAAAGAACCCCAACAATTTCACCTTACGGGACATCCGCATGTATGCCTGAAGGGGATGGGGGGGAGCAGGAAAGGGGATGTGTGAAAGCAGGGAAGGGGATGTGTGGGAGCAAAAAAGGGGATGGGTGAAATCAGAGAAGGGGATGGGGGGAAGGAGGGAAGGGGACAGGGGGAAGCAGGGAAGGGGATGTGTGGGAGCAAAGAGGGGGATGGGTGAAAGATCAGAGAAGGGGATGGGGGGAAGCAGGAAAGGGGATGTGTGAAAGCAGGGAAGGGGATGTGTGGGAGCAAAAAGGGGGATGGGTGAAAGATCAGAGAAGGGGATGGGGGGAAGCAGGAAAGGGGATGTGTGAAAGCAGGGAAGGGGATGTGTGGGAGCAAAAAAGGGGATGGGTGAAATCAGAGAAGGGGATGGGGGGAAGGAGGGAAGGGGACAGGGGGAAGCAGGGAAGAGGATGTGTGGGAGCAAAAAGGGGGATGGGTGAAAAATCAGAGAAGGGGATGGGGGGAAGCAGGAAAGGGGATGTGTGAAAGCAGGATGTGGGATGTGTGGGAGCAGAAAAGGGGATGGGTGAAATCAGAGAAGGGGATGGCGGGGAGCATGGACGGGGATGGGGGAAAGCGGAGGAGCAGAAAAGGGGAAAGCATGTGTTCGGGGCTGGGGGGGGGGAGGGAAGGTGATGGGGGGAAGCATGGAAGGGGATGGGGGAAAGCGGAGGAGGGGATGTGTGTAAGCAAGGATGGAGGGATCAGGCCGCACTCACGTTGATATTCAATCCCCTATGGTGCTGAGTGGGAGGTCTCAAGGTCCTCCCCCCGCAGCCAAGCTTCTTGAGCGTCGGGCTTCAGCTTTATGAAAATAGATGCAAGGATAGGCTGACTCCCAAACAGGCGTGACAGGCGCAGCCTGTGACGTTCAGACGGAGCGTTCATCTGAGCCAAGAGTTCTGCTGCCATCGTGACGTCGTCGTGCATGGCATCTGTTGGCACAGTTTACAGCAAAGTGACATGCCAGGTCAATACAGCACATACATTTGCAGACGGAAGAGCCTATTCCCCCGTGCAAAGTGGTCGGGATCACTCACCAGTGTGCCTGTGATTTATGGGCTGAGACGCGGCGGACGCTATAGCCTCCAGACTCCTAGCTATACTCGAAGCCTCGGAGCGTTTCCTACGTCTGGTGCCAGTGCTTGGAGTGCCTTGGGAGGAGGGGCTGCCAATACTGGCGCCCCGCATGTTATTTCCACTACGGGGAGAGCCGGGGCCATGGAGACCGCTGGCTTGTTGCGCACCACTTGCACCACGGCGGGAACTCTGGCCGGCGCGGCGGGAAGGGGAGAAAGCTTCACCCCTTCCAGTGGAGACCGACGGTGAGGCAGTGCCACCCGGCTCGTTGCCTATTCCTACACCTCTATTAGCATGTGTTCGGGGCTCAGGTGCCCGTGTAGCAGACGGAGCGTTGCCAGGTCTGGTGCTTCTATCATTTCCGTCAGCATTGCTCAGACTACGCATCCCATCGCCTTGGGAGTCTGAATGGCGTGTGGCCCACGCCTGCCCTGCATCTCCCGCCACCTCCGCAACCCCCGCATCCTGCTCAAAAGGCTCCTCAGATGGTGCTGGCTCTGCATTTGCGCCAGGGTCGTCCGCGAAGTCAGCAGGCCCATCATCACCCGTGGTTGCACACTGACCTCGGTTGCCGCCGTTAGAGTCAAGCTGCTCGGCCAAATCTAGCCATGGGGCAATATCATACTGCCAACGCTTCGCCCCCTTCTCCCACCTCAGACTCTTCTTGACCTCATCCAGGATCTGCATGGAACAATGCGGTAGGAGAGGCAACCAAACTCGGTACATTGTGACAGAAAGGGGTTGTTGTGGCTGAGCACCCTTCCAATGTGGCATGGTTGACTCACATCATCGGGGGGGTTGAATCGGTCAGTCCTTGGGTTCCAGTTCACTCCAGTCTTGCACTGCGATTGGAGCCACTTAATGTCCCCTAGCCATCTCTTAATAACGCGGAGACGGTTGTCAAGTTGGTCGATGGTGTACGGGTGCTCCGGGTGCATGCGAGTCCACTCGTGATGCACATCTCCCCAGTGCAGCATAGGCTCGTGGGGCTGCAGGCTGTGGGACTGCTGCACATGGATGATGATCGACAAGAAATGGCCCGTGAGCTCGTGACTCCAGCGCGCTTGACCCCCGCTTCTGCTCCCCCCCGCACTGCAGGTTTCAGTGAAGTCGTCGCCCATGGCACAGCTGTACTCCACCGGCACGGGTGTTCCAGACGAGGGGAGGGTCTGACTAATGCCAGGATAAGTGTTACCATTTGCTCCAGGAGCAATGGAGGCTCGAGATCTAGGGACGTACGAGTCGGAGGACACTGGCGCACCGTGTGCTGTGACGGTTTTCAGAGGAACGGATCCGGGAGTGGAAGATGTAATGCCTACGGCGAAACCTAATCCGACCCGGACGGCTGCTCCATGGGAATTAAACGACGAGGATGCAGTGGGGTTTGCGACTTCCTGCATGCCGTCAGTGAAACGGTCCCCACCGGGACAGAGACCATGCGAGAGCCTGCCTGGTCAGACATAGTTTGATGGTTGGGGCGCGAAGGGGCCCTTGGCTGGCCGACAGCCACACTAGTGCCTTGCAAAGGCAATACGGAGCGTGTTCCAACGGTTACTGACGCACCATTGGAAGGAGCAGGACTGTAATAATTAGTGGATGACGGAACTAGGGATACAGACACGGCGGACGTAGTGATAGGGATACTGCTAGACCTTGAACCAGTCGGACCGCGCCTGGAAGTATTACTAGAGACTTCCCTGAGTCGTGATACCAGGTCGTCCCTATCCATGATTACATATCTTAGTCTGAAACGTAGGAATTGCTACGTTGTTCTTAGCGTAGTTGTTCGCTTTGCTGTTTTCGATACCTTAGGGCATCGGTTTCTCACGGCCTCTGTTGCTCCTGCCGTGGGGCAGCAGCGGGCCATCAATGGCGCGTGCTGTTTTTTTTGGGGCGTTGTTCAGTTGCCCCATTCGAGCTGATGCGCGCATCATGCGACTTGTCGGCGTTGCACCATGCGCGCATGGAGGATGCGTCGGATTGCTAGTACGCAACTTTCTTGGAAACCGGCGACATGTAAATTTGGGGTTGCCGGAAAGACCGTTCTGCAGGCATTTGGGCGTGGTTTGCCTCGGCAGCCAAGCTCTTATCACGAGCCTTGATAACCTCTCCGCTGGCTATCACGGAAGGCTCCTGGAAAATTGGAAACCAACATCAATGTACATTGATGCGGGCTAATGCGGCCGCAGAACGCAGCCATAGAGAGAAAGAAATTTCCTTGCACCACACCACAGCTCATTGTACGTGAGGAGATTCCATTACAGATACAGAATGAATTTCATCATAACTTGAATTGGAATGAAAGAACTCCCCAAGAAAAACGCCATGATCCGTTCACGTTTGCTTGCCATTGGCAGCTGCCATTTTCAATGGAAAGGTTTCGACGCCATATCAATCCTCTATCAATCCTCCACCTTGCAGCGCCTGGCTCCTAGTCATCCCACGCATCATCTGCCACCCCCTCCACCTTATCCGGTCCTGCTTGAGCCACAATCATGTGCTTGTACTTCTGATCCACTATCTTTACTGCTGTCGCACCTATCATCGTCACATTTGCAGCTGTTGCTGCCCGATTCTCCCGGAACGCTGCTGCCTCCTCCTTTTCCTTCCTCCGTGCAGCCTGAGTTACGAGGGGCGAGACAAGGAATGAGAATTGATTGACGTTGAGGCACAATGGCTGAATCAGTAAAGCGATGGCAGATGGGGAACGTGGGAGAAAGAAGGAAATTCTATACGCCGTCCCTCACCATACCAAACACCAGAGTTACCTGCATGCCCCTGCCTCCAACAAAGCATTTTTTATCTGAAAGAAGGATAAGTGAGACAGCTTTTGAGGCGTCTCGAAAGTTTTATCTGAAAGAAGAAGGAAAAGTGAGACAGGAAGGGTATAATGGACATACCTTGCCAGTCGCGAATGCCATGGTGTTGCCTGCCTCTGCCTCTGATAGAGCCTTCTTGATCTGAGCCACCAAGAACTGGAATGAAGAACGGGAGGCGGAACAAGAACAAAAAATGACTTTCCAAATCGGCAAATGAATATATTCGCACATTTATCTACATATAGAAAGTACAGACGCGTGTACGAAATGTGCTACTGTTAAACCAGGAGGCTGCATGCAAGACACATGCTGTATAACCCCATGCCATGCACCCATCACTATGTGCCCAATCTCACCGCATCTCTGTCAGTATAGAAAGACACAGCTCGCCCAGACGCCCCGGCTCGCCCTGTTCGCCCAATGCGGTGCACATAGTCCTCTAGAGCCTGAAAGGGGAGGAGGGAGCGATGATGAAAAATAAAATGGAAAAAAAAAAAAAAACTATTACTGTAAGAGGAAATCCCAATGCGGTGCACATAGTCCTCTAGAGCCTGAAAGGGGAGGAGGGAGCGATGATGAAAAATAAAATGGAAAAAAAAAAAATACTATTACTGTAAGAGGAAATCCCAATGCGGTGCACATAGTCCTGTAGAGCCTGAGATGGGAGGAGGGAGCGATGACAAGAAAACATGTGGGGCGATTTTCATTCCTTTATGAGGAAATCACAATGCGGCGCCGGCGCACATAGTCCTCCAGAGCCTGAGATTAGAGGTGGGGGAGATGAGAATAGCAGGAGAACAACTTTCATCATTTTCATGAGGCATAAGGCATGGGCATGACGCATGGGCCATGAGGCATGGGGGAATGAGGCATGGGGCATGCAGCAGTGGGCATGCAGCAGTGAGCATGCAAGGGGTCACCTTGGGGAGGTCCATGTTGACGACGAGAGCCACTCCTGACACGTCAAGCCCTCTTGATGCCACGTCTGTTGCCACCTGCAGGAATGGACGGATGTTTGACATGCACGCAATGGGTTGACCACAAAATCATCGCTTGATGCCACGTCTGTTGCCACCTGCAGGAATGGACGGATGTTTGAAATGCACGCAACGGGTTGACCACAAAATCATCGCTTGATGCCAGGTACATTGCCATCATGGTACATCTTGATGCCAGGTACATTGCCATCATGGTACATCTTGATGCCAGGTACATTGCCATCATGGTACATCTTGATGCCAGGTACATTGCCACCTGCACGGATGATTAAGCGAGTTGCTTGCATGAACTACCAGCGCCAACCACCAGCAAGGATGACAATGGTGTCACGGGCAACTAGAACTTGAAACCCAGCAATATGCTGAGAAGCAAGCCCCAGCATCCAGCCCCCAGCAACAAGCACCCAGCTGTGAGCACCCATGAGGATGTTGATGGTGTTCTTGTGGAAGTCCAGCAGAAAGTTGTCAAAAGCAACACGCACCAACAACCCAGCAACACACCCAGAAAAGAGCCCACCACTCCAGTGCCCAGAAAAGAACCCACCACTCCAGTGCCCAGCCCCCCCCCCAGCCCCTGGAACTCACGAGGATGTTGATGGTGTTCTTTCAGAAGTCCAGCAGCGCTGCCTCTCTCTCCCCCTGACCTCAATCACAGCAACAATCCCAGAAACAAGCCCTCAGCACCCAGGCTCCACCATCCAACCCCGAGCCCCCAGCCCCTGGCACTCACGAGGATGTTGATGGTGTTCTTGCGGAAGTCCAGCAGCGCTGCCTCTCTCTCCCCCTGGCTGCGCCCTCCATGCAGCGCTGCTGCCTTGAGGCCCTGCGCTGTGAGCGCCTCGCACACCTCGTCACACTTCACCTGTTGTTGTTGTAGTTGTTGTGAGGTGATGGTGGGAGAGGATGCCAAGGGGTTGGAGAGGATGCGAAGGGGTGGGAGAGGATGGGCAGGGGTGAGAGGGCGAGAGAGGAACAGACAGGTTGTGCTATGAGGGGACAGCAGGATAGGGTGTTTGGAAGAGAGGATGAGAAGCTGAGAGCGATGAGGTTTTGGCGGTGATGAGCTGCTGAAACAAAAATAGCAAAGCTGATGAATAAACGGATTGACTCACTGCGAGAAGAAGATTTAGTCAGCCTGTAAACGATACTCAGCTTAACCACAGGCCTCTGCTGCTCACCTTGCGCTCCACAAAGACAATGGTGAGTGGCAGCGGCTGCTGCCCGCTCTCCGCAGCTGCCATCTCCTCCACCAGCAGCTGCAGCAGCCGATCCACCTGGGGTAGGGAACATGAAGAATAAGAGGTATGATCATTGAGGATGAAGTGGGCATAGAGAGGGTGGCGTGAGAGAGGTGCACTCTCTGCAGCTGCCATCTCCTCCACCAGCAGATGCAGCAGCCGATCCACCCACCTGGGGTCGGCAACAAAGGAGTGAGAGTTGGAAATGACAGAGAATGAAGTGGGAAGAGAGAGGGTGGCATGAAGCCGCCCATTTCTTCCTCCAGCAAGGAATCCACCTGGTTGGGTCGGTTGGCGTAAGAAGGGAGAGAGTGACTTTTGAGTTAACCCAAAAGTCACTTAGGCTATTTTTGAGTCGACTCAAAAAAAGAGAGAGTGACTTTTGAGTTAACCCAAAAGTCACTTAGGCTATTTTTGAGTCGACTCAAAAAAAGAGAGAGTGACTTTTGAGTTAACCCAAAAGTCACTTAGGCCGGTTGGCGTAAGAAGGGGGAGAGTGACTTTTGAGTTAACCCAAAAGTCACTTAGGCTATTTTTGAGTCGACTCAAAAAAAGAGAGAGTGACTTTTGAGTTAACCCAAAAGTCACTTAGGCCGGTTGGCGTAAGAAGGGGGAGAGTGATAATTGAGTAAGAATGAACTGGGAAGAAAAATAGAGGCTTCTCATCCAGTCCCTTACCTCCACCCTGCTGCTCACCTTGTCCTTCTCACACACTCCCTGCCTCCCTAACACACCAAACCCCTTGTCCCACCCACCCTATGCCCCCTTGTCCCTCCTTCCCCCTCTCCCCCCCCCCGGCCCGGCTCTCACCTTGTCCTTCTCTGCGACATTCTCCGGCGACTGCGTGACGTTCTGGGTGGGGCTGCTGACACTTCCTGCCTCCTTACCCCAGCCACCCTCTTGTCCCACCCAACCAATCCCCTTCCCTCCCTTCTTCCCTCCCCCCCTGTCCACGCTCACCTTGTCCTTCTCAGGAACCTTCTCCAGCGACTGCGTGACGTTCTGCGTGGGGCTGCTCACGCGTCCCACCTTGACGCGCACGGGCGTCTTGAGGTACTCCTGCGCCAGCGCCTCTATCTCCTCCGGCATCGTGGCTGAGAACAGCAGCGTCTGGTGCTGCTTCGGTAGGTTCGCCATGATCTGAGGGGGGGGGGGAGGGAGGGGTGGGGTGTGTAAGACGGGGGGAGAGGAGAGGGGAGGCATGGGTAGCGTCCCATATTGACACGCACAGGGGTCTTAAGGCACTCCTGGGCCAATCAGAGATTCAGAGGCACCCATAAGAGCCACCTTGACGCGCACGGGTGTCTTAAGATATTCCTGCGCCAGCGCCTCTATCTCCTCCGGCATTGTCGCTGAGAAGAGCAGCGTCTGGTGCTGCTGAGGCAGGTTCGCCATGATCTGGCAGGGGGAGTGTGAGGGGGAGGTGGGAGAGAGAGAGAGAGGGTAAGGGAGAGGTGGGAGACAATTGGGGGAGAGGAAGGGGAAGAGGGGAGATCCGTTGGGAGGGTGAAGGGGAGGAGGGAGGAGAGGAATGAGAAGGCAGAGCCAGACAAGGGACAAGCCCTGGCCGCCACCACCACCACCGTCTGCACCTGCACGCCCTTTGACCTCTCCCCTCCACAGCGCAACTCACTCCAGCGTCCCTCATCACTCATCCCTCACCTCCTTCATCTGATGCTCAAACCCCATGTCCAGCATTCTGTCAGCCTCATCCAACACAACAAAAGACACACGCGCCAGCGACGTGTTGCCTGCTGCAGGTGGTCTATAAATTGCCCCGGTCTTTCCACTCTCCCTTCCACAGCACAACTAACATGTGCAGGTGGGCTCCTCCATCTGCGGTTCAAATCCCATGTCCAGCATCCTGTCAGCCTCGTCCAGCACGACTAACAAGACACGTGTACCACCTTTCAACTCTTCTCTCTGAACCCTCTAAAACACTCTCCATCCCCTGACCTCTCATCCGCTACCTCACCTCCTTCATCTGCGGTTCAAATCCCATGTCCAGCATCCTGTCAGCCTCGTCCAGCACAACAAACGACACGCGGGCGAGCGACGTGTTGCCCTGCTGCAAGTGGTCAATGAATCGCCCCGGCGTGGCCACCACCACCTGCACGCCCCCTCGTAGCACCGACCGCTGCTCACTCATGTGCGTGCCGCCCACTATAATCGCCGTCTTGAACCCTTCCGATGACAGGCTGAACGCTTTCACCTGGGGGTTTAAAGTTTCAAGGTGTCCGGAAGAGAAAAGAGAGAGAGAGAGAGAGAGAGAGAGAGAGAGAGAGAGAGAGAGAGAGAGAGAGAGAGAGAGAGAGAGAGAGAGAGAGAGAGAGAGATTGAAAATGTGGGTCATGTAATTGGTGAGGCCACCACCACCTGCACGCCCCCTCGCAGCACCGACCGCTGCTCGCTCATGTGCGTGCCACCTAGGATGATCGCCGTCTTAAACCCATCCGACCACAGGCTGAACGCTTTTACCTGGGGGTTGGGGTTTCGGGTTTCAGGTTTTGGGGAAAGAGCAGGCGAAAGGATAGAGACGGCTTTCACTTGAAGTTTAATAGTGGTGGAGTGTGTGCGCAAGTGCGCGGCAGATTAGGTGCTGGAAGCTGCGTGCTACATCACCTCACACTACACCACTTCCATGCTTCTCGAATCTGTTGAAATCACTTTTAAGAATTCTCAGAAGTCATCTCACACTACACCACTTCCATGCCTCTCGACTCTGTTGAAATCACTTTTGAGAATTCTCAAAAGTCATCTCAAACTACACCACTTCCATGCCTCTCGTCTTGGGACGTGCCTCACCTCCTTCTCAATCTGCTGCGCCAGCTCGCGAGTGGGCGCCAGCACAAGCGCCAGAGGCCCATCGCCCGGCCGCAGAGGCGCTTGATGCAGGCAGTGCTGCAGGCAAGCGCGAAGGGGTGGGTGACGGGAGGGGGGAATAGGAGGAACGAGTATAGGTGGTTTGAGGCAGATGCGAAGGGAAGTTGGAAGACACGCAGGAGACAGCAAGAAAGGCGAAAGTACATGTGTAAGGCGCCCCAATTTGGAACCTTCTATAATGACTCTCTTACGAAAAAGACAGCAAGCTGGAAGGCGGATGAAGTGACAGGGATGAGAGGGGATTCAGGGGCAGAAACCATGGGGATGGAGACAGTAGGGGACGGAGAAGGAGCACAGAGAGAGTGGCCCTTAAGTCGCCTCTAAAAGGAGCCTACTTGGATCATGGGGATGGCGAAGGCGGCGGTTTTGCCGCTTCCGGTCTCAGCGCAGCCAAGAAGGTCGCGGTTGGAGAGTGCGATGGGCATGGCCTGCGCCTGGATGGGCGTGGGGTTGGTGTAGCTGTGATAGACGATGTCCTTGGATATGTTCGGGTGCAGGCCCTGAGGTTGGGGGGGGGGGGGGGGGGAGGGGGGGAGGAGGGAAAAAAGGAAGGAAACGAGGAAGGCGGGACGTTGATAAGATTGGCCTGATGGGCGTGTGGGGTTCGTGTAGCTGTGGTACACAATGTCCTTTAATATGTTCGGGTGCAAGGGAGAACATAGAAGCACTAATTCATTGTGAAATAAGCTCACCATGTCGTCAAACGACTCGACCGGAGCCGGCGCAACCCCCGTGCCAGGCGTCACTTCCACCGTCACGTTCAGCCGCGCGCGGACCTCGGCGATCTGCAACAGGAGAAGGGCATTCAGTGACATTTTATGATTTATTATAGAGATTCAGAGACATTCAGAGCCAGTCAGTACCATGCAGTGTGATCTATTGTTAATCAATAGCACTCAATGTTAATCAAATTCTTTCGGTAACATTAAGAGTCAGTCAGTACCATATGGTGTCATTCAGTGTCAGTCAATGCCATTCAGTGTCAGTCAATGCTATTCAGTGTCAGTCAGTGCTATCAGTCAACGCCATTCGGTGTCAGTCAATGCCATTCGGTGTCAGTCAATGCCATTCAGTGTCACTCAATGCTATTCAGTGACATTCAGAGCCAGTCAGTACCCATGCAGTGTCATCCAGTGTCAGTCAATGCCATTCAGTGTCAATAAAAGCCATCCAGCGTCATTCATTGTCCTTCAGCGTTTGAACAATGGTAATCATTCAGTGTCGGAATAATGCCAGATCAATAACAAATCTTTGCATCGTAAGATGGTATTTGGAGCAGATATCAGCACCAGAAGTTTACAATTGCCGTGACCAACAAGTTTTTGTCAGTATGGCTTTTCAGTCCACTCAAACGTGGACGTAGATGGACCACCGAAGCCAGAAACCGCGAACCTGCGGAATCCCGTGACTTATTGCTACTTACGATAACACCATAATGTAGTGTCAGTTGTAACAAAGCCGAAAAATGGCTCTACTGTGATGCATTTCATGAAACATTGGCACATCCTGTTAACTTGACATCACGATCCTAATTAAGCAACACGAGTGACGTAGCATAAGACCCATGTCCGTAACGTGATCGTATTGATGTAACCAGAAAGGTCTCACGTGTTTCGCGTTGAACAGAAGCAAGCAGACGACATACCACCAGGACATAGCAAGCCGTTACATGACTAATCTCCGGGACAACCGATCTGAAGGAATCAGGTAGCAGACCTGATCTCCTTGCATGCGGATGACATTTTGTTCAGTCAGACGCCTTATATCCAGGACTTTCATCATTGAAGAAATCCTGATCCACTTGCAAACGTTTTACACGGGGAACCGTCATTTACGTGGTTAGGAGCAACGGGATTGAAGGACGACAACGTCAAACCGTTTTTATGACATCTCTAAATGCCAAGACGAACATCTCTAAACGCCAGAACTGACATCTCTTTATGCCGGATTTGACATATCTTAACGGATCGGAAGCTAACCTGATCTTCTTGCAAGCGGATCACGCGGTCCGACGGCTTCCATGCCGGGCAGACTGGCTCTGGAGGGCCGCTTCCCCGGGTCTCTACCGGCCGACGGCTGCTGCTGAAGCTGCTGCTGCCACCGTCCCTGATGCCACCGTCCCTGCTGCCTCTGTCATCCCTATCCCTCCGTTCGTCTCTATCTCGAGAGCCGTAGCTTCTAGAACCGAAGCTGCCATAGTCGTTCCGATCACCGTAGCGGCCTGGGGGATCGGATCGGCTTCCTAGGGAGGATGAAGGGGGAGCGGAACCTCCCCCCGATCCACCCGCCGAGTTGCGTAAATGAGGTGGTACGTACGGCATTGCAGGGTCGCTTACAAAAGCTTAGAACGCGGATTTAAGACAGACGGATCACACGAAATGGCAGCTTGCGGAGCTGAGCGCTGGTCTGATGCGTCTACGCCGCGCACTAGCAGCTTGATCCTTACTTCTATTGATAAGGCTCCACAAAAATATCTCAACGATGCCCAGAATTCTAGGGGTTCCTAAAACTAGTCCAGCCACGCGCCTCTTGACGACAAACCCAAGACCTTGAGTTCAGCAGCTCGCGCAAGCGGAAGGCGCAAGGGAGGGGCTGTGAACTTTGTTCCCGAAGGATCTCCGCTTTCTCCGCAAACAGACTCCTCTCGTGGCGTGCAAATCCCTAGGGAACGTTCCGCCAGGCACGCGCTTCCTCGATGAACGCGGGCAGATCTCTGTCATTCCCAAGCACGGGAGCCGCAGATTGGTTGATCGATAAGGAAAAAGGTGACGTGTCAGTAGTTGCACCGGTGTACACCTATCTTCAACATTTACAACCAAGTCGTATTTTATATACCAGTAGATGATTCTCTTTCTCCCAATTCCTACCTAATTATTCATTCGATTGATACAGAAAATAATTTTCTGTATGATAAGCTTCACCTGAAGCTGTCAATGTTTTATTTAATCAATCAAACAACGTTACACGCCAGTTCCTTGAGCTGAGGGGAATATGGCAGTTATATTCTGGTGAGGTTATGCTGTTCCCCTAGCACCATAATGCGGTGTGGCTCCTAGTGAATTTCCTCCTAGGTCTATGAAGGAGTAGTTACAAAGCGAATCCCGACGAACCGACAGCCACCTATTGCCCCCGATTCCGTCACAACAGCCACTCCCCCTCGACAAATCCTCCATGAAATCCCCAGACGAACGAAGTGACGAAACAGCAAATGCAGTGTCGTGATTTCGCAATCATACCAGTGACCTTTCGCGAACGCCGAAGCATCTGCCCCTAGGACGTGTCTTTCATCGACACGTGTCCCTCCTTCCGCCAGCCCAAGCCGACCGCACCGCCATCCAATGTCGCGGCTCGATGCTGAATTTCTAGAACCATAACAGCATAAATTTCAACACCCCACCCCACAGGGACATTGCCAATTCTTCTTCACACTCAACCCTTCTGCAGATCGATCCAACCAGAACTCTACTAGAGCCTGAAACACGCCGAAAGCAACTACTAGTAATCATCCTGCGAACACGCGCTCAACTATGGCTGTGTCCACCATTCGCGTCCAGGCTGCCGTGGTTCTGGCTCTCCTCCTCTCAGGTAAGAGGCATAATCTTGCCCTTACCTGGCATTCATGCGTCCGCCACTTGATACGCTGGCTTAGCAAAATCTGGTCCTTCTGAAATGGATTCACGGAACTGACCTGTGCTCATGCTCTGCTGTTTCCACTTCTGTGCGTTGCGCTTCTTCACTCCCATGCAGCTTTGATTACTCCCCCCGCGTCTGCCATAAGGCTGGGAATTCGAACTCAAGTTTTGGGTGAGCAAACCCGGGTCTTTTGAAACCGTTTGGCAAAACTCTCTACCAGTGCTCTTCTTTGGGATATGCTTCTCCTCTTTTTTTCCTTCCAACGTACGCTAACCAGTAATTCAATTTCGCACCATCAATAACGCCCACACTTCCCGCTTTTTCATATCCCCTGCTTGCAGCATCAGTGAGTGGTCCGCTGGTGATGTGTGGTTCTGGCGAGACGGAGGGGTCAGCTCAGATGGAGCTCGTGAGAAGGTGAGGCGAAGCACTCCTGAAAACCCCTGAGCACTCCTGAGAACTCGCAATGCACTCAAGATTGGTAGATAAGAACGAGGTGATGGCGCCGATGCCTTGATCACATTCATTTTCTCACTTACACAACACTCCTCCCTCGTCCCCACTCATCCCCTTATATCTCCCCAATCTCTTCCCCAACCCTGCACTCTCCACACCACAGGGGCGCGGCTCTCTTCCTCACCTACAAGCTCACCACCCACGCCAGCACTCGCCCCTCCTCCAAGCCCCACCTCCTCCCCACCAACCCCTGCCCCTCTTCCTCCTCCTCCGCCTCCACTGCCACTGCCGCCTCTCTCTCCCTCGACCCGGCCCTCTCGGCTCATCTCGGCTCCTCTCTCACCGCCAATCCCCTCAACGCCACTGCGGGCGCCGCTGCTGGAGCCTCAGCCAGCCTTCTCAACACCTCCGCGGGTGTTGGCGCTACCGTGGGGGCATCTCTTCCCAGTGGAACCGTGAACACAGCAGGAGGTGTCATGGCTTCTACCGGCCTCATGGGCACATCCGCAGGTGTTGGCGCTACCGTCGGAGCGTCTCTTCTCAACGGAATGGTGAATACAGCAGGAGGTGTCTCGGCCTCCACAGGCCTTCTCAACACCTCCGCGGGTGTTGGCGCTACCGGCGGCGTGTCTCTTCCCAAGGGAACCGTGAACACAGCAGGAGGTGTCTCTGCCTCCACCACTCTGCTCAACACATCTGCAGGGGTGGGCGCTGGTGCATCTGTCTCCCTTCCCAACGGCTCTGTCGCTGCAGCGGGTGATCTCTCTGCTTCCACCGCCCTACTCAACAAATCCGCTGGTGTAGGAACCACCGTCGGGGTCTCCCTTCCCAACGGCACAGTCGCTGCAACCGGCGGTGTTTCTGCTTCCTCCGGTCTGCTCAACATGTCAGCCGGCGTGGGAGCAGGAGTGGGCGTGTCGCTCCCCAACGCCTCTCTCTCTGGCTCTGCCTCCCTCGGTGCCTCCTCCCCTCTCCTCAACACCTCTGTCAGCGCCGGTACTGCCGTCAACGCAGGCTCGGGCGGCGTCAACGCCAACCTCGGAGCCTCGGCGAACCTCGGAGGCTCGACCTCTGGCCTCGTCTCCAGCGTGGGCGGGGCTGTCAAGAACCTCGTAGGCTCGGCAGGGAACATGGCAGGCTCGATGGTAGGCACGGTGGGCAACATGGGAGCCTCGGTTGCAGCCTCTCTCTCCCCGATTGCGGTGCTGAATGGTGGGTGGGTGGTTACCAGTGGTGGCGCCTATGCCATGGTCGGGCAGACTCGAGTGTCGGCAGCGCTGGCATCGGCCCTCGTCACCCGCATTTCCACCAACCTGCCCCTCTTCCTGCAAGTGCACGTCGGTGCACAGGGCAGCCTCGTGTCCAGGATGCAGTAGAGGGGTGCGGAGGGGGGGTTAGGTGGATGAGGGGTGGGTGGCGCATTGGAGAGGTGGAGCACTGGAGAGAGCATGGAGTAGAGCGTGAGGGAGGGAGGGCTCCAGTGCTGAATCATGGGAGGGGTGAAGCATGGAGGGAAGGGAAGTTGGGGGGATAGGGAAGTGTCGTGCCAGGACGGAGTGGGAGTAAGGGTGGGAGGGAGGAGTAGGGGGAATGGGGAGTAGATGGAGTATGGGGTGGTTTTTTCATCAGATGGTTGCTGCATGGGCCATGACACTGTCACACCCAGCTGCTGCTTTCTTGTGCCTTGTACATAAATGATTCCAAGTGGACACCCCAGCTTTCCTAACCTAACTCTTCCTAAGCGTCAGGTTAACGAACGAGCGCTCGACATTGCCCAGCAGAAGGAAATTGCCCCAGCTCTGAAACAAGAGAGGAAAGAACACTTGAGAGAGAAAAAGTGAGAGAAGTCAAAGGAAGGAAAACTGCTGTAATCTTGGGTCCGAGAGAACTGCTGCTACACTGGTACTCATCCCATCTCCTTACTGCGATCACGCAAATACCTCAACCCTCTCTCCACCACGGTTTACCAGCCTCGTACTCCTTATAAGCTGTTCTCACTCGCCCCTTGCCTTGTTCCACTTGCTCCTCCCATCTCACAGAAAACGCCTGCAAGCCAATAGCCGCCTCTGGTGCCGCCCCAAACAGGAGCTTCGCTTGGGATAGCACCTCCGCATCCACTAATTGCTTTCTCCTCTCCTGGCCCGAGTTCCCCACTTCATTCCCCTTCACGCCAGCAGCACCGCGGCCGGGGGAAATGGTTGCTTTTATAACCATAGGTGCGGCCTGCTGGACTTGGTTCGGGCCGTACATGGTGTCACCGATGAGAGGCGCGCCCAGCGCCGCAAACTGTGCTCGAAGCTGGGAAGGGAGAACAGGGAGAACAGGGAAATATGTACAAATTGAACATCAGCGCATCCTCTCCCCCTGAACCATAGGTGCGGCCTGCTGGGCTTGGGCGGGGCCGCACATGGTGGTGTCACGGAGGAGAGGCTCACCCAGCACTGCAAACTGCGCTCGAAGCTGGGAAGGGAGAACAAGGAATAGGGGAAAGGGAAGCGACACAAGATGGGGTATTGTCAGGCACTGAAGCGGGATTGGGAGGGGCCGTACATGGTGTCACCGATGAGAGGCGTGCCCAGAGCTGCAAACTGCGCTCGTAGCTGGGATGGGGGATGAGGGTGGAGGGAAAGACGCACAAAGATTGCCACACAAATGTTGAGCCTGAAACACCACTGCATTCCCTCCCCTGCTGTGACACATTCTTCTTCACATCCCACTCCCCGTTATCCCCTCACATGCCACCCAATGCCACATCAGCTGAGTGCCGTACCTGGTGTGTCCTCCCTGTGATAAGCTCCACCAGGCACTCATATGCCACGTCAGCAGCTGGCCAATAGGAGCAGTCCACGTCAGCAGCAGCCAGCGCAGAATCAGCAGGCCACGGGACCTCCTCCACTCGGCGAATCACAAGCTCGCAGTGCTGCCAGCCTGGCATGGCTTCTCGTGTTAAGATCTTTGGAGAGTACGGGTCGGGCAGCATGAAATGTATGTGCCTGCCTGGGGCCGGAGCAGAGGCGGTTAGGGCCTTGTAAAGCTTCCGAACCTTGCGACCCTGAAAGAGAGAGGGCCGAGCCGAGGGAGGCAACAGGCAAGAAGAGATGAGAAGAGTTAAGAAAGGCGCGAGGAGGCGACAGAGGCAAGAAGAGATGAGAAGAGTTAAGAAAGGCGAGAAGAGAGGAGAAGAGTTAAGAAAGGCGCGAGGAGGCGACAGCGGCAAGAAGAGAGAAAAGGGGCTTCAAGGGGGTTTATGGGGAAGGCCAAGGGGAAGGCCAAGGGGAAGGCCAAGGGGAAGGCCAAGGGGCGCCTCTTCTTGCCTTTGTTGCCTCTTTTTTATCTTCTTGATTCTGCTAGTGGTGATGGTGGTGATTGTGGTGATGGTGGTGATGGTGGTGATGGTGTGAGAGCGAGCCTACAGGGTCATGAGCGGACAGACCTGAAGCAGCTGGTTGAAATAGCTGGCAAACTGGCGGTTCTTGGCCATCACCACGCTGCAGGGAGCAGCAACAAGTTAGAAACATAGTGTCACTAGAGTTATGTAAAAGCATGGGCACTCCACACCGACTGGAAATCTGAACCGCAGGTGAACATGGGCTGGAAACGCACCTGTTGAAACCATTTGGTAAGGTCCATCCACCCACTCCCCAGCCCTCGACCCACCCACCCACTGACCAATCCTTGACCCACCCACCCACCCACCCATCCACCCACCAGCCCTGCATGCAGAGGTCGAGCTGGTGGGTGAGCTGCAGTGGGCGATTGAGCTCCACGGCTTGGTGCATTTACCCACTGCATTCCTCCCACCAGCCCTGGGTACACTCACCCACCCCCAACCCTGCATTACCCACCCCCCACCCTTCCACATTTCCACCCACACACCCACCAGCCCTGCGTGCAGAGGTCGAGCTGGTGGGTGAGCTGCAGTGGGCGATTGAGCCCCACAGCCTGCCCTCCGAAGAAGGCGCAGCACTCCAGTAGGTTGTCCACTGTGCCGCCCACCTGCACAGCACACAAAGAAAGAGCATGGCCGTGCCAGAAGGGAGGGCCTTTTGAGAATTCTCAAAAACTCCCTGCACCTGCACAGCACAGAAAGAAAGAGCATGGCCGTGCCAGAAGGGAGGGACGAATGGTGGGATGGAGTCAACTTTTACAGCCACTTGCACCTTCTGAATCGTGCCTAAACAAAAAACGTTGACGACAACATGGGCGAACAGGGGGAGTGACAGGGCATTGAGAGAGTGAGCGGCTTACAGGAACGTTGTATGGCTTATCGATCACCACATAGTCATCCTCGTTTACAATCACGGATCTTTGCCAATCAAAGCTGTAGCACCTGCTTCTAACCAACACACGGTTTAGGGTGGATGAGGAAGACAGATAGCCATATCAGCACAGAAAACATTGTAAGATTCTAACGATCACAAACCCTGAAAGATTAATACTGTTAACTCATAATCTTATAACATGATTTACTCGCTGCAAGCTTCACTCACATGGGAAATCGTTTAGGATGCACGTGAACTCGAAGGTAACTGCCTGCCTGCACCCTCACTCCATACTCCTCTTCCCCCTCCTCCCCCTCCTTCTGCTTCTGCTGCTGATCATTCTCCTTGTCTCTGTCATCCCTCCCATCCCTCTTGCCCCTCAATTCTCTCCCACTCCCCGTGCCCTTCTTCCCCGCCTTGTCTCGGGACCTCTGCCTTTGCCTCTTCTCCTTCTGCCCAACGCCTCTTCCCCGCACTCCCCCCACCTCCACCCTTCGAACCTTCTGCAATTCCGCCAGTGTGACCTTCGGTTGATGAGAGGAGGAAGAGGGGGAGGAGGAGGGGGTAGGAGAGGAGGGGGAGGAAGGGGAGGAGGGAGAGGAGGGCGAGGAGGTGGGGTCAGTGGTGTGCTGGGCGATAAAATCAAGGTAGGCTTGGAGGGCTTGTGAAGGGAGGTTCGGAGGCGGGGGAGGTGGCACCTGGGCATGGTAGATTCCACCGAATCGTATCAAATCTGTAACGTATCTGAATAATAGGGTGGGAGGCAAGGGACATGGCGATCAGCATAGGAAATTGTTGAAGATAGGGTGAAAGAAGCAAAGAATTCAGAGCAACTTGATGCTGATCAACTCAACTGCCGGCTATTCTCAACTTGATTTTGCTGCTTTATGCTTCATAGTTCATGCTTTATGCTTCATCATACATGCTTCATGATTCATGCGGCTCAGCGTGCCGACTTACTCCCTCGGAAGGTCCAATGATTCAGCCACCACATTCACAACGCTGCCTTCTCGTTCCACCAATAGGTGCTCGACACGTGGCGGTAATTGTGGCTCTGGACGTAGCTGAAGCCGCGTGTAGGTTATTTCGGACCAATCGGGAAGCTGCGACAGCGGTTCGGGATTTTCCGCGTTGCTGTTACTGGACATGCTGCTTTCGATGCCGTTGTTGATGGTGCTACGGACGGCTGTGATTCGCTTCCCCGCCCGCCAAACGTTCGCCCCCTTCACTCCTACGTATCCACCGCCGTTTCCTGCGGCGAGACTGAGGCATTTAGGGCGATCGATGGTTGGGATGATACAAAAGAATGGCTTCACGACAAGCACGTTGGTAGCACCGGCTGTTCTGATCCAAGAGGAGGATCGTTGCATTAATAATAATAACCGCTCAGTGAGAAGATAGCGCGTGATTCCGATTAAGAAAACAAATGCAAGCGCGTTGGTAGCACCGGCTGTTCTGATCCAGATGGATCTTTGCACTAATAAGATTGAATGATCTGTGAGTAGATAGCGCGTGATGGTCGGAAAGAGCCCAGCAGAAGGCAGGCTGAGGCTGGGAGTGGAGTGTCAGATGTTTGTCAGGCGGAAATGGCTGTGGGTCGTGATGACATAGTACGTCGCGAAAAGCTCAACCCACTACGGTTCAGTGAGATTCCGTGAGCTTTCGTACGATAAGTAGTTCAGTTGTTAAGAGAGTATGTTTCTTCATTCATTCTATTTTGTCTAGTCCATTTCTCTACCATTAATATAATTCGTGTTCGCGAAGGGAGAAGAGTGCGAACAGAGACACGGCTGAATGCGAAACCAGGCGAACATTTGCTGGTTCTAAGCTGTTCCGTAACCTTTGTTACTTCTTGACTTCGGCTCCAAAATGCGAGGACCTCGTCAGCCGGCTAACACGTCGGCAAAACACTCCCACACGGCGATCACATGTGAGGATGTGAAGGCATCCCCCTCGAAAGTGACGATGCTTCGCAACCGTTGGCTAATCGATACCGTTCAGCGACCAGCATCATCGCATCTTAGCCGTTTCTTTTGGATCAGGCGGGATTCGCGTGACATTCCGAGGGAACAATTCCCGAAGAATCTGATATATGCTCCCCCAGTTCCGTTCCATTCCGGGAGCATACTTTCTTTTTCTGATTTTGCTTCAGATCAGCAGTGAGTGCTTGCTGATCAAGGAATAGTGTTTTGCCAGTAGGCCCTGCTCAGCTTCCCGGCTGCACTTGCTGCTTCCATGGCGGAAAACAAAAAAGGCATATCCGTGGGAAAGGTGGCAGGAATCGCAGTATGGGCAGCGGTCACGAAGAAATTGGCTCTGCCTTCGCTGCTTCGTGCGACGGAGCTTTTCGCTTTCAATGGCGAGGCTGTCGTTAATTCCGACATAATCCTCTCTCTCCTCGTATGTCATTGTGCTTTATTTACATGTAGTAACAACACAGTTCCACTCACACGAATTGTCTGTTTAGTTTCCACCAGCCACTTCCGACATCAGATACAAAAGCTTGGAAGCTTTATTCAGCCAGCTAACTGGAACATTTTGCGATTATTAACCATTTCTTATGCGTCCAATTGAAGCAGCTGAAGATACCCTAATCGCGACTGTAAGATCGAGATGTACTGGAGCATAGTACCCTTTCACGCTTTAGTCTCCATAACGCTGTTTCCCTCACTCCTATGGCCTACAGGCGCTCTCCACGTGTCCGCTCTCTAAGGTCCAGAGCGTGATTCGCTTCAAGGATCCCAAGGAGACGCTGATCGGCGCGGTGGTCGCGGCGGTGTTGGGCTTTCACAACGTCGTCGTGCGCCGCGCCAAGCTGAACCGACTCAAGGAGCAGTCGGTGAGCTGAATCTCCCAAAGGAGGAGTGTTTATGGAACGTCAAAGGCGTGTTGGAAAAGAAGGTCGTTCTGGGATTTTAAATCGTGCACTGTTCCATGCAATCCTCACCTCATGCAATCTCTCATATCACGTGCAGTCCATGTGCATGCTCATGCAATCCTTCACATGCAGTCCGCACGCAATTCTTCATGTGCAGTTCACATGCACGCTCATGCAATTGTTCACGTGCAGTTCACATGCACGCTCATGCAATTGTTCACGTGCAGTTCACATGCACGCTCATGCAATTGTTCACGTGCAGTTTACATGCACGCTCATGCAATTGTTCACGTGCAGTTCACATGCACGCTCATGCAATTGTTCACGTGCAGTTCACATGCACGCTCATGCAATTCTTCACGTGCAGTTCACATGCACGCTCATGCAATTCTTCACGTGCAGTTCACATGCACGCTTATGCAATTCTTCACGTGCAGTTCACATGCACGCTCATGCAATTCTTCACGTGCAGTTCACATGCACGCTCATGCAATTCTTCACGTGCAGTTCACATGCACGCTTATGCAATTCTTCACGTGCAGTTCACATGCACGCTCATGCAATTCTTCACGTGCAGTTCACATGCACGCTCATGCAATTCTTCACGTGCAGTTCACATGCACGCTCATGCAATTCTTCACGTGCAGTTCACATGCACGCTCATGCAATTCTTCACGTGCAGTTCACATGCACGCTCATGCAATTCTTCACGTGCAGTTCACATGCACGCTCATGCAATTGTTCACATGCAGTTCACATGCACGCTCATGCAATTGTTCACATGCAGTTTACATGCACGCTCATACTGCTTCACATGCAACTATTTACATGCGTGCTTCCTTGCAGATGCTTCTGCCAGGGGAGGAGGCCGTGTGGCGCAGGAAGAACCTTCCCGGAAATGAGCTGGTGAGTGGGAACTTCTTTGCTGCTGTCGACATTACACTGATCAAGGGCATGGCTGGCATGTCTTCACAATTTGCACTTTATTGATCCATTACATGGGCTCATTCATGTGTGGTACATGACTTAGGATAGATGGTGCGGTGGATGGCCACATGCATTGCATCGCATCCATGATGGGCCTGGTGTGTCCAAGCATGTCTCTGGTTCTATGGCGGCATGCGTGCATGCATCGTGATGGTATAGTATGCATAGCAACTGCATGGCCACCGCTCAACCATGTCACTCCATTCCATATCCCTCTGCGCCGTTCTGGTGCCATGCCATGCTAGGTTATGCCATGCCATACCATGCCATGCAATGAGCTGACGTGCATTCTTTCACGCTACCCCACCCTTTCCTCCCCTCTGGTTTATCTTTGTGCATGTACACATGTACATGTGCATGTGCATGTATATGTACATGTGCATGTGATTGTGCATATGTTGGTCGTGCATCTCCATGTACATGTGTCAGATGGTAGTGTCATACGAGGAGGCCACCACGTGCTATCACAACTTCTTCACCTTCGCTCGCCAGAGGTTCGCAGATGTAAGTAATGGGCCTTTCCATGCCATGCCATGCCACTCTGCTCATGCCTTTGTTGATGTGAGTGCCGTGCTATGCTGGCCCATGCCATGCCACTCTATTCCGACTGATGGTGTGCTGCCCATGCCATGCCATGCCATATCAAAAGATGCCATGGGTTCTCCACCTTTTCCATGATTTCCTCCCTTTCCCGCAACAGAACCCCTGCCTGGGCACCCGAACCGGTGATGGTTTCTCCTGGGAGAGCTACGAGCTCACTGCACGCCGAGCCTCCGACTTTGGTGCGGGGTTGGTGTACCTGGGGCTGAAGCCTGGCGACAGGTTCGGCATCTACAGTGTGAACAACGTGGAGTGGGTGCTGGCGGAGCTGGGAGGGTACTGCTACGGGCTCGTCAACGTGTCACTGTGAGTATGGTCAAGGGGTGATGCGAGTATGGTGAAGAGGTGATGTGACTATGGTGAACGGGTGGTGTGACTATGGTTAAGGGGTGGTGTGAGTACGGTGAGGGGGTGATGTGACTATGGTTAAGGGGTGATGTGAGTATGGTGAAGGGTTGACGTTAGTATAATGAAGGGGTGATGTGCCTATGTGAAGGTGTGATGTGGCTATGGCGAAGGGGTGTTTGACTATGGTGAAATGTGAGTATGGTGAAGGGGTGATGTGAGTATGGTGAAGGGGCTGAGTGTATATTGAAGAGGATCTTTGAATGTATAGTCTTCAATTCAAAATCTTCCTGCTTCCCACCTCTGCACCACTCTGCACCCCTCGCAGCTATGCCACACTGGGGCAGGAGGCAGTGAACCACGTGGTGAATCACTCCGAGATGGTGGCTGTGGTGTGCAGCGTGGAGGTGAGAGGTCGTGCACAGTGTGGAGTTGAGAATGGGGATGCGCATGCTGTTTGTGCTTGAGTGTGTGCGCGTGTCCACCTCTCCACTGCCTCCTCTCTCCCCCTTCTCTCCTCTCTTGCATTTTCTCTTCCCCATCCTCATCCGTCTCTCTTCTCTCTCTTCCCATTCCCATCCCTCTCCTGCTCCTGTTGCTCCCTTCCCCCAGACCCTCTCGTCACTCTTCAAGGCACTGCCATCAAGCCCGGCAGTGAAGACTGTGATATACATGCAGGGGGGCGGGCAGGCACCCAGTGACGCGGACAGGCAGGCAGCAGTGGCAGCAGACGTGCAGCTGATCCCGTTCTCGCAGGTGGAGGAGTGGGGCGCGCTGAACCCCCAGGAGCACATCCCCCCCAAGCCGGAGGACCTGGCTGTACTCATGTACACGTCTGGCACCACTGTGAGTGTGGACAGGGAAATAGGGTACTGAGAATGTGGGTAAACACGCATGTGGGTGACGATGGCACCACTGTGAGGTGGCTAACCCCAATATCTTCCTCTCACTCCCACCCCCATTCATCCGACAAATCTAAATTCTCTTTCCCTTCTCGCTTTGTTCTCCCTTCTGCCTCCCTTTCTCCTTCCCCTATCCCCAGGGCGATCCCAAGGGAGTGATGCTAACGCACCGCAACATCATTGCCAACACCACATCATGCCCGGCTGTGCTGGGCACCGCAGGAGGGGTCACCCTCGGCTCCGGCGACCGCTACCTCTCCTACCTGCCCTTGGCACACATCTTCGAGCGGGCGGCGCTTGCGTCCATGTACATGCAGGTGGGTGGCTTGTGTTGGCTGTGCATGCAAGCGGGTGCATTGGCTGATGTTGTTCTCGTTGTATTTCTGCCGAGCCCTTCACACCCAGCTGTGCTGAGCCCTTCACACCCAGCTGTGCT